AAAAATGATTTTGGGGACATAAGCTCCACGATGTTCAGGGGTATTGCTACGGTGCAAAGCTAGTCACCAAGGACGTTGATGATGCAAGTGCAGCAAATGTTTCACTTCAAATTCAAGTTCCACTAATCTTGGTACTGTAGCACTGGCATTCCTTATCAAACTGTTTGAGTTGTGTTTGGGCGATTGCTTCTCAACTATTTTGTAACAGTATTCAGGGTTTGGACCCAGCATGTACAACTTTTAGTTTGGAAACATTTCTTTTGTTCGTCAGTTTACATAAAAAGTTATGCTATTTATGTCCATCATTCACAATCTTAATAACTGAAAAGTGCATTCCTCCGGTAGATGTGAGTGAAAAACATGGGTGGGTCTTGCTACACATGCTGTTGTAAGAAAGGATCTTTTATTTTATAAAAATGCTTTATTATACTACTATTTTCATTGTTCTGTTTCAAAATCACCTACATTTGTACAGTTATTATGTTTTCGTGAACAGTGAGAAAATTTTAACATTCTCTCCATAGGTTGAATTTGAAATGTGCCGTAAAATAATCTCAGCTCTAGTTTCAGAAGAAAAATAAATCTCAGCCCCTAAAAATTAGGACCCATGTAAAAAACATGACCCTACCCCAACACACACACACACACACACACACACACCACCAACACCAACACACACACCACCAACACACACACCACCAACACACACACACACACACACACACACCACCACCACCACCAACACACACACCACCAACACACACACACACACACACACACACACACACACACACACACACACACACCACCACCACCACCACCACCACCCTCACACCCCCAACACAAATGGACCGCCCCTTAGACTGACCACCTCGGACATTTGGAAGGTAGCGAGTGTTGACTGTACATTTGCACTCATCTGATCCCATCACTTGATCAATTCTATTGTCTTAATCGGTGCACAGTATATGAACAATGTTTTGAGTGTCATTTGGCTATGCACAGTCACTCAGGCTTTTAATCCATCCAGGTTGGGTAAGAGGGAATGAGCCTACTGGATAATGTAACACAAAACTGAACAATGTAACATACGACTTAACAATGTAACCCACGACTTATACACATAACCTAGACAGAACAATGTAACATACGACTTAACAAGTTAACACACAACTTATACACATAACCTAGGCCGAACAATGTAACATACGACTTAACAAGTTAACACACGACTTATACACATAACCTAGACCGAACAATGTAACATACGACTTAACCACGTCACACATAACTGAACAATGTAACATACGACTTAACAAGTTAACACACAACTTATACACATAACCTAGGCCGAACAATGTAACATACGACTTAACAAGTTAACACACGACTTATACACATAACCTAGACCGAACAATGTAACATACGACTTAACCACGTCACACATAACTGAACAATGTAACATACGACTTAACAATGTAACCCACGACTTATACACATAACCTAGACAGAACAATGTAACATACGACTTAACAAGTTAAAACACAACTTAGACACATAACCTAGGCCGAACAATGTAACATACGACTTAACAAGTTAACACACGACTTATACACATAACCTAGACCGAACAATGTAACATACGACTTAACCACGTCACACATAACTGAACAATGTAACATACGACTTAACAATGTAACCCACGACTTATACACATAACCTAGACAGAACAATGTAACATACGACTTAACAAGTTAACACACAACTTAGACACATAACCTAGGCCGAACAATGGAACATACGACTTAACAAGTTAACACACAACTTATACACATAACCTAGGCCGAACAATGTAACATACGACTTAACAAGTTAACACACAACTTATACACATAACCTGGGCCGAACAATGTAACATACGACTTAACCACGTCACACATAACTGAACAATGTAACATACGACTTAACAAGTTAACACACGACTAATACACATACCCTAGGCCGAACAATGTAACATACGACTTAACAAGTTAACACACAACTGATACACATAACCTAGGCCGAACAATGTAACATACGACTTAACAAGTTAACACACAACTTATACACATAACCTGGGCCGAACAATGTAACATACGACTTAACAAGTTAACACACGACTTATACACATAACCGGGACCGGACAACGTAACATACGACTTAACAAGTTAACACACAACTTATACACATAACCTAGGCCGAACAATGTAACATACGACTTAACAAGTTAACACACAACTTATACACATAACCTAGGCCGAACAATGTAACATACGACTTAACAAGTTAACACACGACTTATACACATAACCTAGGCCGAACAATGTAACATACGACTTAACAAGTTAACACACGACTTATACACATAACCTAGGCCGAACAATGTAACATACGACTTAACAAGTTAACACACGACTTATGCACATAACCTAGGCCGAACAATGTAACATACGACTTAACAAGTTAACACACGACTTATGCACATAACCTAGGCCGAACAATGTAACATACGACTTAACAAGTTAACACACGACTTATACACATAACCTAGGCCGAACAATGTAACATACGACTTAACAAGTTAACACACGACTTATACACATAACCTAGGCCGAACAATGTAACATACGACTTAACAAGTTAACACACGACTTATACACATAACCTAGGCCGAACAATGTAACATACGACTTAACAAGTTAACACATGACTTATACACATAACCTAGGCCGAACAATGTAACATACGACTTAACAAGTTAACACACGACTTATACACATAACCTAGGCCGAACAATGTAACATACGACTTAACAAGTTAACACACAACTTATACACATAACCTAGGCCTAAAAAAGTAACATACGACTTAACAAGTTAACACACGACTTATACACATAACCTAGGCCGAACAATGTAACATACGACTTAACAAGTTAACACATGACTTATACACATAACCTAGGCCGAACAATGTAACATACGACTTAACAAGTTAACACACGACTTATACACATAACCTAGGCCGAACAATGTAACATACGACTTAACAAGTTAACACACGACTTATACACATAACCTAGGCCGAACAATGTAACATACGACTTAACAAGTTAACACACGACTTATACACATAACCTAGGCCGAACAATGTAACATACGACTTAACAATGTAACATGACTTAACCTCGTAACACATGACTTAACCTCGTAACCAAGACCAAATAATGTAACAAACGACTTAAGCACGTAAGACATGACTTAACAACATAACCAAGACCGAACAATGTAACCAACGACTTAACAGTGTAACACATGACTTAACCACGTAACCAAGACCAAAAAATGTAACCAACGACTTAACAGTGTAATACATGACTTAACCATGTAACCAAGACCGAACAATGTAACCAAGACTGAACAATGTAACCAACGACTTAACAATGTAATACATGAATTAACCACGTAACCAAGACCGAACAATGTAACAAACGACTTAACAATGTAACAAACGACTGAACAATGTACCATACGACCTAACAAAGTAAGTGACGTAACCCAGGGCGAACAATGACACACGACTGAAACATGTCCTATCTGACAAATGCGATTTACAAAAGGAAAACGAAACTTCTTCTCCTGTTTGGGTTTGGGGATTTAGTTCATACCTTGGACAGGTTTACAGCTAAAGGTGACGCTAAATGCCCTTGACCATACCATAGGACTTGTTCTTTTCGAACTAGTTTCTAATTAACTTGTTGACAACCTTGGTTTGTTTGTATGTTTGTTTGTTGTTTAAAGCCGCACTCAGCATTATTCCAGCAATGTGACGGAGGTCTGTAAATAATCGAGTCTGGACCAGACAATTCAGTGATTGACATCATGAGCATCGATCCATGCAATTGGGATACAATGACATGCATCAACCAAGTCAGCGAGCCTGACCACCTGATCCCGTTAGTCGCCTCTAACGACAAGCATAGTCGCCTTTTTACAACAAGCATGGGTTGCTGAAGACCTATTCTACCCCGGATTTTCTCAGGTCTGACAACCTTGGTGGGAAAGAAGTTCATGTATACTAGTATATGTTTTAGGACATATAGTCTGTAATGAAACTATTTGACATTTAACCCACTAAATCAAAATGAAATGTTTACATTGCTTTATCTAAACGTTATGTGTACATACTTACATATATTAGCCTACAGTGGTATTGCGTATCGTCAATGGGTGGAACTGAACGTAAACAATAACATGCTCATAATCGATTATCCCGTGTATTACATCGCCCGCGCAGGGAGCCGCGCCCCCTCCCCCATAACATACTTATACTGAACATATACACATTCCGAAATTAAACTTTAAAGTAGAAAATGCATCAACAAAAATGGACATGCATACTAGTTATTTATTTACTCTAAACCAGACATGGTATACTGGTGTCGTTTCGAGAATTTATGCAAGATTGATCCCCAGTCTAGACATTGTAATTAGCTCCATGTGTGACAATACTGCCGGGTTGAAATAGCATAGTGGATTTTGAATGACTTGAATCTAGCCTCCTTGGACTGCCAATTTGCCTGACTCTGTTTTTCCTTAAAATTGTTTATTTAACATTTCTTGAAAAAAAAAACATTCATGACTCATTCAAACCAGAGACCATAAAATAGGTTTCTATTTTATGGTCGCTGTTCAAACTATTAAAAGCACTTTGCGTTTAAACCGAAGCTCTTCGCATGGTTTTTCTATCTCCATTTCCCCTGTATGGAGCTTTGGAATCTGGGTCGCTCTTCCGAACGCAGTCAGCAATGTTCACAAGTGACAAGCAAGCACACAAGCGTTAAACTTCCTTATTACAGCTGTGAGGTTAGTTCGCATTTTCGTCGCGTATACGTAATATAGTATTAATAAAACGTCATATAACAGGAATGTAGTAATTATTTCCGTTCCAGTGTTACTCAAATGGGAGGGGATGTTTTCAGTTTCTTGATCCCTGGTGTTGATAAAGAAAGTTGAGACTCGGTTCTGAATTTAACCTAAAAGCCAAGTTAATATGCACCGTTCCTGCCTTATGGTAAGATTTGGCAAACGCATTTTTGAATATTTTAACGGTTCTAAGCACTTATATTGTTCCATATGTTTTAATTGGTGGAGTTTTCAGTTTTGACAGACCTGTGACAAAGAAATGTTTGCGAAAATTTTGATTGATTTTCCATTTACCGAATTCATGCTTTCTGCTCAATATCTGAATCACATAAGATTGCATGGATATCGTCATTACTAATTCAAGAAGAGTGTTTCAATGCTAACCATCCGAATATTATGTTGTGTGCAAAAACCTCATGCCGCATGCGGTGTGAGAAATTTACTGGGGTGCCAGAGATCTTTAGATTTTCTCCTATAGCCTGTTTTTTTTCAATCCAAGAACTTGACATAAGCTTTTGAGAAGGACCCCTTAAATTTGGCCTTAATTTTGAACACTGTGTTGTGGTGGTCGTGACACAATGTAAGTGGAAATTCATCTATAACTCAGTGTATGGTATCTAAAGAACAGGATGAGGGTTAGAAACTAACATTTTTTGTCCACTAGTCCTTATAATGATAACATATAGCAAAACCCTTAAAATGGGCCAATTTCTACTAGTCCTTAGGTTACTTTTACTATTGGGCAGTTTGGTAAGGACTACAGGACTAGTGCCAATTTCTAACACTGAGGATCATGTAGCCTACATGATGTAACTAGTGTAACTAGTAATCTGTACCAACAAACTTGAAGACCCGTCTGTTAGTAAAGAATATTAGTTACATGGCCCTGTGCTTAAAGCTACCAGCCCTAGATGTACTATGGAATATTCTGTGTAAATTCATTCATAACCTATGGTTTGTTGTTGTATCAAACTTCATGAAAATGGATAGGTTGGCTAGGAGGGTTGGTTGGTTGGTTTGTTGTTTTACGCCGCACACAGCAATATTCCAGCTATATGACGGCGGTCTGTAAATAATTGAGTCTGGACCAGACAATCCAGTGATTAATATAATGAGCATCGATCCACGCAATTGGGATCGATGACATGCATCAACCAAGTCAGCAAGCCTGACCACCCGATCCCGTTAGTCGCCTCTAACGACAAGCATAGTCGCCTTTTTACAACAAGCATGGGTTGTTGAAGACCTATTCTATCCCGGATTTTATCAGGTCTGATAACCTTGGTAGGAAAGAAGTGCATGTATTCTAGTATATGTTTTAGGACATATAGTCTGTAATGAAACTATTTGACATTTAACCCACTAAATCAAAATGAAATGTTTACATTGCTTTATCTAAACGCTTTATCCTTTTACGACAAGCATAGTCAGCTTTAAGGCAAGCATGGGTTGCTGAAAACCTATTCTACCCCGGAATCTTTTTACGGGTCTGGCTAGAAGGGAGTCCTGATAGGTTCTACATGTGTAAGATCATTCTGCAGTTTATTGTAATTGTTTAATGTACAAAAACAATGAAATACTTCTCTAGTGTAAAAATTAATTTACTGCTCAATTATTTAAAAATTAGGCATCTGAAAATGTGTATTACTCTCTATGTATGATTTGAGCATGGTGGGTCACCACTGTCCAATCTGTTTGGTAAAACAACTAGAGCTAACTTCCATAGCATTTTTTTAAAACTCAGATTATTGGTTGCTAAATTAGATTTCTAATCCATTTTCTTCTTGATTTTACACAGTTAAATTGTTACTGTTTGCCATTGTTACTGACTAAAATCCCTAAATATTAATGCATACTGACTAATGACCCTGTTAGAATGGAGCTATTTGTATGTTTGTACTCAGGCTTTTGGGTTGAGGTCCATATTTCTATGTTGTCACTATTCAAGTATGTCACTGTAACAGAAAATGTTTAGGTTATTTTCCACCCCTAAGATCACATAGTTCATTGTTATGCCATCATCTACTGGTTTGTTTGGTCCAGACTGTATTACGGTACTTACGCTGATAGGATTATTTTAGAAGGGTCCCTGTTTACATGTATACTGAAATGTATCCTTACATACTTTGAATTTATCATCAGTGTTAGTATGTACTACACTTCAGTGTTTGAAATTAAGGAGAGTCCTGAGGTCTTTGAGGTGTTCTTTGGTATTTGAATATCGGAACCCCCTAAATATTTAACTTTTAACATAGGGTTATGACAAGGACATCTTGAATTTCATACTTATTTTCAAACATTGCACTTGATAATTGAGGATGCTTTTTTGGAGAGTCTGGATGGATGTAACCAACCATTTTAACATAACATTCATTTGATAAAATATAGAGTGACAGAGAAAATAAGTTATGTACTCACTTTGGCAAAATTATTCAAACAACCCTTCTTTTGCTCTACTGATAAGTGACACAGACATTTCTTTTAACCTTCGACATAAAACATCCCTGCTTAAAATTCCATGTCATCTTTGCTCCTATACATTCGCGTTCTTATTTTACGTGGTCAATCAGCTCAAACTGAGATTTATTAATGTACATGAGTATTTATTGGACACTGACAACCTATGTTCATCAGATATAAGTGACCGGAAAGATATATTTCATTCAAATTTGTTGTAGCATCGATGCAGTTGACATCATCTTCCTCTGTGTGTCATGTTTCAGGATGTGTGGTCACACTTCACACAACACACAGGAAGAGTTGATACATAGGGGGAACCACAAGTATGGAACCTCTGACTCCATGGTTCATGAGTATTTCACACTCCCTGGTGAAGGCCTTCCTACATTAAACATTCCTTGCTAGACATTGATTGTGTTCTGGTGTGTGAAGTAAGTATAATGTAACCATGGCCAGGACATGCTGTGTGCTGTGTGCGGTGCTCTTTGGGATTCAAGTCATACAAGGTAGGGATTGTAAAATTTATTATTGATAAGTTTAGGCTACAATCTAAATTTGTTCATATTTGTTCGTGCTTTTATACATGGTTTATGCAGATTGTTTTTACTCATGTACATTATGATGATGTAAGAAGTTATAATCATGATATGATGTTAAGTTCTAGGGCATTATTTTGTTCACTGATGCAAAACGAAAACAATTCTTACTGTTCTATTTTTTCGCATGGTGTGAATAATTTCATTATCATGATTATGTTTTCATGATCTTTATTTCTTTTGCAAGTTTTGAAGTAATCACCTGCCATTTCTATTTACTGAAACTAATATTCTTAGAAATAAGAAGTTGTTAAAGCCTTGATGTACCTCGGACAGTGTCTCTGATAGTTTTCTGTTACTATGGATACTGTTTTAGTGTGGGCTGTCAGTCCATGTGAGGATACACCTAACTGGGTGGGATATTGTAGAGGCAGCACAGACTGCAGCTACCCAGTCAGTGTATCAAGCCAAGCATACAGCCACTGTAAGAAGACCTGCAAGATCTGCGAATCAGGTAGATGTGCCTGTTTACCTATCATTCATTAACACTGTGAGATCAGTAGTACTGATGGGTACATCTGGGGAAATGTTAGGTGTTAAACTGAAAATAAGACTGAGCTGACCAGTCCTTGTTTTAGCCCTTTATGCTGAGCGCCAGGCAGGTTAACAACAAGTACCATCTTTTAATATCTTTAATTGTGATGCTATAAGTTGGGGATGCTTCTATACAGCAAGGAATGTTTATATCCATCTCCTTTCCTGAGTGTTGAAAGCAAAAATACAAAACAACTCTGCAAAACATGTTTTTGTTGCCGTTGTACAGAGTTCAATTTTGTATGTGCCCGCAGCAGTACAACTTCTCTGTGTGTTCTTATTGAAATGGGGAGCATGGGTGGCCCAGTAGTCCAAGGTATCACAATTCACTGTACAGAGTTGCATCCCTTGAGCACACCAGAAACCTATGATTGTGGGTTCGAATCCTGATTCACCCTGATTATGTTTCTAGGTTTGTCATTACCATACAAATGCTTGTGGGTTTTACCAAAGAGGTAATTGTCTGAGACCTGCATCACTTCGGGCTTTCCTCCAACATTAAGCTGACATGCCATGATATTATTGGAATACTGTTTAAACCAGTGTTAAACCCAGCTCACTCACTCATGCTTATTGAAATGTGGGTCTGTTGTTAAGGCAGATGAGAACACTGTGATATAGCATGTAGGTATTTCAGGAATGATCACAAACTAAGTGTCCTCTGCCATCATCTGACAAAACCAAACCATATGTTTCAAGTATACAAATATCTGTTCAGATGTGCTGACATGTTGGAATTAGTGGATTGTGCAAAAATCTGTAAGTCTCTTAAAGAATGAAAAGAAAGCCTAGTTAAAATAGGAAGGACTGGATCATTTGGCGCGAAATTCTTCAGTCATGAGCAGTGATGAGTAAACTATGAAAGTGAATGTGTCACCTCACACGTAAAACCTGAATGTGAGGCTGGTAGTATAAGATTATTTGATTTGTTTATAATATGTGTGAATTGTTAAATGACATTACTTTATCGCTTCCTGACTGTTCCCAGACACAGCGTGTGCTGATGGCTACTATGGTGCAGACTGTAAGCCCTGTGTATCTCGCTGTAACAGCAGCGGCCAGTGTGAGGACAAGGGGTCCAGTGAGTGTCCACAGACATGTCCAGATGGTTACTACAGCTTCAACTGTAATAGGAGATGTCCTAGCAACATCTGTGCTGCATGTAATCGGTGGTCTGGAGAGTGTGAGGCATGTAAAGATGGAAGCTATGGCAGGAAATGCCTCCAAAGATGCTCAGAACATTGTATGGACAAAACTTGTGACATAGATAGCGGAGAATGTCTTGATGGGTGTGAACCTATGTGGGTGGGTGAGAAATGTGATGTTAAAGAAGTAATCTGTGAGAACTGCAATCTTCATAGCTGTACAGATGACATGACATGTCTATCTGGTTGTAAGAATACATGGTATGGCCCCAAGTGTGACCAACAGTGCAAAAATTGTAAAAAGAAAAATTGTACCAGTTCTGGTGTCTGTCAAGCTGGATGTATAGCTGGCTTCTATGGGAACACATGTACTGAAAGCTGTAGTGAGTTTTGTGACAAGAAACGATGTAATCAGACTGGCTACTGTAACAACTGTGTGTCAGGAAGACACGGAGAAGACTGCACCAGGATCTGCAGCACCAACTGTGAGGGCCCCTGCTACAGAAATACTGGGAAATGTAAAGACTGTTCAGTTGGATGGTATGGACGGTTTTGTACAAAATCCTGCGACAACTGTCTGAATGGATGTGAGAGAAAAGGGAAATGTAAAGATGGTTGCAAGTTAGGCTGGTATGGGGGAAAGTGTACTACACCTTGCTCCAACTGTTTTAATGGTTCCTGTGAACAGTCCTCAGGACATTGCGAAAGGGGATGCAGTCCAGGATATCATGGTATTAAGTGTGACCAGCTCTGTGGTCAGCATTGCAAGGACAGCGTGTGTGATCAGACATCTGGACTTTGCATTGAGTGCAAGGACACATGGTATGGGGCTAACTGCACCAAGGAATGTAGTTCCTCCTGCAGCAATAGTCATTGTGTGACAGACTCAACTGGATCTCCTGAATGTACCCATGGATGTGTTGATGGCAAGAAGGGATCTTACTGTCAGAAGCAATGCCCAGATCAATGCTATAACTGCACAGATGATAATTGTATGGTATGCAAGGACGGTTTTCATGGAGATGATTGCAGAGAGACCTGTCCAGCCAACTGTGAACATGGCTGTCAGAAGGACACAGGATTGTGTACATCATGTAAGGTTGGCTTTTTTGGCACTCAGTGTCAGTTGTCCTGTATTTTCAGATGCAAAGCATCTGACTCAGGGGATCAGTTCTGTAGCTTCAGTGATGGAGCTTGCCTCAATGGCTGTATTGACACAGTATATGGGACTCGTTGTGATCAGAATTGTAGTGACACCTGCAGAGATCAGACATGTAATGACAAAGATGGTACCTGTACAAGCGGATGTATGGATGGCTGGAAAGGTCCCAAGTGCAAAACCACATGTCCATCCAACTGCAAGTCATGTACCGACACCTCCTGCACTGAGTGTAATCCAAGCTGGTTTGGTGACAACTGTCGGAGAGAATGTCCAAATTGTGCTGAGGGGAACTGCATTCGACGATCAGGTGTTTGCCAAGAAGGATGTCTACCAGGGTTTCATGGTAAAAAGTGTGACCTCAAGTGTGCCACATATTGTAAAATGCGTGAAGGTATGTACAATTTTGTTTATTGTGACCAGAATACTGGTCGATGTCTCGACGGCTGCACAGATGGACATTATGGTGACCTGTGTAAAAGAAACTGCAGTAAAACATGTCATGCGCATGTCTGTGAGCAGAACTCCGGAAAGTGTAACAATGGCTGCCAAAGCGGTAGACATGGGGACTTCTGTGACCGGAAGTGTAGTGTACATTGTGGGAGATCCACTGACAGACAGTGCATCCAGGCTGATGGTTCCTGTAACTTAGGCTGTCTGAAAGGCTGGTATGGATCCCACTGTGACAAGAACTGCTCAGATGGATGTTATGAAGGAGTCTGTAGACAGAGCTCAGGGCTGTGTGTGCAAGGTTGTGAAAAGGGCATCATGGGAGACACATGTGACACTGGTAATTATGACATACATTGATATTTTATTTTATGTTTATTGAAAAGAGAGGTTTGTGTTTACTGTCTTTCTTGGGACAAATGGAGTTTGAAATTTGCTAATTGCTGCTCTTGTACAAACTATTTCCTTATCAGATTTCAATTATGATGTTATAGTTAAAACACTCCTCCTAGGTTTTTAGTTGTGAATGTTAAACCTGGAAAATCCCTCGGGCCTTTACATTTTCAGCCAAAGAGGAATATGGAACCAACTTTTGAACCCTCTAAAGCAAAAAATACCAGAAAGAATAATCTTGAAAACTTTGGGATACCTTTGTGTGACACAATACATTTGTCTGGCATTAAACTGAATTCGATGACGGAGGGTGAGAGAAAGACCTTGTGCAACATACAAACAACTGAAATCATGACATTGACCACTATTGATTAAACACTCTTTTTATCGCCTGCCTGAATGACTTACTAGGTTACAATAGTTAACATGATACAGGGATTTTTCTAGATCTGATTAGAAGCTAATAAGTAGCCTTAAGTCAGCAGCAGAAAATGTCAGTAAAAAAATTCAAAATTTATCATGTTCATGCTTTTACATTATCATGATTATAACCAATGTTGTGGCTTTGTAAGGTGACTAAATTCACGGATAACAGGACCAGTATTGAGAAATGGGCTTAAATACTTAGTTTAACATTATCATGATTATTACTTTGAAATCTAAGTTAAAATAGCTCTGAATTTAGGAAAATAGAAACTTTAATTCTTTTCCCCAATTTTGAACTACCATAATTAATGATATTTCCCTATTGGCCAGCAAGGTTGCTAGGTTTAGAATCATCAGTCACAGACGTAGATCATAGACAAAATCCCTTTGGTTTGTGAAGTTGCTGTTTCGATTCATGTCATGGAATTTTCATGTGTTTTAACATGTTTAACCAGTCAACCAACATTAGATGCATATTAAGATGCTGTTAGTACAATTCAACTGTTAAACTGTAAAACCTTGGTCTTACAATTCAAATTGTAAAACCTCTCAGCAGGTCTCACTTGAAAGAAGTGCATATCACAAGATTACTATGGGAAAGCATGATACCTACAATACTATGTTGCAGTAGGTTTATAAGATGTGCAGCTGTGGGCATTATGGTAACACCAGTTGTTGCAGAGGGAGGAATCTTCTCTGTTCATCATTAATCATGTTCATAATACTGAGATAAACCTTCTATTAACCATGTTAACATGTTTAGTCAGTTCGGAAAAATGATTTGCATATATAAGGTACACTTGCATTATAGCACATACCTGTCGGTCATATTTGTTTGATTTTTCTTATTAAGCTGCATGTGATTACGTGGCTATATGAAAAATAGGCAAATAAAACTCATAATAAGCGGAAATATGGTTTAATATTATTAAATCATGAAACTGAATATGAAAGCAATTCATAAACATAGAAAAACAGATATCAACATACTCGAAAATACTCATGCTGATACTGTGCAGTAACCTCATCAGTTACCTGCATCATGTCCCCTTAGCAAAAGATTACTAAAAGATTTATTACGTAATTTACAAGGACTCGTGGGGGCAAGTTCTCCAACCTCCCTGTTAATATAGCAAAGCAGCTAGAAATCAGGTAATGGTAGCTGAACAACTTAGACATGGTGACTAACATGACGAAGGAAGGAACTAACACACATCCCTTGCCAAATTGGTGACATAAACACTGACGGACTGCTTCCACAATCCTGGGGAAACCCCTGGGAATTCCCTAATACGAATGCATACAGAAGCGTTCTTTCTGAAAAATTAGACCATTTAATCTTGAACTCAGCATTTCAGTTTACATTGAGAAACGTCAGAGAGTTTGACTGCATGATCGTTTACAAATATCCTCGCTACCGAACCTAATGTGAACTAAACGAAGAAATGCACATCCATACTTTCTAAGTATCGACTCGATCCGTGTCAAGGGTGACAGTGTACAGCAGTCTTTGAATTTACCTTAGTATCTAATTAACACATCTTAAATCACCTTTCAATGAATGACCAGTTGTTCAATGATAACTAAATCATGTAACCACCACAGGTTCATTAAAAACTTCCGAAATCTCTCCCGTCACGTTTATCGTGTCGGCCATTTTGACATCTGGTACTTAATGTAAATGCATTACGACGCGCTGTCACTGTGACTGACTTACTGAGGTAGTTCTTAACAGAAATATTTCATCTAATGAGGATATTATTTGAATACATTTGTTGTGAAAAAGAGCTACAAAAGTTGTTTCTTTAGAGCATGCATACGTTCATGTCACCTCTCGTTTTGAGGAACTATTTTCTTCCACGATACAACTGGTTGTTGTATGGCTGTCAGTGTAAACATGAAGTCACACGTACTTAGTATTGCGTATTGACCTAGAACCTTTTAGGTACAAAATAGTGATACAAAAAATTATAAGAATTGACTTTCACTTTGTGTGAGTTCATTGGAGTATGAACCTTCATAGAGTGAGGGCCAAACTCTTAAGTATATTTTTTTATTATCATTGCTCCTCTTTTACTCAGTCTGCCCTATTTCTAGCATGTCCTTATGGTCGCTATGGCTACAACTGCAGTGGAACATGTGGTTACTGTAGAAGCAATGCTACCTGTGACAGTATCCATGGCAACTGTTCTATGGGATGTGCAGATGGTTATGGAGGCTTCTTCTGCTCTGACAGAAGTGAGTATATACATTTGTTTTACATCAGGTTGATCAAAATTCAATGTTCACATAACATGCTGTGTGGCAAGCTCATCAGTTGCCTGCATCATGGCCACATTACCATGATTACAAACGATTACAAAATCTTTTATTACATAATTTACTCTGGAAGACCTTTGTGGGATTGCACTGAACATTCATAGCATAGTGGCTGAACTGTTAAATCTGTATTAGCACCACGCTCAGACAGCCTTATAGTCACTGGACCCTCACTCAAAGAACAAAGAACATGCATGTTTGTATTGTTACTCCTAATCCAACAAAGAACTCACATAATATGCAAAAGTGGCAGTCAAGTCTTCATCTGTTTATGTTTTATGGATTTTTATATCACAATTAGTATTAAAAGATTAATTCTGTATTGTGTGGAAACTGGTGAAATGGTCGAAATTGCTTGGTGATTTCAACAATTTTCAATTAGGAATACCATCATGAAGATGATAAACATCACAAAGACTGAACATGATCATGATGATGAACCTTAACATAAGGAAAATTAAGTTCTTTATAACTGATTAGACTCATCTGCATGAGAAGAATCCATGCATACATAAACTGTTAATAAATGAAACCATAGTTTCACTGCCAACACTGTTTGTCACAAACATCTTTTACTCACTTGCATCCAGTGACCATTCTAGAAGAAGAATAAAAAGTACTGTTGTCACGTTTATTAGGCATGTTGGTAAATTTCCAGATTTGACAATGGTGACCTATCATGGTATTTATCTGTTTCAGTGATAATTGCACCATCGCCTGGCCCTAAAAGTGCAGGACCAATTTCCCTCACCATGCTCCTGGCTGTGGTTGCCATCTTGCTGATAGCAGTCCTCCTCGTTGTAGGTTTCCTAGTCTACAAAAGGTAGAGTCTGTTGTTCCTGACAACATGGACAATAGTATCATGTAGGTTTCCTAGTCTACAAAAGGTAAAGTCTGTTGTTCCTGACAACATGGACAATAGTACCATGTAGGTTTCCTAGTCTACAAAAGGTAAAGTCTGTTGTTCCTGACAACATGGACAATAGTACCATGTAGGTTTCCTAGTCTAAAAAAGGTAAAGTCTGTTGTTCCTGACAACATGGACAATGGTATCATGTAGGTTTCCTAGTCTAAAAAAGGTAAAGTCTGTTGTTCCTGACATTAGTATCATGTAGGTTTCCTAGTCTACAAAAGGTAAAGTCTGTTGTTCCTGACAACATGGACAATAGTATCATGTAGGTTTCCTAGTCTACAAAAGGTAGAGTCTGTTGTTCCTGACAACATGGACAATGGTATCATGTAGGTTTCCTAGTCTACAAGAGGTAAAGTCTGTTGTTCCTGACATGGACAATAGTATCATGTAGGTTTCCTAGTCTACGAAAGGTAGAGTCTGTTGTTCCTGACAACATGGACAATGGTATCATGTAAGTTTCCTAGTCTACAAAAGGTAAAGTCTGTTGTTCCTGACAACATGGATATTAGTATCATGTAGGTTTCCTAGTCTACAAAAGGTAACGTCTGTTGTTCATGACAACATGGACAATGGTATCATGTAGGTTTCCTATTCTACAAAGGTAAAGTCTGTTGTTCCTGACAATAGTATGATGTAGATTTCCTAGTCTACAAAAGGTAGAGTCTTTTGTTCCTGACAACATGGACAATGGTATCATGTAGGTTTCCTAGTCTACAAAAGATAAAGTCTGTTGTTCCTGACAACATGGACAATAGTATCATGTAGGTTTCCTAGTCTACAGAAGGTAAAGTCTGTTGTTCCTGACAATAGTATCATGTAGGTTCCTTGTCTACAAAAGGTAGAGTCTGTTGTTCCTGACAACATGGACAATGGTATCATGTAGGTTTCCTAGTCTACAAAAGGTAAAGTCTGTTGTTCCTGACATTAGTATCATGTAGGTTCCTTGTCTACAAAAGGTAAAGTCTGTTGTTCCTGACAACATGGACAATAGTATCATGTAGGTTTCCTAGTCTACAAAAGGTAAAGTCTGTTGTTCCTGACAACATGGACAATGGTATCATGTAGGTTTCCTAGTCTACAAAAGGTAAAGTCTGTTGTTCCTGACAACATGGATATTAGTATCATGTAGGTTTCCTAGTCTACAAAAGGTAAAGTGTGTTGTTCGTGACAACATGGACAATGGTATCATATAGGTTTCCTATTCTACAAAGGTAAAGTCTGTTGTTCCTGACAATAGTATGATGTAGGTTTCCTAGTCTACAAAAGTTAGAGTCTTTTGTTCCTGACAACATGGACAATGGTATCATGTAGGTTTCCTAGTCTACAAAAGGTAGAGTCTGTTGTTCCTGACAACATGGACAATGGTATCATGTAGGTTTCCTAGTCTACAAAAGGTAGAGTCTGTTGTTCCTGACAACATGGACAATGGTATCATGTAGGTTTCCTAGTCTACAAAAGGTAAAGTCTGTTGTTCCTGACAATAGTATCATGTAGGTTTCCTAGTCTACAAAAGGTAGAGTCTGTTGTTCCTGACAACATGGACAATGGTATCATGTAGGTTTCCAAGTCTACAAAAGGTAGAGTCTGTTGTTCCTGACAACATGGACAATGGTATCATGTAGGTTTCCTAGTCTACAAAAGGTAGAGTCTGTTGTTCCTGACAACATGGACAATGGTATCATGTAGGTTTCCTAGTCTACAAAGGTAAAGTCTGTTGTTCCTGACAATAGTATCATGTAGGTTTCCTAGTCTTCAAAAGGTAAAGTCTGTTGTTCCTGACAACATGGACAATAGTATCATGTAGGTTTCCTTGTCTACAAAAGGTAAAGTCTGTTGTTCTTGACAGTAGTACCATGTAGGTTTGTTTATTTGTTTGGTTGTTTTTTGGGGTACAAAATAATGAAGTCCACTGTTTACTACAGATATGAATTATCTATTTACCAGCAGTTATGCATCTTTTGTACTTTATTTAACATAATATGTGCCCCAGGTGCTTAGGAAATTGACAAAGTTGTGTGCTTGTTAAAATTATGCACAAGTTAAATTTGTTTCCTTGATAGAGCAGTTCAAGTTGTGAAAAAAGTTAATTTAAATGTTGATGAAATGCTAAAACATTTTTGATAATAGTTTTACTAGGTAATTATATACACCTTCTGTATTGCTTTTTTTTTTTTTAAACAACAATAATCTGTATTATACACAAGAAAATATGTACTGTCATTTAAATTTGTGGTCTTTAACTCTTAGTAGGGAACGCTTATAAAGATTACTGACCTATTCGTTTAGAATTTTGTTAAGGGCGCCTATTGAAACAGCTTGATATGGCAAATGTGGCATTGATGTCAGGAAGGTAAAAATGCTAAAAATAACTTTCACTGTTCGTTAACAATATCATCTGTTAAAAGAAGGGATACAGGTGTTTCAGTCATCTTAGGCACTGCAATTCATCCCTTAGGTGTGCCAGGATCGGAGGATTGTGGGTTCAAATGCTAGATTTGCTCTTGTAATGAACGTTGGTTTGTCGGCACAAAATGAATGCTCATGGGTTAAACAAAAGTGGTAAACTTCAAGACCTGCTGCAGGACTTTAGGTGTCTTGCACATTAAGGTGACATACTGTGATATAACTGAAATACTGTTCAAAGGAGTTAACTTTGCTCATTTGTTCATTGTTCAAAGAACATTCAGCATACTCAATCAAGTCACTGTTGTCATTGATTTATCTCTTGATCCACAGACGAAAGGTTGTACAGTCCAAGAATAACAGGAATTCTGACTACCAGCAGTTGCCATTGTCTCCTAATATTGTTGCCAACCCTTCATACTGTCACTCCCCAGGAGGTAACCAGGGTAACACACTCAACATTAGACTTCTTGCTCTGAGAGGATAATTGAAGTGCCGCTGTGTAGTCATGATTGTGTCGGAACTTAAATCCCTGAAACATTGCAAAACATATAACAGTGGCCTTCTTGTGTGTGACTTTTCAGTCTATTGTTATTTTACAACAGAATACCGACATTCTCAGATGATACCATCAATAATCTAATGGTTGCAATATTTTCAAACAGGTTTTTCTAAAGTTTTATAAATTATGATATATCATGGATGCCATCCTGAGTTTCTCTACCCTATGAATATATTGAAACATTGTAGTTCAACCTTTACAAACAGCTCCAAGCAAGGCTTTGCGTGCTACATTCAAGAAGAATGGAGTTGCAGGCAGCCAGAATGGCCATGTGGCAGTGGCAGACATTCATATGGACGAAGATGACACTGAGAACCCTTACTACAACCTTGTCTCAAAGAACTCTCCTACCATGGTGAAGACAAGTGATCTGTGGAGCCATATTCAACAGCTGAAGCTGGAGGGAGGGTATCAGGAACAGTATGATGTGAGCTGAATTACTAACATGTGTTAAAGAGGCCTAGAGAATTTATTACCTTTGTCCCTGATGCATTGTAATTTACACCTGACAATCCAATACACGATGCTTCTATTCAGTTTTAATTCTGTGTTATCATATGTTAGTAATATGGTAGTAATATGTTTGAAGATTTGAAATAACTCAGCCTGATAACTACTTGGGCTAGTGTTTCCTTGCTACTTCATAGTTTCAAAGAGATAATTTGCCAGTGTAAAACTTCCCAGGATATGATTTGCCTTGTTTTATCATTCCAAAGGAATAGTTTGTCATATGTAATTAGTCCAAAGAGACATTTTGCCATATGTTTTTTTTTGTTATTAGTTTTAAAGTATACTTTGCTAACATTCTTAATTGAATTACCAACAATGAATCAGACTTTTAGTGTTCATTATGAAGATCTGATGTCAGGTAACACCTGAATCTAAGTAAGTTGTAAGATAAATGAAACAATTCCTTGCAGAAACTACCGACCGGGCTGCTCCTTCCTTGTGATGTTGCGATGTCACCGGAACATAGGGGGAAAAACAGATACAAGAACATCTGTGCATGTAGGTTCTTAGTCATGTCTCTAGTGTAGCAGGTACTTTCATTAAAGGAAGAATGGGTAGTCAAATCAAGGTTTGTGTCACAAGCTTACAAAGGTCTATCAATCTTTCTAGAATTATCAACAAACTTACTATTTTATACCTTGGTACATTTGAGTATCAGTGTCATTAGGTGGAGAGTTTTTAGAGATTTCAAATTTAACCAGTAACGATATCACATGAATGAATAGTTTTTGTTTTGACAAAAGTGTGTTGAGAAAAGATAAGCAAGTTCAATGCGAACCATGTATACCCTATTTACCATGGTTGCTCAGGTAGTGTACAGGTTATATCATTATCAGGATAATGTTAAGTGTGCCATCAGCATCCTCATTCTCATTCATTTTCGAAAATAATTTTACAGGTTATATCTTTGGTAGCTTTTCATGTTAAATATGAATGAAGTAAATACAGTGAAATGCTTAAGACGATATAACTATAGTGTAAGGTACCAGCAAACCCTTATCAAGGTTACTGTTTAATATTGACACTCAGCTTGAATCGAAATATCTTCCCTATTGTCTACAGGTCTTAGAGATAATGGGGTTTCTCTGTCATATTTTGGGGGACAAAACATCTTTGATAAACATGTGGTTTTAAATTATATCTCCTTTATCTGTTGTTATGTGATATTGGTAAGACTATAACTAACCTGGTGATAAGAGGGTATTGAGAGTCTTAAAGGCATTCCTATTATGATTTTCATAGAATTTACTGGTTCTGACGGAGTAGTTTGGTAAGTGTTAGATACTGCACACTTTTATGTTGAGTAGCTTATCATGCATTAAAAAAAACCAGACATATATTTTAGTGCATTTATTGTTTCTCAGTTGACAGAACAAGAGTGATCCTTGACCCAGAAAGTGATGACCCCTATTCAGACTACATTAATGCCAACTACGTTGCTGTAAGTACTTACTGTCTCATCGGAGTCCACAGATCAAACAAAACTCCCTCTGTTGTAATTTAGATAGGGATCTCTCTCTATTATTCATTGTCAGGCAATAAAAAGCCAAGGCAACCAAATTAGTCATGTTTGGCACCAAGTTGTCAGTTGTGAAGAATGAAAGTACTCATGGCTAACTATGCATGAGTATGTTACAGATTTATTATTGTATATATTGACATTAAAGGATGCTGTTTACTGTGATCTGATAGGGGAAAAGCATGTAACATGTGTAATGGAGATTTTGTTATATTCATGAGAACTTTTAGAATGTTAGTCAAGACAAATGTTTTGGATCATTAAACAAATTTGTAGTTGTGTATGTATTTATGTTTGCAGCGTTAGAAATTGGCACTAGTCCTGTAGTTCTTGCCAAACTGCCCAATAGCTAAGGTATCATAAGGACGAGTCAAAATGTGCCATTTATAAGGGGTTTGCTATATGTTATGACAAGGACTAGTGGACTTAAAAATGTTAGTTTCTACTGCTGGTTTGTAGAACAGTTGTGACGAAAACCTCATTCCTTCTCCTATTTTTCAGGGATACAATAGAACTAAACTGTTCGTGGCCTCACAAGGTATTTTGTGCTTTTATAACCATTTGAATGAATGTCAGAGTTGGGATGTTGCTAGTTTCCCATGTGCTCCCTTTTCAAGTTGTAATATTAACATTTTAGACTGTTATGCATTCATTATTGTAGCTATTTAAATGTTCTTTGTGTAGTAATAATTGTTGCTGTAGAAGGGAATAAAGTATAAAAAGTATGAAGTTTATCAAAAGATGACATTATTATTCAATTTAAGTGAAATAAAATTCTTCAGTGTGTGTTCAGTCAGTAATAATTTAAGAAATAATAGTTAATACAATATTTTTTTATTTGAAAATGTGATAATTTCTTTCATTAAGTTAGTGATGAATTTATGTTAGATATTGCATGGTTGTCATTTCTGATGAGTTGACCAGTTCCGCAACCACCCCAATTCATAGTAATTATATAATATGCCTTTTTTTTCAATAACAATTCTTGATTTGGAGTGATTTATGTTAGCATTATTGCCTGACCTGAAAAGTGAAAACAATTCACAGACAAAAATATGACAATCTTTGCAAAAGTATTGTAATCTGGTAATTATCTTAATAATCCATGGACTATTAGTTTTCCTGAAGTAGTCTCTCAGTAGCATACATGGTAATGTTCTAAGTAAGCCAAGGATTATTGGCCTTGCTGAAATAGTCTCTCAGTAGCATACATGGTAATATTCTAAGTAAGCCAAGGATTATTGGCCTTGCTGAAATAGTCTCTCAGTAGCATACATGGTAATATTCTGTTATCTGTGGATTATTAGTTTTGCTGAAATAGTCTCTCAGTAGCATACATGATTATTAGCGTTCTTGCTGAAATAGTCTCTCAGTAGCATACATGGTAATATTCTAAGTTCGCTGTGGATTATTAGCTTTGCTGAAATAGTTTCTCAGAAGTATACATGGTAATATTCTAAGTAAGCCATGGATTATTGGCCTTGCTGAAATAGTCTCAGTAGTATACATGATAATATTCCAAGTAAGCCATGGATTATTAGCCTTGCTGAAATAATTTAAACAGTAGGATACATTTACATGGAATCAGAAGGCAATTGTGCAGAGCTTGTCTGGTCAGACAGGTGTTGTATGTGTTGTTGTTGACTGTTTGTGTTACCTTCAGGACCTGTTGATGCGATCGTTAACGACTTCTGGAGGATGATCTGGCAACTGAATACCAGCAAAATTGTCATGTTAACAAACATCGTCGAGGAGGGAAGAGTAGGAACCATTCAAATTTACCAACTGTCTTTTAAAACATGATGAAAACTGAAACATTTCTATTATGTGATGTACATCATTGAAATACCTGATGCAGTTAACATTCTTAAACAAGTATACAAAATATGACTGAATTTTTGTATAAATTTTGCAATGTTTAATGAGTGCTTATAAAGGATGAGGTACATAAGTTAGATGAAATATGGTGTGGCAAATTCAAAATGTTCATTCAAAATCAGTTGGTAGCGCCTTAGCCAAGACTTAAATACCCGAAAGTATTCCTCGAATTCTCCAGTTTCATGAGGCGTTTGTAAAGCAATCGGGGGCACAGATGGCCCAGTCATCTAAGGCGCAACAAATTGCTTTGCAGAGTTGCATCCCTTGGGCACGCCAGGAACCTATGTTTCTCGGTTTGTCAGCACCATACATTTGCTTGTGGGTTTTACCAAAGTTGTAAACATCCAAAACCTTCACCACTTCTGGTTTTCCTCCCACATTAAGCTGACACGCAGTGATGTAACTGGGATATTGTTAAAAACAGCGTTAAACCAAACTCACTCTCTTGTAAAGCAATGATTGTCAAAATATCAGTTATTATTGCCTAACACTCCACTAATCATGCACACCCTTTCTATTCAGAAGCAGTTACCGAATGTATAGAATTAATCATTATTATTTTGTCATGTGTGATTCAAATCTGATGAGTAGCAGCCTATATTTAGAAGATGTGTTTGTTATGGACTGAATGTGATGATGGTGGTGCAGACACTGTAGATGTTGTTGTAGATGAAGTGTGTGATGTACTGGCCGGAACACAGTGCAGGAGCAGTGCAGTATGGCAACATGGTGATTGAGTGCACCACAGAGGAAGTACTTGCTCACTACACCATCAGGACACTCAAGATTTGCAAGACCAAACAGGTAAATATTGCATGCATATCAACTAATATTCATTGAGACAATAACCTATTCCCAATTTTTTTAAGGTATAGACAAAGCCCTTTATCAATTACCGTATTTTCTTGAGTATAGTGCGCACCCATGTATAATGCGCACCCCCTCTAGCGGGTTCAATATTTTGGAAAAAAAGAAATTTGAATATTATGCGCAGAAATTTTTTACACCGTACCCTTTCAGCGAAGTCCAGCAAACGAACGGGTGCTGAGAAACTTCGTCAGTACAAATTGAAATTTGAGATAAAAAATCACCAGACATGTTTATTTACCATTTAAATAGTATTTATTGTTCTGCTAGGCATTGTTTTATATTTAGGGATTAAGATTACCTTGCGTATTTTCTCGTAAACTAAGCTGGAAACAGCAATCAGCTGTACACACGTTTTCTTGGAATCGACCGGTGATTCGGTCAAGACACACCCAATGATATAACTTTATAAGATTTTTAATGCAAGGATCGGCAACAATTGTATCTGAAACTATTTTATTTATCAGGAATAATATATTCAATTATTTTCTTAATTATATGCAACCTTTACTAAACATATTTAAAATAATAATAACCCTAAGCGAAGCAGCTGATCGCTATTCCCGGGTATTATTTTTTACATGGAACATGTCTGACCAGTCGCCGTCAAGGCTCACGCGCACGTGATCACGTGATCGCGAGAATTTCATGTTGACATAGAATCGTCAAACAAAAACAAATATGACTTTTAACGAGTCAAAGTATGTCATTTATGATATATATGTATCCATTCTCTGCCAACTAAAGTTTGTTTCAAGGCGTCAATAGCGGTATTCTGACCGTGGTTGCTGTTAATAACGGTGAGTTGTGCGATCTTCCGATCGCTTCACACACGATTTCGCCGAAATTAATAAAAAAAAATATTATAAGGAATTTTGAATAAAATCAATGAAATAAGTTACAAACATAAGTCCAGATATACAAAGAACACTTTTTATAGCCAGACAGTGTAATTACATAATTATTTTGCGTACTTCAGTATGGCTTTGTTGACGTGGTATTCCCGGTGTTTCGTGCTCACAGTAATGTCTTTCCATGGGGGAAAAAAACATCCAAACTCATAATTCGTGTATAATGCGCACCCCCTTCTACACAGCTGTGTTTTTTCGAAAAAAAGTGCGCACTATACTCAAGAAAATACGGTACCCATATATTTATCCTATCCCCTTTCGGGGCAGGGGGGCAAAGGTGTCTCAGTTGTCTGAGGTGCTGCAATTCCCTGTACAGAGTTGCCTCCCACAGGCAAGCCAGCTACCTTGCTGGTTGTTTTTACGAATCCCAAATTGTCAATGAGTATGTTTCTAGGTTTGTCAGTACCATATCCATGCTCCTGGTTTCACGAAAGTAGTAAATGTCTATAACCCACATCACACCTGGCTCGCCTCCATTATCAAGCTGACACATTATAATATAGACAAAAAAATGTTCCAAATTGTTTTAAACTAAACTTGCTTTTCAGAGCACCACCTGACTTCACTATTGCTTTTCAACCATTAACCACCATCCAATTCTTTCTGTAACCTGCAAGATGTGTTCCAGAATTATGAAATAAAACTGGAGAAAATTAGAACTAAAGAAGGCCGAGTTGTGAAAAGAAGTTAGATGAATGCAAAATTGTTGTATCATTGTTTTTTTCATATTATTCTGTGTATTTTTAACCCTGGGCAATCATACCTGACAGGAGCAGAGCAAGTCATCCAGTGTCCGGATAGTGAAACACTTCCACTTCACCTCATGGCCTGACAAGGGGGTGCCCACAGATGTGGCTTCTCTGGTGGAGTTCTACTTCAAAGTGAAGAACACACCTACACACGGACAGGGACCCATGGTTGTGCATTGCAGGTTTGTATATATGCAGGGACAATACGAGTCACTTGTCCAAAGCAGTCTGTCGATGTTACAAGGGGGACTGTGCTCCTTGGTCTGGTCCCTGTGTCCAGTCTAGGTCTAGAATTTGTAACTGATGCCATGTGTGAAACTTAGACTTTTAGTATTCAGCAGTAGCTAGATGAAGTTCAGAACGATCAGTAGTGTGTCAAATCATTGTGACCAGCTAATATTTCAAGATTTGGGTACCTTGGATATCTTTTAGTCAGAAATTTCCAGGGGGTATTATTGTCAGGATTACCTGAAAGGTCCCTCCCAAGTAATGACACATGATGCCTAATGATGATGATAACCTATGCTTGCAGTGCCGGTATAGGTAGAACAGGAACCTTCCTGGCACTGTCCTACCTATTTGAAGAGGCCAAGTTATCAGACACGGTGGATCCCTATAGCTGTGTCAAGAGGATGAGGCATGAAAGAGTCAACATGGTGCAGACACTGGTGAGACCTTACAGCCAACATTCATATATTCTGTTCTATTTGAGATAACCTATGATAACTATGCGATTATGAAAAACAGCAGCATATAAGGCATAAAAGAAGATTTGTAATTATCAAACCAAATGTTTGTATGAACTAGAGCAACCTTTTCGTAGAGTACTATATGTAACATGATCAATACCTCTATTACTTATAGGTAAACAGAATGAAATCAATATTATCAGATTGTTTTTTCATTTTGTTCTTGGACTCATCCTACAAGGTAATGTTATGGTTACAACAATAAGAAGTGTTTGTTGAGTTACGACAGTCATGAGGCTAGTATTGGCTAGTAGAAAGGATCCCTTGTCATGTACAAGTTAATGGAATCTTTTATTTTTATCTACTAATAATAAGAGATGAGACACTTAATTGTTAAACAGTGATGTTTACAACCAAATAATCATAGGATCATATGAGAAAAGAAGATGGAAACAGTGTATCAATGGTCTCTGTGTCAGCTTGTGTTAAATGTGCTGCATTCATTACAGGAACAGTACGAGTTCCTCCACAATGCACTGATTGAGGCCCTGATGGCAGGGGGAACAACCGTCTCCACATCAGACTTCAAGACCTGCTATGACAATCTCCTACAGAGCAATCCAGAAACAGGCATCTCCAGGCTTAGAGAACAGTTTGAGGTGAGTATGTGTTAGGTAGTTGCGGGATATGCTCTTACCATGTATAGCAAAGCAGTCATAGAACTTTGACTGTCAGTGTCATAGCTCCTTTACTTACATACTATAATCATGCTAGTGCTATGAACAGGAAGATAGTGAAACTTTCTGAAAATCCCTACATTGTCTATTATGTTTCTGAAGGCACTGTCTATTATCAATATTATGTTCCTGAAGGCACTGTCTGTTATCAATACTATGTTCCTGAAGGCACTGTCTGTTATCAATACTATGTTCCTGAAGGCACTGTCTGTTATCAATACTATGTTCCTGAATGCACTGTCTATTATCCATATAATGTTCCTGAAGGCACTGTCTATTATCCATATCATGTTCCTGAAGGCACTGTCTATTATCAATATCATGTTCCTGAAGGCACTGTCTGTTATCAATACTATGTTCCTGAAGAGACTGTCTATTATCAATAACATGTGCCTGAATGCACTTTCTATTATCAATATCATGTTCCTGAAGGCACTGTCTACTTTCAATACTATGTTCCTAAAGGCACTGCTGTCATGACCTGTTTGGATTTTGGAAAAGAGTATAGGGCCCTAGCAACCTATGCTGGTCTTAAATGGCTACTAAATGTATCTAGTGGTCAGACACGTTGACTTTGGTGATTGCATGTCATCATATCTCATTTGCGTGGATTGTTGCTCATGATATCAATCACTGGATAATCTGTTCCAGGCTCAATTATACACAAACTGCTGTCATATTGCTAAGTGTGGCATTAAACAGCAAACATACAAACTGTTGTTGTGCAGACAATGCCTGTTGTTCTGTTATGGCCTTTCATTTGTCAAACCATGTTATTATACAGACATTTGCGCCGATATGTTTTAGAAGTATGGTATTGTGGAAATGAAAGGCCAGTTAGCAAATATAAGCTGGATTGCTTCATAGTGTGTAATGTACAGAGGTTGACAGTGTTGTGTGTGCCTGCAGACCCTCAACCTGATGAGCCCTCCCTACAGGCTGGAGGAGTACCAGACAGCCATGCTGCCAGAAAATGTTGACAAGAACAGGTGTAAAGAGATCATTGCCTGTAAGTTTTTTCTAGCTGATGGAATATCTAATAGAGAAATACAGACACAAGTAAATCAAGTCTTTAAAGTATCAGTAGTATGAAACTTAGTGTGTAGTTTGTATGTCACCCTTCTAGCGCCTCACAGGAAGCTTGGATTCTATACTCCTCATGGAGCTGAGAATGAAAATGGAGTGAACACTGGTCCATTGACCAGAGTGATAATGTATCGCTTTGAGCATGCTTTAGGGCTTGGATTTGGCACAATATAATTATGCAATTTAGCGAGTGAGGAGTCAGACAGGTTGGTCATGTGGTTCCGGTGCACCTGCACGTGAGAGGGGGTGAAATTTGGGTGAGATTTTTTTAACTTCACTGGGAACACAGCACAGGAGGTTTCCACTACCTATTGTGAATAAGAAGAGATAAGCAATTACTTACGAGTCAGAATAAGTATAAATGATATTTTTACCATACCTGCTTCACAGTCTTAGAAATTAAAGGGTGCCTTTTTTTTGTCCTTGGGGTTTCCTGTTATAGCATATTAATGTAGGAAATCTTATAAGTTTTATCTTTGGCTTGTGACAAGATCCCATGAGTTAAATTCTTAATTTCATGCCCTGGCTCAGATTATTAATAACTGATAGTCACAATAATAGTATCATAACAAACAGTCATTGTATACCAACTGTACTCAGAAGCCGATATTCAGCAAATGTCAGCAAAAATTCCAAAGTCATTTATATTTCACTGATAACAGGACCAAAAGAGGACAATAATATAAAAAGAATTTACCAGATAAAAAAATAATTCCCATTGTGACTACCAAGGACACTTTATTTGGGATCCTAGATGAATCTGTGGTGTCTGGTAAAGACTGGAATACTGTACAGGCCTGTGTAATTTGTTTGTAAACATTGCTCACTAGCACTACACAACATTCAGTCACTCACCTTTAATATACTTCCCACCATGTGATTGTGTGTTCCATGTAGGGTTTGTTATGAATTATGTACAGTATACATTAAGTTTTTGTACCATGTGTCATGGGTTTACTGAAGACACATTGCAATGAAATCATCTTTAATCTTTCTCATCCCATAGCGGACTACTATCGGCCATTCCTTTCTACGCCCATACATGGAAGGACTGATTACATCAATGCAGTATTCTTACCTGTAAGTAAAAACCTCATCATCATGGTAATATGAAGTTAGTACACAAAAACGGGTGTCAATTTTATGTCATACAGTTTAGGCAACTGATGTACGGGGTAATGCTGTGACTATGAATTACATATTTGTACTGAGGATTATTTTCTTCTTCTCAGGCATACAAACAGAAGCGAGCCTTCCTGCTGACACAGATGCCGATGAAGGATACTGTTATTGACTTCTGGAGGATGATGTTTGAGACTCACTCCCAGACTATCGTCATGCTCAATGATGACAATGAAGAACAGGAGGTATGTGTAGACATTGCTGAACTCATACATACCTAATTTCATAAACCTTGTGAAGTGCTTCGGATGTTGCAGAGGCCTGGATCATTGACTCCATATATGCTCACCAACAAAAGAAATGTGAATACCAGATATGTTGGTTAATATATGAAGAATTACTTATTTTCAAGAGATGTTAGATTGGTTTGATGCACAGACGAACATACTGGTATGTTGTGTTAACCGACGCTCATGAACGAATGACATGTGACGTCATAGATCCATGACTCGCGATGCACCATTTGACTCATGCAGGATTAGCGTGTAAAGTTTGGAAATCATGTGCAGCCTATCATGATAAGAATAAAGACACTTAACTGAGCATTTGTTTTGTCATTAAGTGATACACATTGAAAACATCTTTTCTTAACGTACATACTTCTCTATATGTTTCAATGTTTCGCGTTTCTTTTGGCAGTGAGTATATAAACAAATGACCCTTCATGCATAAAAAATATGGGTCCCATTGCCCTATGTTTTCTATATTTGCTGAATAAACATGGATTAAGCATGATGAGGATAGGATAAACCAATATTTTCAAATGTTAAGATTCATGAGCATCAAATACTCAAGCGCAGCAAATATTTGGTTTTTGGCATTGTAAATACAATGCGTACTGTTAATTTTTGTATCACTGTTTGTACTTGAGCTGTGGTAAACATTATAAGTTACTAGTACACATCTCCTACAGACTGTAGGCTACTACTGGCCACAGAAGAACCAGAGGAAGCAGGAGTACGGGCCATATTTGGTGGAGCTGGATGAGGATGAGGAATATGAATGCTACAGAGTTCTCACACTGAAAGTCAACAAGACTAGCAGAAATGGAGAGGTGAGGCTGTTACAGTAGTAGCAGCTATAGTCTTAGATGGCCTGACATAGTAACAAGCTTGAGGGGAGTTGGAGTATGATGACCTCAACTGAAAGTGTATCAGGAAAAAACACTCAGACAGTGAAGACATTTCACATTACATCTTCAATTATGTCTAACTATGTTAATAATTGTGTCTGCAATATGTCCACAATGCAGTTGGGCGCATGAAATAGCTGCTTATGCTCATAGCTGAGGTTTTTATATCTTACTTCTTTTATGCCTAGTGGATAGAAAATATTTTTAATTTTACCTTATCCTTACTTATACTTCCTGAACTGTGTTCCTGTAGTAAGAACTAAAAAGATTATCATGTTCCCACAGAGTTATATGAACAGATCATGGCCTGAGTCATGCATTCCACCACCTTCTGTGAGATTCAAGCAGCAAAAAGTATGAGTCAGGATCAGGTGAAAAAAGTATATATCGGATAAGTAACCTAAAGCAAATATGCGAGAAAGTCCCAAAAGAAATCAACATATTTCACGCTACTGATGAGCAGTAACACATTCATACATGGGCTGTTTTGTGAACATTTGAGATATGACAAAAACAGTTGCTTTCCGTCTTCGACAATTGAGATTATTGACAATAACAAGTGTGTTTCAGCAAATCTAAAATTTATTTCATCATAATAGTTCATGTAAGTTATTATCGATGACAATGATTTCATATCGAAAAGTTCTTCCCATCGACGATTATCAATCTTTTTACCAGCCCTAAAAAATATCATTTATGCTTATCCTGACTCATACGCTTAATCTCCCACCCAGCCGTCTTCACTTCCACATTTTAGGTGCTTTGGCCGTTAGGTAGGGAACTGAGAGAGTGACAAGCCTACCGGCTTGATCATGTGCTTCCTTTCTGCTTGCACTGCTCAGAGGTGCGTTCAGGTGAGCTGTTTTTCTGTTCTCTTGGAACACAGTTCAGGAAGTTTACACTTCCTTCCGGAAATGAGATGACAGAGGCAATAAGTATGAGTCAGGATAAACATAAATGATATTTTTAGTCTAAAAAATATGTTTGTCTTTATCAAACTACACTGTTTACTTCCATTTTCAGAATGGTACCCCACGTGTGATCAAGCTGTTCAAGTGCAATTTCTGGATGCATGAACAGGTTATTCCATACTCTGATTTCCCCATGTTTGCTGTCATTGAAGCCGTGGTGCTATGGCAACAGAAGACGGAGCATGAACAAGTCACAGTCCACTGCATGTGAGTGGGCTTGGCCTATAACTTGGAAGAACCTGGAAATTCGATCAGCAAATAGATTGCATGATGACTAGTTGTAATATGGAAAGATAATGATAGACATTTTTATACTTTGAAGGAGATACCACGAGCTGGGTCATGATGCCAATAAATCTCATGTCTTGTTATTTTTTTTCTGGTTTTGACATTTAACTTCGTTGTGACTGAGAAAGGAGCTGTTGATGACAATGACACATTTTTTCTTCTAGGGATGGTGTTACAAGATCTGGGCTGTTCTGTGTGCTGTCAGCCATCTTGGAAAGACTAAAGATTGAGCAGGATGTCAGTATCCTGCAGACCATCAACCAGATGAGAGTGTGTCGACCACAACTCATCCAAGACTTTGTAAGTCCCTCTTAGATTTATGTAAAATGAACCACAGAGACCCAGTAACGTGACCTGATTGTACAGGTGTGACTGTTTTCCTAAACAGCGATGTGACTGAACCAGAACCATTGTCAGTACAAAGTCAGTTACTGGTTACTTATCATGCCCTACAGAATGTATGACCGTCTCCGTGGTCTAGTGGCTAGAGGGTCTGCCCAGAGAGATGAAGGTTGGTGGTTTAATCCCAGCCACGTCACACCAAAGACTGTTAATAAATGATACTTGTTGATAAAACAAGGACTGGTCTGCTTCGAGTCTGCAAACTATCTGAGAGGGGTATCCATGTTAAACTGCAGTATGCTATCTCAATGTCCTTGCACTATAAAATTGGGACTAGTACAAACAGACACACACACGTGCCTGCACATCGCTATATAAGGGCAATAATGTTGAAGGCAACGTTAAACTCCATTTCACCTCACCTCACCTACAGGTTAGTGGTTAAAGCTCTAATATTTCGTACAGAAGACCAGGGTTCGAGTGATCACATGGGGACAATAAGTGAAGCCCATTCTTAGGTTGCTCTTATCCAGTTTCATGATATGGCTGGAATAATGCTTAAACTCTTCACCCTGTCACATCATGCACATGCTTGTGACTTTCACAAAGTGGTAAATAAGGCCTTCAATATTGTTGAAGTAGCTGTAAACCAAACTCATATGCATACTTCTTTCAGGGCATGTGTTCTTCTCTTTCAGAACCAGTTCAAGTTCTGCTATGATGCAGTACGAGATTACCTGGAGAACTTCTCGACTTACTCCAACTTTACCTGAATACATACAGGGATATTACTATTACTCATACCAGTATGACTGTACAATTCACGGCGTATATTTTTCTGCATTTGTGTCATACAGTTTAACCAGGATTTGTGCCAATTGTTTTGTTACTATGTTCTGTTTTTGTTTATCATTTTGTTAATGTACTAGTAGCTGATATTGTGCCATAGTAATGTATTCTTTTCCATTAATTTCTTCAAAATAGTTATTTACCTGATGTATATGTTTACTTTTAAACAAAGTTATTGTCAGTTCTACAAGGCGAGAGTACATTTTCTTGCTCTCATGTTAACATTTTATGATGAAATTTTGTAGATCTCACATTTCACTTGTTATTGTCATCACATGTTGTTTTGTTCTTGTTGATAATGTGTAACTATTCTGGTCTGTACAATTGATTGAAATCGATATGAAAAGGATTTTACAAATTTTGTCATGGCAGTATATATATGGTAGATTGGTGTTTGAAGCTGTCAAAAAAGGTTGTGTTGCAACAGTTAAGGGACAAGGTAGGATATGGGCCCTTTTTCCCGAGATATGCATTATTTTAGATCTGAGGAAAACCTTTACAAATCATTATGAAAGTTGTATCTTATCTGAAGTGTTCATAGAATGAATGAAAATAGCGCATGTTTATTTCAGCTGATGCCTCCTTGGAACTTATTACAACACTCAATGTATAGGTACGGTTATGATGTGCTTGAACTGCTGATTTTGGAGGTTTTCAGGAAGAGTTTTTCTTAATTTTGACCGTGAGCAAGATAAAAACAGTTCAAACCTATGGTAAAAAATTATCTTGGGTCATAGATTTGCTAATAATGAAATTTCTGTTGAAGTAAAACAAATCCGCCTTTTCACTCATTTAAGCCATACTTATATAATTTGTCATGTCAGAAGTAAAAAAAGGGGGCACGGGTGGCCCAGTCGTCTAAGGCGCCACGATTCGCTGTGCAGAGTTGCGTCCCTTGGGCACACCAGAAACCTATGATTGTGGGTTCGAATCCCGGTTCACCCCGATTATGTTTCTAGGTTTGTCAGCACCATACCCGTGCTCGTGGGTTTCACCGAAGTTGTAAAGTGGTGAGACCTGCATCACTTCGGGCTTTCCTCCCACATTAAGCTGACACACCGTGATATAACTGGAATACTGTTAAAAGCGGCGTAAAACCGAACTCACTCACTCACTCACTCAGAAGTCAAACTCTTGCGAGCGTAAGAAAGACAAGAGGCTAGCTGCCAGTCATTAAACATGTCTGATTATTTTCATTCCAATATCTCAAAGTTTTCCACAACTTCAAAATTTGATATATCCAGTGAACGAAATAGGTCCCTTGCCGTACTTTTTTTTTCTGAAAATCCCACATTTGTGCTGCTTTGTGTAAAGTTTTAAGATTAGTTGGAAGTACACACTCACATTAAGGTAATGAGGGAGTGTGGAATAGAATTCAAGAAAGTTATACAAACCTTGATGTTCCTGCTGGTTTGGACTCATTGACTCAAGATCTGCTCCAGCAGTGTACTGAAATTATTCCACTTGATAGTTAATTGACTGGTTCCTGTTCTAAAATAATACAAGTTTATCATTACAAGGACTAGTCACCATTTTCTTACAGTTAGCTCTGGGTAGTAGCATTGAATCAAAATATTTTTAGTGCAGTTGCGCTGGGATCGGACCAAACTTGCTGAATATTTTTGAAATCTTACCTGATATGAATTTTTGTGATGTTTATTATGTGCAATGTGGACCATGAAGAAAATTATTATTTGGGAAAATTTTATTCCTACACAATGTGCCTTTTTAGTTTATCATTGGTACTTTCACATTACTGATCTTGGTTTTTTTATGTGATCTAGTTCAAAGACTTACACTCCCATATGTATACACAGTAGTAGCCAGTGATACAAATATGACAATCATGTAAATGAGGACTAATTCTGAATTTATTATTTATGTTCTCTTGGCTGGTAAATTGATTTGAATATATTTTCAAATATGACTTGATACACATTATATATCTTTCTACTTATCATTATGGCTTAATTTTTGTGTGAATATTTTTAAACCATGAAATGCAATGGATTTTTATTAAAGTCTTGATTTGGAAAACTGGTCCCCAAGTACATTTTTATGTTCTCAACATGATCAAGTCCTAATTGCAGTTTACAAGACCCTTCATCGATGATTTTATTGAATTCTGACTGGATCATTGTTAATACTTGTTACACAAGTAATGTACCGGTATTTTCAAGGGATTCAAGTATTGTGAATAACTAGACACTGCTTGCAACATTGTGTTCATTTAATGTTGATGTTGGAGACGGTGGATGATGAACCACCCATCCCCAGACAGTGGACCAGATAGTGAAACCCTCGTACCCTCCCTTCCAGACAATTATTGTTGGGGAAGTTTATATATGTCCTTGGATTCCACACCCCTGATTTGTTAATCCACAATGTGCTAATCTGGGCATCACCACTGGGAATGGTATTGTCTGGATAAAGAGTGTTTAACTGTATTTCTTGTGTAACAGTTAGTGCAGAGTTATCCATGTTATCGACAATTCATGTTAACAGTCAGTAGACCATGTGTAACGTGTATGTGGAGGTACATCTCTTACAAAATACAGGTTTTTATTGTCTAAAAGTAATTATGATTCATAGAACTCAATCTTCCATCTTTTGATGAAGATGGTTTGTTAGAATTAGAAGCCAATGTGCATAATATTGATGTAAGCATAATAGATCGTTTATATTCAAGCTTTTTTATCATGATGACTGATGTAGTTGTATAATTACACAGGCAACAATATGGTTATGAAGCTGATACAGAACACCATTCAACAGCTCAGGTTAGCAATAGTTTTTATACATTGGTTTTTATTATCTGCTACATATTGTTTTCTGTAGTCTAATGCAACTAAATAATATTATGTGGCAAAAACATGCCATAATTTGCAGTCGATATTTGCTGTCGGTTATCCAGAAGACCAAACTGAAGTTATGTTGTGCCTAGATTTAGTACAATCAGATTTTCGTTATGGGTGCTAGAAAAAAAATAATTTCTTTGAACCAAAGCATTTTACCTTTATCCTAATTGTCACTTTTGACCTGACCATATGTGCTTTTGTGCTTTCAAGGATTGCAAACTTCCCTTGATTTTTTATATGCCAAAGTAACCTTTTTTGTGGGATTCCAAAGACAATGTAACAGCATTTTCAGAGCCATGCTTGTCTCTCCATCAAACAAAGGTTGTAACAATCTACTTCCAGCTGAGACCGAGTTTGGCAATAACATGATGCATGAATATATTAAGTAATTAAAGACCAATTGGCAAGTCCCTCTAGAAAATCAAATCATACTATGTGTAAAATATATGTCTGAGGTAGATGGAAAGAAGATATCTCAATGTTCATGCATTCATTATATAACATAATACATTATACTGCTGGTGAACAAAAAACAGCACTTGCCATACTGTTTTCAGTAAAGACTTCACTGGTAAAAAAGGAAAATATTCTGGGTCAGTGTTTTCCTGAAATACTTTGAGTCTTAATCAAACATGGCCCATACTTGCCCTATTAATATTTAGGCAGTAACACTACTTTTTAATTTAGAGCTAGGTTACCTTTAGATTGCGACCTAGATCTAGATTTAGACCTGCGCTAAATTGAATTTGGAAATGAAACATGCAGCATTAGGTTTTAGATCGTGTTTCTATCATGTTTTCTTCACAAAACATATTGCCATATATACTTTAAATATTGCAGCTACCAGTCTTTATTTTATAACCTTTAATTGTATATACGATTAATTGAGAATGTCTGTGACAATGACTGAGAAGGAACTTCTTTTCTTTTAATATTATCTTCTGCATTGATGCTGTTTCAATCAGATGTGGTTATTGTGATTTGATGCCTCTGGTTGACCCGTCAAAATACAGTATTTCTCAAATTCATGATAGAATTATATAATGACCCATCATAAAAACAAGGATGTTATGTCATCATCATTAAATTGATAAACAAAATAACCATATTCTATTCTAGATTGAAATAACAGTATGTTTTTGAATTCTTATATTGAATAATTTATGATTAATTGCGGTAAGATTTCATATTTGAAATATATTGATCACCCTTTGATATTGTTGATAACAGATTCAGTGAATTTCTACAATGATGACACAGCCTTGCCTAGTGGTATGGTGACGAGTAGTCTGTAGGTGTAGTATGAGGCTGTGACAACTGAGTAGTGAGATGACATCCACAGTGACACAAGCTTACTTTGTACATTGTGTCGAGCATTCTCTGATCACCCTGACTACCAGAGTGCTTATGCACATTACATCTCTGCATAGCACTTCCGATAGGTATGCAGATTTGATATGAACAAACATTGTGTATTTTTTGTATTGATTTTGATGAAGCCTTATTAATCCAGACAGGTTTTGTTTTCATTCTCAGAGATGTTCCCAGACCATGAAAGGTGTAGTATTTATATGTAATTCAATGGTTATGTTGACATGAGATTTCTGGATTACAATAATGCACATGCATAGTTACTTGGAGACTGGTCATCCATTATAGGGTGGGATTGGTCTTGTTCGAATATATTTTTATTTAAAAAAATAGAACTGATTTTGATAACACCCTCTTCTCCCCCATCCCATCTATTCTGACCCTCACCCCCACCCCCCATAATAAATGACCAGTTCCTTGTGAAATTGGATTCCTTGTGGAATTTTCTTTATGTAAATTTCAATTCTGATGTATTATTACCTGATTTTCACATGTTTATTATCTGTACTAATATCTTGATAATGCATATGTACAATTCATACCTGGAATTTGCTGTGTATAATGTCATGTCTTACATGAGCAGTATTATAATTTAGCTATTCATGCCTGTATACCTTGTTATTTGTTACATGCTTATAGTGTGTTATTGGTGCTCATAGTCGAAATAAACCACATCATTCATCACCTACATTGGAGGCCAACATACGAGGGCCTTCTCCCACCTTGATCATTACTTGTAGGTAGCTCTGTTTCTTAATGTACATTCATGGAAAATGTGAGTAGGTTCTTCAAATGAAATGAAAAATAATATCAATTTTCTTGTGTTTGTTCAAAAGTGTTATTTGACTTTGTGACATTGTCCTTGTGTAATAATTGTGTTTTGAAAAAATGATCTAGATCATTAAACCTATTTGTTTGCAGATACAAAAAACATTTGAATGACCAGTCTTAAAATTAGTAAGACTGTAGTTTTGAGCAAGCCCAGTCTCTCTTTAAGTTATTTCTCTATGCATCTTTAAATAAAATGCCATTTAATTTAAGCATACAGCATGAATAAATCAAATATATTCTAAGGAAGGCCTTTTGTCAACTGGTTGATAAAAATCTGGTCTATTGATAAAAAAGGTAAGAAAATATTCTTTCACTTTTAACAACCAGAAATCTTTTCAGATTCGTGATCAACTGGTGTTTCATAAAATGTGTCACTATTGCAATTGATATGTAATGTTGGACTCCCTTTAACTTTACTTTACCTGTCTACTGTATATTTCAGAATGTATTTACATTTGTTATTGTAATGTGCCTTAAAGTTGTAAAATTACTGTATTTGTATGAAAATATTTTATCTTCATGAAATTAATAGTTCCCTATTACCAGATTTTGTAGCTAATTCAAACTGTTGCACATGTAAGGCAGCTACATGATGCAAGCCATATACATCTGAGCATTTCCATATTTGATGGGGGGCACAGGTGGCCGGCCCAGTTGTCAAAGGAGTTTCTTCCTTTGGGTTCGTAGGTTCAAATCCCGGTTCGCCCCGATTATGTTTCTAGGTGCGTCAGCATCATATCCATTGCTTGCGGGTTTCACCAAAGTGGTAAACTTCTCCATTTGGCTGACACGCCATGATGTTAACTGGAATACTTTTCACTTACTCAGTCATTATATTTGACATGTTCTCTGAGTTCTCTCCCTGGGCTATCTGTGCCATATATGGGTGTGAACCACAGTTTTTTAAATTACCTCAGTCTGTGCCAAAAACTTTTGAATCAACAATCTGGAATTTTTCTCTTGGCATCATTTTCAATAGACTTTTAGTGTCAATATGTGAACTATGATGACTCAGTGTATACAATCAAACAACATTTTCCTAGACTCAGTCTTCGGACTAGTTGCTGTAGTCTTGTCATACTGCAGCCTTGTCTGCATCAGGTTTTGCTCATTGGGACCATCTGATATTTGGGATGCAATACCATTTATAATCACACAAATCCAAAACATAGAATTAAGTTATCCATGAGGAAGACAGTTATTTAAGGCTCCAGCCTGCCATGTTCTACTGCTACTCACTTAAACCCCCCTTAAAGTGACTGTCAATCACTTAAACCCCCTTTAAATGACTTGCTCACTTAAATCCCCTTGAACACCCTCTTATGACTGTCACTCACTTGAACACCCTATAAATAACTGCCATTCACTTGAACACCCTTGAAATGACAGAAGAACATGGCAGGCCGAAGCCTGAACCCCCTATAAATGACTGCCACTCACTTCAACCCCCTTTTGATGACACTCTTTCACTTAATTACCCTGGAGGCCCCTCTTCATGACTGACTAGAGCCCTCTTTAGGACAATGACTAAAACTCACTGAAACCTCCTTTAAAAGGACTCACACACTGGACAAACCTCTTTTAATGACTGGAACCCCTTTTAAAGACTGACACTCCCTTAATGCTTGATACCCACTTCAAATGACACTCACAACTGATCTCTGCATGCCAGTACCAGTAATACTGTTAAATGTGTATATATTGGAGCATTGGTTTACTTTGGAATTTTGACATAATGTCATGATCTGTTTTGTTTGTACATTTGCTCAAAATGGTTTTGTTGAGATGTCTAAATTCTTAATACGAGATACTGAATAATACTAGATGTTAACAGAACATGAAATTTGTATCTTAATGTTTCCTTACTTACTGATTATATACAAATGAACCATTCACCTCTTAAAAGTATCTTTACTACCATGCAGCTGATCTTTGTGAGCCTCAGACTGCAGCACAAGAGGATAATATACATTATATTTATACATATATACAAACACATGTATATACAATTATCTTGACAAACATTTACAATATGGGAAATTAGTTTATACATCCTATATAGAAACATACCTGATTGTGTAATCTAAAGATTTATCTTTAATTCGACATAATCATGATAATATACTTGTTTTGTTATTATATTTTCTTTTTTATCGAATTAGAATTTGTACATATGGAAATATGAAAATTAATGTTTCACCCCACATTCAGGAAAAAACATGAATAGTATAAGCAGAGAAGAATATTGATAGTGCACATCCAAATTACAGAATAAAAGTTGTCTTGAACATATTGTTGCTTTGTTGGTAAGAATCATGCTCCCTGAATTCTGGGCGAGTTACTGCTTCATTGTCGGGAATAAAAAAGTTTGCAGATTTTGATAGTAACCAGTGTATTCTTGCAGGAACATAGATACTGTGTTTGTTTTGATTTCTCTCTCACTCACTCACTCACTCATACACACACACACACTTTCTCTCATTTCTGGCAATAACAAAAGTATTTTTTCTCACATGGTTTACCGTGTTGTCGCTGAAATGTAACTACAGACTTATTTTCTTCAGCTCATTCTGCACCCTGTGTCTTGAGAGTATCAACAAATACATTTGTAGATATTGAAGCTTTTGATAATTATTCTAATCTTGAAATGACATTATCAAGATAATTGTATTATGAAAATGTAAATCAAACTTTGTTCTGAAGAAGCCAATGAAGAATTACACAATGTTTTCACTACTGTTGCTTCTGACTGGCAACAGTGACTGTAAATGTAAGAGGCAATTTGCACAACATTTTGTTCTGTGTCTCAGTTTTGTAGGAACTAGCTATGTATCTAATCCTGTTCAGCCCATGCAGCTGAAACTAAACATTTCTGGTGTTCCACATTGATTTTATTGTCAGTAACAAACTTGAGGTACCTTTTATGTTGAATAAACTATGCTACTGCAGAATGTGTTTAGCTTTTTATGTGTTACTATTTTATTACAATGAAGCTTCTACAATGTCTGACTTGATAACATTGCCATTGTGCATTGTAATAAGCTTGTATGTCAGGTTCACAACAGGCAATATTGACTTGATAGGTTCAGCATCTGCTTAAAACACTCATCTGAAAATGACTGGAGGCCTTTTATAGATAATTATCACGAACAAAAAGTTGCAATAATCTACACATTAGGTTGTGTATCATTACATTAACAATTTTTTTTCTAAAAAGTGTTTTTGTTTACCTCTGGTGTAAAGTTATTGAACTTAGAATATATCCATGTGATTTTACATCCATCATGTTTTGTCATACATATCACACTGAACAAAGTACATAATCAGGACTTTCGTGTCCTGTAGGGCTGGGATGGGTAACTCGGGTACTAGGGTCAGGTGGATATGGAGCAAGACCCGGGTACCCACAGGACTACCCGGACCAGTAGTAAGTCACGTGATTATATTGTTTAATGGCAAAACATATTTAGAACTCTATGGTTACACTATATGTGACAAATTTCGTTCTGACTATACACACAATCCTTCTGACTTTATATGTTTGCATAATTATAACTTCAGTCAACTTCAGTGTATGCATGACCAACCAGATCGGATTATACCTGTATCTAAATATATTTTGACAGGAGTACGGTCAAACGTTTTCCATTCAATCATTTTGTACCCATCTCTTGTGACTTGCAGCGGGTACCCGGGTAGTAAATTTGGACTCGTCCCAGCACTAGTGTCTTGCCCTGTTAGCAGTAAAAAACTAACACTCTGAAATCCTGGAAATGGGGTCAAAGTCATAGATAGTAGAATGCTTTTGAGACATTTATTATTTGGTTATATACATAACATATCTTACAGAACAATGCTTCAGTGTTAAATGTACAATAGTTGAACAAACAGAAAACAACAGTATTTAAACAACAAAAAATACAATCAGGTAAGAGATGAATTAATCAACTTGAAATTCTAGATAAAAGTACTCTATTAAAATTCAACCAATTCCTCTGATCCATATCATTGCATGTTTATTGACAATTAAGACAGCATATTAATTGCTTTTAAACAATAATTACATCTATGTACACACAATGAGATATAAACAGAATATACGACCTAGTCTTACTACAAAATATACAGCAATGTTACATGATTGACTAGCAGGAGACTGTCAAATCTTATTACCTACAATTTGTGTCCGACAACAGATCAAAATAATGTATCAATAAAAAAGAACCCTTTCATCGTGTTGGAATACCCAATCAGAGTAGGTCCCCAGTACCCCATGTTGGTCATAGGGGCAGACTTAAAGTGGATTGGATGGTTATGATGTGTGACATGGCTGATTGATGTCGTGGTATCTTTGTTGCTCATGCTGTTGATTTGTCTGGTTCCGATATGGTTAGTTACGGGCCACAGTAATATTGGTGAAAAGTTGTAGACTCCCTTGTAAAACAGCATTCCCTCCTATGTGTCTAACAAAAGATGCAAGTTAGGTATATCCGGGTGTGTCCACTTAAAGAGGAAGGAAAGCCTGAAATGCACCTTGGACCACTTTGGTGAAACAAGAATTCAGTCAGAGTAACCACTGAACTGTTGAAGGGGTAATGATTTGTAATGCACTTTTACCTGTTATATGTGGAATGGAATCTTATATTTCATCATCCATCATCATCCATCATCATCATCATCATCATCACTGCCTGACTTAAAAAAGATTCTTTTCAGTATATATTTATACAATATTTTCAAACCTGGTGCCGATTCTCCATGTCATATATGGATAATAAGTCTTTGGAGTAAATTGATATCAAAGTTTAACTGAATATGTGAGGAAGTGATTATTGCATGTGTGTGTATATTGAAACATTCATGGATTTCTAACTGATTATTTACAAATCAATATATCTCTAACCCTAATGAGAGTTGTATGGTATTAAATACATACAGAACTTTAAATATCACTACTAAAACTACCTCCACTAAGACAATTATTTATCACATTAATATCCTATTGTTTCTGATCTACTCTCTGCCACTTGAGCAGTAGGGAACAAATTGGACAATGTTTTAGTTACATAACATATTCACTTGAAATGTTGACAACATTCTGAAGCACCTTTCAACGAAGTTGTGAAAATATGGCAAAGGGGCAGCAATAATAGATAAATGTTAAGATCCCAACCTTTGATCCCATTACAAGTGGCAGTGTTGGGTACAGGATGAGCACTAGTTGAGGGTAAAATCTGACCGAAAGCAGCCATAGCACTATTATATTCTTACCACACAAACACCCTAAAGTTTCAAGCTAATGCATATACACTGCATTCTTCCATATAGTCTGAAAGCCAAATTGCCATTTGTGAAGTATGGTCACTTGTGTATATTTTTAAACAATAAATCAGAATCAGTTGTGACTAACCGGGTTTACAAGGTGATCACTATGGGTTACCTACCTGACAAGCAGATACAAAATGGTCCGATATTATGATGACTGTTCTTAATATCCTGAATTGCATGCATCACATTATTGTCATTGTCAAGATAGGAAACAATCTACCTTGATCACTGCTAATCCCACAAAAACACTCTGGATTTTCATAGACCGGTTTACAAAGAAGTAAAATATTTGGCTAAACACTGAATCATGTTCCTGTCCATATAACAAGTATAATATAGCGCCCTTCCCTAGGTGATATGGACTTTCAAAGCTCAAGGCATTAGCCGAGAATGTTCAGGTCCCTATCACCTTCACAGGGGCCGCACTAACCAACTTATGCCCAGTTAATCCACATACGCAGTCAATTACGTGACTACGCAAAACCATGAACCAAGGCTTGATCCCCTTATCCGGATCGAATCATCCAGCCTCAGCATGTTGCGTGTCCAGGGGTCATTACGAAGAATAATGACCCGGCAAAACAAAGGACATAATGCACCATAGGGTTATAATTCCATGTGACTCCTGATGTTCTACAGTCCGACACCCAGGAATGTCTTATCAGGAGAGACGAGAGTGTATGATACAAATCTACATTTCCTTCAACTAAACAGCCTCCACATCTTGTCTTTAGATGTAGTATTCTCCAGTTTCTTAGAACACATCAACACCAAAAAAAATACATTTAGGGAGACAATTGATTGGAATAAAAACATTTGTACAGCACACATGATAAAATAGCTTTGCATCAGCATAAACAGTTATTACACCATGAACATGAAAGCCTCTGGTTTTATCATATATTAAACATGTAGATACATTGCTTATGTTGCTACGCCCGCACCTTCATATGATATTTCTCTAGGGAGTCTGTCATCTACTACAGGGGTGGTGGGTGGGATGGTTAGGTTTGTATGTTTGTTGTTTAACGCCGCACTCAGCAATATTCCAGCTATATGGCTGTGGTCTGTAAATAATCGAGTCTGGACCAGACAATCCAGTGATAAATATCATGAGCATTGATCCATGCATCAACATAGTCAGTGAGCCTGACCACCCGATCCCGTTAGTCGCCTCTTACGACAAGCATAGTCGCCCTTTACAGTGGGATGGAGAGAACAGGGTTGATATGGTCTTTCTCGACCAGGGTACAATTGTCACGTATCCTGTCTACACTACATATTGAACCCAGCTTCCTTAGGCACTCATGAATGGAACTTTTAACTCTGCTAAGTATCAGCAGACCCAGAGAGGGATTTTGCAAAGTGTCTTGAACAAATTGTACAATTATTTTATTGGAAACATATTTATTCATAAATGGAAACAATCTTAACTGCATCCACTCTACACTGTGGAATGTGCTTGTGCACAGGGACAAATCAATGCAATTAACAGAGAGTTATTTCCCCTTTTAGTCCCCTCTATAAATAACCTAATAACAAGCTAACCTTTTAAACAAATGCTACAATAATTAGTAAGGAATTCCTCAAAAAATAATATTCATTTCATGTTCAAGAAAAAGCTATTCAGCAATATGTGTGTATGTGAGTTTCATGAAGAAAATGGACAGATATTTAGGGAGGGGTCAATAAAAGGACATTTATTCAATTGGTCAATGAGTCAGCTACACCAGCCCTCTACTAAATGACAGGTCCTTGACAAAAGGCCTCAACTTTACACAGTACAGTACTGGAACTACAGCATCTCCGGTACAGACGGACTAAACAGGTAACTCTACGTAAGGCAGCCTTAATGAATAAGCACTTGATGTTAACAATTCCTACTGAACATCACAGACTGGTTGAGGAACATCTCACCACTACCTACTTGTGTACTGTACGCCAATATCATAACATGGCACCCAAGGTAACATTCAATAAATAAAATCCACTTCCAGATTCAAGCCTGTAAAATTCCATGACTACTACGATTTGCCATATGTACCCCTGACTCTCATAAAATATATTTGTTTTTTTTTTTGTACAAATATATTTGGTTGATGTGGGATACTTTAAATTTTTACAGTAACATTTGTCAAAATATTTAGCCATAACATGAACAATGATAAAGGTCTTAAATAATCTGTGACACTGTAACTGTGTCGGCACCAAGATGAAAGTCTTCAAATATATGATCAGTAGCTCATGATCTATCATCAGAAAACAAGTAGAGCATTTAGGTTTAACGACAGCTAGTGCTTGTAGTAGGTGCAACTAGCTATAGCTGTATGTTATGACTGTGGTCATCTGTCACAGCTGGACATCATCTGGTCAAAGGACCAGAAATAAATAGGAAATTGGAATTCCTAAAAAAAGTCAAGAAAAGTTTTGAGAAGAGTACATATGACAGAGAACAAGGATTTTTCATGGGTAATTTTCAATGCCTACATATACCAAAGGCAGAGGCGTGAGGCTGAAAGGTGTAACAAAGGCTTATTTCAGAACTGTTTTTGTAATATTTGACCAAAATATATGGCAAGAAAATCATCTTGGTCATGGTTATGTTCCAGAGTTTTTAACATATCAGCCTTTTTCACTCCTTTCAACTATATCATGATACATCAGCTCTTGGTCACGTCATAAGTCCTAATATGGCAAGTATTGAAGAGTTTCAAAGTAGTCAGACATAACCATGTATGATGCCTTTCATAACAGCTTTGAAAAGAGTTTGTAAATTTGAAATTACACTTCTTGTATTAAAGAAATTGCCCTTGTCGTTCCCCGTCCTTTATGAAAATACATGACATGTTGACACAATCAAATACTGCACAGTATTCTTTGGAACATGTATCAATGTGATCAAAATGTTTCCAAACGGAATGACTAGGTTCCTCACCTCCTGAGAAAACTATCTCAAGTTTGTTTGAAAACTCAGGTAACAGCTTCTGAATGTATTGAGAGAAAAACATGACATTTACAGACACACTGCTCTTATTTTACAGCCAGCTTACATGCCCAAGTTGATTGTGATTAAAAAGTCAATGCTATCAAACAGGTGAAAAACTGTCCTATTAGACCTCAGACATGCATATACTTTTACACACCACGAATGCAATAAAGCTATATGAGTTGTTCTCAGGTCAGCTGACACACTAACATGGTCCCCAGAAGTACTTCCTACATCCCCACATACAGGAGATGTTGCAGCTGGTGTTCCTCTCTGCTACAGACCACTACACCTACACCTCCATAGAGATGATTGAGTAGGTAACGTACACCTCTCACAGCTGTATCAAGGGAAAACTTTAGCTCATTAATTTGTTGACAAATCATAGACTGGAACCTATCTCCCTACAGTATGATTCTGAACCACATCTATAAATGCTTTTACAATGCCTCAATGCTGTCTGGCAAAAATGGCATTATACCACGGTATCCAGAAATGGATGACTTCACATCTGTTGCCAATAACAATTTTGCTCAAGTGCAAACATATTTCACCTCTCCTGGCCAGAGATCTTTGTGGTCAGATTCGTAATTTTTCAAATATCCATCCATCATATGTTTGGCCATTTTCAAAACATGAAGACCATAGACACTTTGGCATCATTCAGAATAAATACCATTTGAATCAAATCCCTGGTGGTTTTGATATTTCATAGGTGAATCAACGAGGTTTGTCCGAAATTGTAATTAGTCAGATACCTAGAACATGCATTACATATGGAAAATAAAGACAGCCTCAAACACAATGTGAAAGATTTGCCAGATCTGCCCTCCAGTAGAGGCGATCTGTCATTGGTGATGCTGTGGTACAGAGGGGTACTCATGTCACGGACCATGTGTGATCAGAGCGTGGTCCATCTGGAGAGGAGGCCGTCACAGAAGAGGATGTTCTGTGTGGGGTAGATTGCAGAGTGTTCCTCTTTGTCCTCCGGCACACCCGACGTCTCGATTTCCGATATCACAGATGGGTTCTACACAAAGAAAACATCACTCAGCAATTCAATACAAGTCAACTTGTGGCTTTGGGACATATACCATCTTACTCATGCACCTGAATTATGATGAGAGTGATATGGTCAGGCCATGTATAGTAAAGGCCAGATCTCCAGCTCTAAACAGATGTGACTGTGAGGTACAGGGGTTAACACTCCTTTGTGAAGTACTTCAGTGGGGGAAAGTGTTTGTTTGTTTGTTTTGTTTGTTTGTTTTGTTTGTTTTTTGTTAAACGCCACACTCAGCAATATTCAAGCTATATGATGGCGGTCTGTAAATAATCAAGTCTGGAAAAGACAGACCAAAGATCTTAATCAAACTGATGTGACTGTGACTGTTAGGTACACAGTGTATGTTACTGTGACTGTGACTGTGAGGTACACAGTGTATGTTACTGTGACTGTGGGGTACACAGTGTATGTTACTGTGACTGTGACTGTGAGGTACACATTGTATGTGACTGTGACTGTGAGGTACACAGTGTATGTTACTGTGACTGTGACTGTGAGGTACACAGTGTATGTTACTGTGACTGTGACTGTGAGGTACACAGTGTATGTTACTGTGACTGAGGTACACAGTGTATGTTACTGTGACTGTGACTGTGAGGTACACAGTGTATGTAACTGTGACTGTGACTGAGGTACATAGTGTATGTTACTGTGACTGTGAGGTACACATTGTATGTTACTGTGACTGTGAGGTACACATTGTATGTTACTGTGACTGTGACTGTGAGGTACACAGTGTATGTTACTGTGACTGTGAGGTACACATTGTATGTTACTGTGACTGTGACTGTGAGGTACACAGTGTATGTTACTGTGACTGTGACTGTGAGGTACACATTGTATGTTACTGTGACTGTGAGGTACACGGTGTATGTTATTGTGAGGTACACATTGTATGTTACTGTGACTGTGAGGTACACATTGTATGTTACTGTGACTGTGAGGTACACATTGTATGTTACTGTGAGGTACACATTGTATGTTACTGTGACTGTGGCATACACAGTGTATGTTACTGTGACTGTGACTGTGAGGTACACAGTGTATGTTACTGTGAGGTACACATTGTATGTTACTGTGACTGTGACTGTGAGGTACACAGTGTATGTTACTGTGACTGTGACTGTGAGGTACACAGTGTATGTTACTGTGACTGTGAGGTACACATTGTATGTTACTGTGACTGTGACTGTGAGGTACATAGTGTATGTTACTGTGACTGTGACTGTGAGGTACACAGTGTATGTTACTGTGAGGTACACATTGTATGTTACTGTGACTGTGACTGTGAGGTACACAGTGTATGTTACTGTGACTGTGACTGTGACTGTGACTGTGTGGTACACATTGTATGTTACTGTGACTGTGACTGTGAGGTACACAGTGTATGTTACTGTGACTGTGACTGTGACTGTGACTGTGAGGTACAAAGTGTAGGTTGCTGTGACTGTTGCTGCTGGAGGTGGGGAAGTGACGTACCTGCCACTCAGTGATGAAGTCCAGGAGTCGGAGAGACAGCAGACGGCTGGAATGCAGCAGACCCTGGAGACTACAGCAGAAGAGACGTGGGTGTTACGACAGTGTTTGAAACATAATACTGCCAGGCTGCCCTCAGGATGTCAGCTTAATGTGGGAGGAAAGCCTGAAGTGATGCTGGTCTTAGACGGTTACCACTTTGGTGAAACGAACAAGCATGGGTTTGGTGCTGACAAACCCGAAAAACATAATCAGGACGAACCAGAATGCTAACCCACAATTATAGGTTTCTGGAATGCCCAGGTGGCATATGAATAAGAGACCCCACTACACAATGCTCACTATAGTCAATTTCAGTGTATGGAGTGAGTGAGTGAGTGAGTGTATGGAGTGAGTGAGTGAGTGAGTGAGTGAGCGAGTGATAAAAGAAATGGTTCTGATACATTTGGAAAATGAAAAAATAAATAGCACATACCTTTCCTGTTTGAAAAGTCCCAAAGAGGAGATTTTATTACAAATGTCTTTGTTCAAACTAGTATCAAACAGTGGTATACCGAAGGAACAGTCAAGCAACAGCCAGTCTCCCTCTGCAGGGTGACCGCCCACACCGTCTTCACTCACGCCCGTTAGATGCAGAGTCAATTTATCTTTGGATGGCTTTGACGGAGAATTCTCCACACTATCCAAAGCATCAATCTCTGATGCTAATACTTGAGCTGATAAGTCATCTTTGATCCCATTGGTCGGTTTCTCCAGGTTTTCACCAATCGAGGTCAAGGAGCATGATTTATTTATTGGAGAAGTAATTTGGTCATTGTATTTGCGGCACGTTCTGCCTGGCCTGATGAGTGTGATGAAGCCACACGTGTGCACCAGGTCGACGCTGGTTGAGAGGGACTGGATCACACGGTGACAGCTGTGGTGACCTTTGCCGAGTGACCCTGCAGTGAGGATACAGACAGAGGTTGTCATGCATTGATGGGAGGATAATGTTGTTTCCCCTCACCTTTCTCTCAAAGGACATTGTCCAACAACCTATTGTTTATATTAAGGCATTATTGGCTTTTTGTTTTTGCAAAACTATCAAGACTAAAAAGACAAATCAATTGTAAATTAAACAGAAAAATAATAAATGAATAAAACAAGAATTGAGGTTATCAATTTGTAAATGTTTATTTATCCGAAGGTTATACTTGTTTGAATTCCCTTTAACAAGATACTGATACAAAATGTCAAACAACTATTCACAATTAACACGTAGAAAGTAAAACAACCATTAGATGCCACAACTGTTTCAGAGGGAATCCATCTTTACCCACTTTACAACAAACAGAAATACTCTTAATACAATAATATATCCTGAATAAGTTTGTATTACCTAATGGCCTGACATTACCTGGTTCATCTTTCTTGAGAGGGAAAGATATCTGCACGGTTTCTCCATCGTTCATGTAGCCATGACCCTAGGAAACAGACACAGCAACAAAGATTTTAATACCTGACAACAAGTCAAATGTCCTCCTATCACCTATCAGCGCTAATTAACTGTAAAGTTTTGGCTTCCATTTGTCCAATTCTAATCACCTATCAGCGCCAATTAACTGTTGGCTTCCCCTGTTGTATTATTACTGTTGTTCTTACAGGTACACATATATACTCAACAACAAAAGTTCCTGTGACACCAATATTTTAGTGTATTTTTCAAACAAGTAAAGTTTGGTTTTCAATATTGTAGTACACATATGGAATCAAGTCACAAAAACGCAACTGCTACAGAAAAGCATGCATTCCATGCAAAAGTGGACTTTTATGCAAGCCCCATGCATTTCACTACCTAAGAATGGGTATAAAAATATGTACGTTAACAGGATTCCATATGCATTGTTTAGCATCCTGCTGACAACAACCACTCAGAAAAACAACAAAATTACACAATTATTCAACATTACGGAATGCCATGGCTGTCCGAAAATGAGCGTCTGCGAGCCATTGGTATGCTTGAAGCAGGATCGAGTCAATGTGATGTTGGAAGACAATTTAACGTCCACAGAAACACCATTTGGTGTTTATGGCAACGTTGGCAACAGACGAATGCAGTCAGAGACCATCCTCAGAGTGGCAGGCCACGTGTGACCAATAATCGACAAGACAACTGGATTTGAACAACACACCTACGAAATCGATTCCAGCCAGTGACTGCAAGAAGCATCCCTGGCCTTTGACGAATATCTTCACAAACCGTAGGTCGCCGCCTCTGATGTGCAGGGATTGTCGCCAGAAGACTCGCCAGACGTCCCATTTTGACAGGAAACCACCGTCAAGCACGTCTACAGTGGTGCATACAGTGTCTCGCTGGATTGCCATGCAGTGGGGACAAGTTCTATTCACTGATGAGTCTCGTTTTCACCTCAGCCACAGCGATGGAAGGATTCGAGTGTACCGACATCGAGGTGAACGTTACATCAATCATTGTGTCATGGAAGAAGATTGGTTCGGGGGCGGCAGCATTATGGTATGGGGTGGGATTACAGCAAGACAGAGGACCCGTTTGATAGTGGTAGATGGAAATCTCAATGGACAGCGCTACCGCGACGAGATCATTGGCCCTGTTGTTCTACAGTTTTTGCGTCGTCATGGCCCAGGCATTACCTTTCAACATGACAACGCCCGGCCTCATATTGCTCGACTTGTTCAGGATTCTCTTCAACAAAACAACGTGAATGTCATCCCCTGGCCGGCTTGCTCCCCTGAAGTCTCACCAATCGAGCACATGTGGGATGAGATGGATCGGCGCCTTCAACGTCAACCACGTGTTCCACAGACACTGCAGGACCTTCAAAACATGCTCCAGCAGAAATGGACAGATATCCCACAGGACTTTGTGCGACACCTGGTCCATTCCATGAAACAAAGATGTGTTGCTTGCATCGCAACCAGAGGTTGACACACATGCTATTGAGTGGATGAATGGCTATTCAGCAAATATACGTCATGCCAGACACAGTCAATGAGTCATTTTTTCTACATTCTACTCACAGAGGATTACAACCTTGAGTATATCAACAAAGCTGGTGTTACCTGTACTAGGACTGCTGAATGTGTGAGGGCATCGTTCAGAGTGAGGAGAATATTGGAGGTGGCGATGATGCCTGGATCATGACCCCATGTCGTCACCAGTAGACGCTCATATCTCTGAAATAAGCAATCTAGCACTCAGTATACTAATAGTTCGAGAGTTTGGCAATGCATTTTGAAATTTATATACATAACGGCTTTGACACACAATGTTTCTAAACAGGGTTCAAACTAACACAAGTCAGCTTGTAGGAGACTAGTAACATGCAGGGAGGTCTAGTTATGTTTCCATGTCGACTACCATTTTTTCACCATTAGGCAGACTTGTTACGGACAAGTGAAAACAAAATTAAAATTAATTTCTAACGCTGATTTCACTATTTCTAACTATTTCACACTGCAAACTTATTACTTGCATAACACCTTTCTCAAACCTTGATATTACTTTCATTTTAGGGCAATACATTCCTTCAGGGTCTGTGTTGTCAAATTAATTATTGCATATTTACGATACAATTCTATAAAAATACTGGACATGGTTGCTAGAGGAAAGAGCAGTGTACCTGGAACACAGCAGGTAGTTTGCGGAGTTTTGTGCCCTTCACAAGTAGTAGAGAGGGAGGCCCGCAGGCAATCTGCTGGTAGAGGTACAGCTTGAACCACACCGAGCTCACCTGGGTCAACACAAAGCTGCATTGTGAACACTCAGTACAAGTTTCACATCCAAAACAAAGGTTACAGTTAACAAGAGTCATAACATGTTTAAGTGCTTTTGTATAACATTTATAGATATGTAAATAGCATTTAGGAAACCTGTAGTTCAAATTCAGACACTTAAAGTTAATATCATACTTGAAAGAGAAGAGTTGTCTCCCTTTAATCATGCCTTTCTGGCCATATGGTTTCCATACTGGTATTCTTGAATAACAGATCAGCATTGTTGAGTAGTTGGAAGTGAAATTGTGTATCTCAAATATTTCCATTCCATTTAACAAGGGTAGTCAACAACGACACATTTACCAGAAACACAATATATGCAAACTCTAAAACTATCGATTGACAAATTCCAGTAGGGAAGAGATGTTCGCTTCATAAAATGTTTGAAGAGGCCAGAGATTCCATAATGCCTTTGCAATTGGTATGGGAATTTCTTAACACTTGTATCTAAAGAGCTAACATGTCCATAAACAATGTATTGCCAATACAGCCCAGTCTCTACTTCTGAGATAGATACACAGGTTTCCTATAAGGATTGCTGTGCCCCTCCAGTGGGTGCTGCTCACCTCCGGAATGGCTGGTCCTATATGTTGGGGGACACAGCTGCTGACCGGGCGGATCTCATTGCTCAGGGGAGCCATCGACACCAGTAGACTACACACAGGAAACAATATCTCACTGTTAATTCCCCACACATAACTTACAGTTTACTCTTACAAAATTGAAGACCATTGACATAACTATACATAAATGGTCAACAAATAAGATTTCAAGAGGCATCGACAAAACCAAACTGATAACATTTACATTTTGACAAAAGTTATATCCGACAAGGTAACAGGGTAACAGGGTCGCAGTTCCTTCAGACAAATTCATTATGCTATCACATAACTGACAGTGTGTGTGTGTGTGTGTGTGTGTGTGTGTGTGTGTGTGTGTGTGTGTGTGTGTGTGTGTGTGTGTGTGTGTGTGTGTCTGTGTGTCTGTGTGTCTGTGTCTGTGTGTCTGTGTGTGCGTGTGTCTGTGTCAAAGTGTACCTGTAGTTTTTGTTGAGCACCCTGGCTCTGGTGGCTGGCTCCAGGCTGAGGAGACTCTCACACCTCAGCAGGTCAATGCCCTGACCGTTCACACTGTCCGTGTCCTCACACAGGATCTTGTTGTGCCGCAGGAAGTGGATCGTGTCGCGCAACGTCAGGGCGTGGTCGAAGTACCTCCTTGCTTCCCCTTCAGCATCTGAGCCAACCTGATAGAGAAATCATTGATTGGTGGAACAAAACCAAAATTAGTGTTTTGTTCAAGAAATGAAACCTGGGCTGTCACGCTAAATTAGGGGGTTCTTGGTTTTTTAACACCCCACTCAACGATATTTCAGTTATATGATGGCAATATGACATCCATCTGTAAATAATCAAGTCAGGACCAGACAATCCAGTGATAGACATAAAGGAGCACTGATCCATCAATTGAGACACGATGAAATGTCATCAACCATATTGTCAAGCCTGACCACCTGATCCATTTAGTCACCTCTATCTTGATTATATGATAGATATAATTCCATAAATCAACACACATAATTGATAAATAAAGACATATTAAACTCAGTGTTCGAAATAAGTGCCTGCCCAAAGGCCCGTGGCAGGTACACCTTGTGTCGTGCCCGTAGTTTCAAATTCGTGAGGGTCCTAATGGCCTGCAGTAAATTTATGTGTTGATTTTTTGTCACAGTAAGCTGCGGTTTTTTAAATAAGGGCCCGATGAGTTTAGTAAGTGCCCGCAGCTTCTCAAGCCTGTGGGTCCTGATGGCAGTCTGACAATTTATTATATTTCAAACACTGATTACACTACAGCAATACCTTCTCAAGCTCTGAGAGAAAGCTATCCATAGACTCGTCACTGAGTTTCCCCACTTCAAACATGGTGACAGCATGGCTCTTCAAACCCTGGACACAAAACATGTACCATTCAGCAGTCAATCTTGCTGTCACTGTCAAAACTACAATTAAACCAGGACAGTATTGCCTCATTAACGATGTGAGACTGATGTATTCTTCTCCTACTTGAAAGTACTTCACGTAAATAAAATCCACTCTAATGATGTGAGAGTCCTGTAGCAGTAACATGTTCTCTCACATCCATCAACAAGCAATGATGAGGATCGAATGGTCTGCATACAGGCAAAATGAATGGTATGTTTGATGACAATATTCCAGATGAGGCTGTGGCAAATACCATAGGTTGTCTGTTAAGAATTTGAAATACACATTAATGAACATTGATGTTGACAATAAAATGGAAATCCAAAGTTCACTCAACTTATTCCAGAATATCTTCACAATGACATTCAGTTTCTAAAGAATGTTTGCATAATAAATGGTGACCTATCAGGAGTCCTAGACACAGTTAAACCCTTACATGACACTGAGAAAAGCAACTCTGTAATATTTGGCTAAATGATAAGTGTGAGACTTACTGGTGAGAGGTTGCCCATCATCAAGAAGGCCGTGAGGGTGGAGTCGAACAGGAAGGCTATCCTCTTGCTCTGTCCCGACGTCTGGTTACTCTGTTCTGAAAACATCATAAGGAACAAATCAGACATGTCCGACAAAATGTTGACAGCATTTTCAATATGTCCTACTGCTCAACAGCAAACAGTGAACTGTTTAATTTGTAATTCCAAACTTAATTAATAATCATTTATTAGAAAGAAAAATATAGCCAGGATAGCAATGCTTCTATTTATTAGACCCAGAGTGAGTTGAATGAGGATAAAAAACTAGGAAGGGTCATGAAGTCCTTGAAGTTTTCTGTTATATTAATTTATCCTAGGGGTCTCTGAATTTCCTGATAATTCATGTGACTGCCATTCCCTGTGGACCGGTAAATAAAGTAACATTGGTGATATTCATATAAGTACATTTTCCGAACAAAGTCAGCTTGTCTGTTACAATCAGGGTTTCCTCTTGTCTATTCTTAGGTTAAATATCCATTTGTAGCGACTTCATCTCAAAATATTAAAAAACAAAGAGAAAATTGTGACTCAAGTTTGTGTGAATGACGTATAGATCTAACTAAGTTACTTCAGAGACGACATCTTTGCACTGAAAATGTAGCTGAAAGAATTAAAACCAAATATTTTTCAAAGGTTTTTTTTATTTGTTGAAAGTTGGGACTGGCAAAAATTAGGGGTGGACTGGTAATTTTTAGAGTTGCCAGTCCACAAGAACTGGCAGTTTCAAAAGCCAGCAGGTACTCTGTCCACAATCCCATCACAAGCCTACCTATTGCACTTTCAATGGATGAGGCATCTGCATTGGAGTTGGTGTTCATGTCGGACTCGAAGTGATCACTGACTGTCAGATCAACGTCCATTGCATTACTCAGGTCAATCAACAAATCCTGACTAGATCTGAAACCAGGTAGCAACAACTATTGGATGTGATCAGTTGATAACAAACATGGTGTGTGAGGTCTCAACAGTATGTCACTACATATAAACTATTAGTCATAATAAGGCTGTCTGATTGTAATGGGAGAAGAAATGTGGTGCCAGTTGTAGATGTTTAATTTGGGAAAGTATGCTAGATGCTGATAACACAAATATTAGCATCAGTCAGAATCAGTGATTTCAACATGACTAGAGTCAGAGACCTACTAAGGGACACAACTCTGTAACAGCAGCTTTGACTCACAAACATATCACTGTATTTAGCACAAGAACTAACTTGCAGCAATACAGAAAATCACAGAAAATGTGTACATGAAATACAAAACAGCACCAAATAATTCAAATCACTTTACTAAAGACTTATGATATCAATATCCTAATGAGTTTCTCAGGTGAAAACATCCCAGATTTCCCAAAGTACCGTGCATTGATTCTGTGGCAATGACAAGCAATATGCTGAAATCAGATATCACACTCTGACAAATGTCTCAATTCTAGTTGTCAAAAATAATATGTCACATAAACAAAACCACTAGCTAAGATACATGAATGGAAGTCTCCCCCTGTCTTACTTCTGCATAACGGGGGTCTTAGCTGTCTTGGGAGCTTGTTGTGTCCAGGAAGGATGCACTTCATAGGGGTTGAGGTCAATAGTTTTCTTCTTGGCAAACCCTAGTCTACAGTACATTGACACAGCATTCTGAAAACAGGGATCCTAGAGATTAGCAATTCAATGTCTTTACAAACAGCAATGAAACATGGTGGCAACAGATGTATGTATGCCAAAGATCAATTTCATAAGAAAAGTAGGCAATATCTAACCCAATATTATAACAAAGATTACTATTTCAGAATGAAGCGGATTTTTAACACAGCGCCAACTTCTTACCTAAGATTTGAATGGAGTAAAGTAAACAAGTTATAATTATCGAGAAAAAGATATTTCTGGATAACCTGGATCGAGATAAGGATACAATGTTTCAGCAGACAAAGTGAGTGAGTGTGGTTTTACACCACTTTTAGCAAATCTTTCAGCAATATCCTGGCCAGGGACACCAGAAATGGACTTTATACATAATATCCATGTGGGTAACAAATGAGCACTACTTTCTCACCTTTACTAGTTGGAGATCTATCTCTAGAACACTTGCAAGCTGAAACAGAAGCACAATGATCATAAGTTAAAACACTCTTGTATTTGTAAATTTGTACACCAAGACTGTGGACGTTTTAGGCAATCAGAACGTGTGTAGGATAGCAGTTACTCTAATGCAAAAAACATACCAATCTGCTTACTTTCTCATTTGTAAGTGCTTCAGTTCATTATTTCCTTCATGTACAACTTGTAAAAAAAATAACTTATAAAAATTATACTAAATTATGGTCAACAATCTCTGTGAAATTACTATTGTTCTTATCAATTGCAATCTTAATAAATTAACATAGGCTGTACATTTTGGTCATGTCTTGTTTATTAACATCACAAGATAATGGGATGGGTGTACCTCGGACACAGTAGTGTGTTCATCTATAGACACAAAGATCTTGTACAGCAATGTCTCAAAGTAGTCTCCTAGAACTCGGTTCATCACGAACCCTTCCAGGGGAGGCACTGAAAGAAAACTCAACACATTATACTGCTGTACTTATTTCAGCGGATTCCTTGAACACACATCATCTCTGATACTGAAACATACCAATCAGGAGGTCAAGAGAAATATATCTAAGCATATTTCTTTCATTATGCCGTTACAAGTAGTTACCTGCCCGTGGAGATTCCGGGGTAGAATAGGTCTTCAGCAACCCATGCTTGCCGTAAAAGGTGACTATGCTTGTCGTAAAAGGCAACTAACGGGATCGGTTGGTCAGGCTCGCTGACTTGGTTGATGCATGTCATCGATCCCAATTGCGTAGATCAATGCTCATGATATTAATCACTGGCTTGTCTGGTCCGGACTCAATTATTTACAGACCGCCGTCATATAGCTGGAATATTGCTGAGTGCGGTGTTAAACAACAAACAAACCAACCAACCATCAAGTAGTTACCTTTTCATCAAGTTCATATTACATGTAATATTACTATCAATAAAGAATATCAAGTCAATAGTTTAGATATGAGTGATATTTATGTGACTCTTCGCAGGTGGACATGGACTGCATGCTACAAACTAGAACCATGTGGGGAACAAAACCTGGTCCTGTGGTGAATGTGAGACTGCTCCACTACTCACAGCCTCGTCTACTCAGGGATATAAAATGTGAAATATCACTGTTAATCAGTGGTGGGACGATACACTGATGCGTCACGATTTTCTACATCTCGATACAAGTATCGATCACAGTCGCACACTGAGTAAAAAATATTGATTCTGACTTGGGTGTTTGCTTTAATAACTGTTACACTTAACACTGAGTATAAGTAAATTAGTGGTGAAAACGTAAGCATTTTCATCCATTGTGCCATACTTGACACTGCCAACTGTAAGTCATCAGTGTCCCAGGTATTTGTCCATCCTGTCTATGAAACAAATAGCTGAGGGACCACAGATAAGAGCACATGGAAGTATCATGATACATATTGGATCGTGAGAAAGGTATCATGATATGTATTGGATTGCACAGTTGGTGTATCGTCCCAGCCTACTGTTAATAGTGCTATGATTTTCCTGACTAGGTAAAAAATCGAGTTCCAATTAATGTCCATTATTTATGGATGTAGGTTCTACTACACCAAATCAGAACCAGTTTGGACAGTGCGGTTTTCGTAGGGAGCCTTCAGTGCAGATCGAGAGATATCTGCAGGCTGTGATTGGAGGATATTCTGTAAGATTTTTATGTCTTTCAAATGTACATCTATCCAGTTATTAAAACTGACAATGTTTTTCTATATTTAGTACTGTCTTTTTCAACATGATGACTTATGCTGAATGTGACCACAGCTATTTTCAAGTAGGTGACATTTGGTGCAAAACTGGGGGTGGTGTGTTTAGCTTCCTGTACTCGGAAAAGGAGCTGGCTAAGCTAGTCATTTTTTATTTTCTTATTGCTGCTCTAAGGCCAAACTGTGCACACACATACAGGTAATAGCTGTTGAATGCTTAGTTATTTTTTAAAAAAATATAACGTTACTATAGAAGTCTATGGGAAAACATTTGGTTGTGTGTAACCTGTACCGATAGCAGTGTGTAAACATGAAACTAAACATCAGCATGAACAATCAGTGATTACTGATGCAGGCAACAAGCCACACCATTAGCATGCACACCATCACCCCTGAGACTCCTGAGCAGTGTTCCTTAGGTCATCCCACAAAGAGCCATTCCCACTCTGCAGGCATTGTGACCAAACGATCGCCATGGTACCGGGCTGTGAAGCCCATCATGGGAGGCTGGTCATCAATCATAGGTACTTATGTATTCTGAAATGGGAAGAACCTCCTGATTCCACACCATCTGACATCTACTCATGACCTACCTATGATACAATCCTCATCCGCCATAGGGACATCTAGATACACCAGCCCCTTCCTATACAAACCTGAAACATAACATCATAAACACCATTTACTTTGGAAGCTGGTAATATTTTGAAAAAAGCAACTAGTGATCAGCTTCCATATATTTCACTATGGAGTACTGGCAAACATTGATAACATCCATACCCTACATAATCACCATCAATAATCTTGTCATCAGAGTGTGATCATCACCCGTTACTATGGTTACTCTACCCATGAAGACCAGGTTTAGAATAGATCTTCAGCAACCCATGTTTGCCATAAAAGGAGACTGTTTGTCATAAGAGACGACTAACGAGATTGAATGGTCAGGCTCATTGATGCCTGTCATCGTATGCCAATTGCGTGGAGCAATGCTCATGAAGTCAATTACTGGATTATCTGGTCAAGTCATTATTTACAGACCGCTGTCATTTAGCTGTCACATTGCTGAGTGCGGCGTTAAATAACAATCAAACATAGTGCAAAACTTATGGTTACTCACTATGTACAACATCTTTATCCTGGTCCCCAGCTGTCTGTGGACCAATGTCAATGATGGAGTCTATCACAGTCTTCTCTGGTTGAACACATATCTGCAAAGACAAACTGGCATCACAAACTGGGCTAAGCATGGAATACCAACAGAGAATGTAATCTCAAACATGACACACTCTACATTTGACTCAAGCAAGACAAGATGCAATTCTACCCTACTACAATGTCATCTCATTTCATGACATCTCAAACAGCTGAAAGTTGAGTGTACCTTGATATCATCTTCTGTGATGTAGCCTGTGTTTACAATCCACCAAGATTCAATACTCGCCGTCTCTACTGGCTGAACAGGTAACAACTCTCGAACTGGCTTCTTGCGGAAAAATTTCTGCAACACACAGCCATCTTATGTCAAGGCATCAATATCATGTTCATGGACTGAATCATATTTCATTAGCTAATAATTCATGGAAGAAACCATTTAATTCAACATGCAAGTCTTTTGTGAGTGAGTTTACATTTTACATTACAACAGCAAAATATCATGCATATAGCCAAAGCCGTACAATAAATATAAAAATCATGTCAATGTAAGACTATGTAATAGTATTAGCATACAATGACAGATTCCTACCTTTGATGACCTGCACTGGTTCATGAGATCAATGTACTGGTTGCGGCCAATACCTAGAAGCCTCAGGCCTGAAGAAGACAGAAAATGAATAGTTTTAATCAAAACATCCAATTCCTAAAACTCTAGCTATAGATAAAAAACAAATGAATCAATCACATGTCAAACCTAACATGCTTAAGGTGACAATCCACATATATAAAAGCAGCGTTAGAAGTTGGCACTAGTCCTATAGTCCTAGCCAAACTGCCCAATGGTTAAGGTATCATAAGGACTAGTAGAAATTTGCCCTTTTTAAGGGTTTTGCTATATGTTATCATTATAAGGACTAGTGGAAGAAAACTGTTAGTTTCTACCGCTGTAAAAGGAGTCTGGGGGCATTACAAATTTTATTTTTTTAATTTTATAAACAAAGTTTTCAAGGCATCTGTGTAATTAAGTGTCAACAGTTGTGTTTAAATAGTATTTTTCATAAATATGAATGGCATGTTTCATATTGGAAGAAAGAAGGCAACACACAAATTAAAGGGGGGATGAAATTTCCAAAAATTAATTAAAATTGGCCTAAGAAAAATAATAATGTCTCATTGATTAAGTTGAGCTCAGTTTTGTTTTGCAGAAAAACTTTCAGTTTAAATTTTATCATGTTTATTGCACATGTTCCACTCACAGTCTGCGGCAGTGAAGTTTGGGAGGGAGTCATAACTCTTTTCCTGTGTCATGATATCCTGCATCATGTTGGTGTAGTAGATGAATGGGGAGATCCTCAGTCCTTTCACCACCACATCAGACAGATGGTAGGGGTACAACATGAGGTGGTCCCGGCTGTATTGCAGGAGGTCCTCGTAGTAACGACGCTCATCCTTTCGTATATGGCGAACTGAAATTTTAATCCCCCAAACATTATCATGATCATTTCTGGATCCTAACAAATATGATAATAATCACTGAAATTGGTATCATGTGTATCATCCTGTATGTAGTTTTTCTTTTCGTGATTAACTGACAATTATTTGATTACTCAGCAGTTTGCTCAGTTTGTTTGTCGTTTAACGCGACAATATGACAGTGGTCTAAACAATCAGGTCTAGACCAAACAATCCAGTGATTGACATCATGAGCGTCAATCTCATACAATAACATGCATCAACCAAGTCAGTGAGCCTGACCACCCAGTGCTGTAAGCACGTTAGACACCTCTTACGACAGATAACCTAGTATCATCAGTCGCAGATGTAACGTGTACGCGAGACGGTACTCAGTGAAGCGCTTGATACTAATAGCTTGATACTAATTAATTCAATCACTGTGACAGTGCTGTCACCCGCGACCTCCGCGAAAGTAATAAAAGTGCTATGTAAAATCACCCACTGCCGAGAGGGACCACAATCCACCAAAGGTCGTGACTGGCAGGTCGCGTGTGCATCGAGGCATCCGCCTTCCTATTTTCACATACCCTATTTTTGAACAGTTAAGACAGGTCAACATGTCATTCTGGACTGGATACACTTGAAAGTGTACTCGTCGAAGCTAGAGACCAGTTATCACCATTTTTTCATGTTATTTCTGACATATTCCGTGTATACTCGGACCTCGTGGGACCGCGGCATTCATCGTATGGCGGCATTTGTGATTTCCAATCGCTCACGTGGGACACGCCTTTAGCGGCTGTCTGTAAATGAAAATCAGTAACCAGGAAGTGCTCGCTCCGTAAACAATTTCAATTTCCTCGGAATGTTCCGTCTGCTGCAAGTTAGGGGTCATTAACGCATTGATACTTACTTCTGGCATCTTTCTATTATTGCCTTACCCCCATCTGTCAAAGGACAACGATATGACCGGCAGTTTCCCAAATAAACCTTCTCTCTCGACCTGAACTAAATCATCTACATATTCATGGCGACTAATAAGGTAACGGAAGTTACGTAGCCCGCATATTTGATCATAACTATGCTGACAATAACAATGGCTGCGGGTATATTATCATGTTCATACATCCTCACGATCATACAAAAAACTGAATCAAACGTTTTTATATGAAAAATCTTCAAATTGATCATGATGATGATCGCAATACATGTTAAGTACTGATACACAGACACAAACTGGCTAATAATAATGAGACAAAAATACAATTACCAAGACTGCCTTTGTACCGAAGCTGATTTTTAACACTAAAGTTCACAACTGCCTTGTCATACTCTCTTTGAGAATTCCCAAAACTCTGAAAAAGAAAGATAGCAATGTACAACATCATCATCATTAGCTGAATCACTGAACCAAACAATGTGGGGGCAAATATAAAACAAAAAGAACATCAATCATGACATACACATTTGATGCATAATAAAATATGATTAATTATCCTCATCAAATAGTTTTTGTTGTCATTTATAATGTTTCATCATAATGTTTGTGATATCATTTGTGACAATGTGACTGAACATGTTATAATCCAGTAACTTTTCTGGAGACTACATAAGGAATCTTCAGAACATTTTCATGACATTATCAACTTTTGATAGGGCATTTTTGTATATCATTACCAAATATGAAAATAAATATCTAGAACATTTGGGATGACAATCAGGCAATGTCATAGAAAATAAGTCATTGTTTTCAGTTCATCTTTGAATTGATACACAGATGTACCAGTTTCGAGTCTCGATGCTAGAACAACCAAATTTCATGCGACTCAGTCTTCAAGATCTTTTCTAAAGTCATCAGTCATGGACTGTAAATATATTTTACACATTGCAAGTGACAATACCATGAAGATATTCGTAATTTGCCCGACAAGACAGCAGCTTTATACACACAATACAAGGATAAGAAAAAGATAAAATTGTACATGCCATGTTTTCTGGTTAACCCTCTGGCTGCCACCTAAAAATAGCCTGTGTACTATCGCTGTGCCGAGTTTATTTGCGAGTGACGTTGTGGAAACTGCACACTTTCGTCTAAAAACGACGTAACGTAACAACGATAAAACCCACAATTTTCAAATTTCACACTAGAACAGCACAACCATTTCCCTAACTGTCTATGTAAATATTGTAAAGCATTAACGTGATTAACAGTAGTTTATAGCTCGGCAAACGTATTGAATATGCGATTTTTTACAAAATGTCCATGGCGGCTGTTTTGTTGACATTGCGCACTGGATACTTTGAGCGTCTTGTCAGGTTGTAAATCTCCACCAATATAAAAACCAAAAACATTATGCGAAAGCCCGTTTGTTTCCCGATTACCGTGTTGAAAATGAAAAATCTCCGTGGAAAATCGTCCGCGAAATCGTCGATTACGAATTTGTTCAAATATGTGTGACGCCATTTTGTCCGTAAATTAGTGAAATTGTAACGTTATCGTTTGCATATCATGTCGGAAAAAGCATATTAATGAAAAAACTATTTATGAGTAAGGAATAAAATCTTATCCCTAAAATCTGTGGTTTATTACCTACATGCTGATATAAATTGTAACGTGTAACCTTAGCTATGAAATTCAAAATTACGTACTTTTAGAAAGAAGAGAACGAAATCGCATTTCAAACTAAAACTTATACGCGGTGTTGTGTTTTCTTCATTGCAATAAATTATTTTTCTTTTCGGTCATTATTCATTTTTTAGTAAGAAAATCATACTATGTAATCTGCAAAGAACATGCCCTTGTGCATGGCATATTTTTACTTTTCTTGCACCGAAAGGTATTCCTCACGGCTCATGTCAATCAGTTCACTGTAAATACTCCTACCAGGCGATGGCGGACATGTCCATTTGCACGTCGACGAAATTTGCATACAGACGATTGAACGAGTTAGTCTCGTATCTTTATGAATCCTTAATAACGTTGTTTTATTTTCATTTTTAACTAATAACGATTATACAAACACAAAACAATAAAAAAAATTCACATGAAGTAGAAACCATACGAAAATGCCTTTTGTGTTGTCGACAGCTTTAGTTTTGAATATTTCAAAATGTCGTCGACCGTGTTCAGCGGTGTTTGGGATTTTGGATTTACTATAACATCTTTGACAGCAACCGAGATAGTAAGTACATTTGAACATCATTCTGTAAGCAAAGCTTAGTGTTCTAATGATGGTCTGAAATCTGTCGTAATTTGGAGATGATAAACGCATTGATTCATCAAAGATTCAAACGTTGCGATCTGGTCATATTTTCCCGATTTCCATCTCCGTCCCTGCTTACATCAGCAGCCATTGAGTGACCATCAAGCAGTATTAAAGACATGGATCCACTGATCACAAACCCAAAGGAACTGTATTAGCTAACATTTATTACAGTCAGATGGATGTATATGTGATTTTTGTCATGAAATGTTCAAAGTATAATCAAAATTGATCTCGATAATTAATCTTTCTTTCGGGAACTTTTTGACGAATGATTTCCATGGCGATGTGGTAGACTAGCTGTTATGAATACCATTATCCGAAGTATATTTCAACGGACATTTAATACAAATCAAACCATGTATTCCTGGTAATGTTTGACGAATTTGAAAAAAAGGTAATCTATGAAGAATTTGTAAACACCAAAAGGCACAGGTTACCCGCTCGAAAAAAACGGGCATCATTTCAGATTTGCGCAAGCCGGAACAAATACGTTCACGGCTTGCTGTCTTCTCTCACGTCCGCGCTTGCTCGTGGCATTTACCGCTAAAATTTATGGATTACATTATGTCTGTTGAGCGAACTTTATCAGAATACGTTACGGCAAAGACGTGGCAGTTGTCCAATAGTCCTTGCCAAACTGACCAATAGTTAAGGTATAATACGGACAAGAAGAAATTTTCAATTTTTAAGGGTTTATCATAATAAGGACTAGAAGTAAAAAGTTTCTTTAGTTCTGTAGATGTATGTAAGTCATTGGTTATGATAACATTGGAGAATCGATTTCCATATATCAATTAATAATTAAAAAGTATGCTTACATATGCATACATGAACATTTTTGAATATTTTGTTAATATTCCAGAGGAACAACCACACTTTCATATGGCTGTAATTGGAAAGACTTTAGAAAATTATTTCTTATTCCAAGGTCCTTACTGTTATACTTACTGTCCTTAATGTACTTTATTTAATATTTTGAAAAGTATCATCAGTAACAAATCTTGTAACTGTTTAAATGAGATATATAAGACAAATGTACAAATCTCTCAATCTATACATATTTATTGACAGTATTTACATGTGAATAATATATAAACTATGTACAATAAAGTTTTAAAAAAGGGCCGCATCTTAGCTGGAATACTGCTGAAAGCGGCATGAATCATACTCACTCTATTTACATGAAGTACATAATTGTGAACAAAAGATCAATAATCCATATACAATGAATCGCCACGAATTAACTGGAATATTGTAAATGTGGCGTTGAATCATACTCACGCACCAACATGTCCTTTTATATATACACAAATCCATTTTCTATTTACAGTAAATATATATAATATATATCATTAATATAATTTAATCTATTTACAATGAATCGCTGTAATGTTGCTGCAATGTGATCAACTGTGTGATACTGACGGAAACAGCGTGCACAGAGACCAATGTGGCAGTCAGGACACCAGGTCCTGACCTTTCCTGCGGAGCCATCGAAGGTCCTCTGTCTCTTTCTGCAGAGAACACACTGTTTCCTCTTCCCTTCAGGCAGCACTTCTATGAAGTGACGTCCGGTCAGTCGTCGGGAAGGAGGCTGGGTCCTGGGCCTGCCAGTCCTCCTCTTCACCTGAGTGTTCCCGACGAGTGAGTGGAGAAGGGACATGTGGAAGTCCAGACGGGAGGTCGTTCTACCATGGGTGTTCAGGAATGTCTGATAGGCAAATGAAATGAGTATGAAACATTAAAATCAAACATTATGAAATAGCTGTTCAGAAGATAAGGTCGAACAAATCAACACCTCCATCCCCTCCTCTGAGTTGCTGTTCAAAATAGCATATAGGAGGGGCATGGTAATCTGAAACATATATCATAATTTATTACATGAATTATTATAAATCATGCTGACATATATCATTGTATTTGATACATGTACATGTAATGATAATCTTAATATCATACAACTTATATCCACATTTATACCTAAACGAGACACCAAATATGAAACAATTCCTTACTTAGTTTTGGATGACAGGCATTGTCTATGTTGATTATGAATTCATGCACTTAATGATATTTGTATTTATCAATTCTTGTTACCTGGAGGGTTGACAGGGCCGCACTCCTCGGCAAAGTCAATGCTGTTGCCGAGGTCAAAGCTGTCTGTGTCCAGCACGGGCAGCCAGGGGCCACAGACCATTGGTTTGGCCCCTGCCTCTTCTTGGTTATTTTCCTCGTGATCTGAAATTTGAAATAATGCTTCTTATTAATAATGTCCTTTTCAATCACATATAAAAGTGCTAAGGGAAAGGATTCCTTGTTAAAAGATAGATATGTGTAGTGTGTCAATGCATTCAAATAACATAGGAGCATGGAAAAAGCATGTATGAATCATTCCACTTCACAGACCATATCCTGGACAGAGTAAAACTGTATTATCAAAATTCAAATATCATGAAATTTAAAAGCTTTTCAAATAATTTTGAATAATGACATGGTGGAAAATTAAAGCATAAGAATTAAGAGGTTGCAGATAAATTAATGCAATCACAATAGTGAGGACATGGTTAGCTTTGTTTATTTGTTTGCCTCTTTAGTATTTTTTTATGTGATGCTTAACACCGAAATCAAAATGAAGGGTTGGAACTAAAATACTTTACAAGACAGGGTAAAATTCCATTGTACTGTTAAAACAATGGGAAGATTTGGAAATTTGTCTACAGATAAGTGAGTTGGTATTAATTTCCATGTCATTGTCCTGATTATATATTTGCAAAACAGTCTAATAGTTAAGGTATCATAAGGACTAGTAGACATTTGCCAATTTTATAGGGTTTTGTTATACTCATCATTATAATATATGGACTAGTGGACTAAAATGTTAGTTTCTATCGCTGAATTTGCAAGTTTTCATGGATGTTTCTTATCATAATTGGAACTAAGCAACTGCTGACTCATGTTTTCTTGGTGATCAAGGGGAGATAATGTGATTTGTTTATGTCCTATAATATCTCCCTTGGATACATACTTTTTGCAAATTGCTTCATGGAAGTTTGTCATTTCTCCAATTTATTTTATGTTTGTTATCAATCTTAAATTTAAATAAAGATATAAATATATCACATATATATATACATATAGACCTATAGACATATATTTAGTTTATTGAAGGAAATGTTTCAGACCCTGTAGATCTAGTGAATATTTTACAACACAGTATCAATATTCATGTGGCAACTTTATTTTCGTCAAGGCTAATATTTTGCTTGTAATTAATATGTATAACCTGTGACCTTTTTAGTTGGGTACAGATTAAACATGTTGAAAGACTTATTCTTCATTACTACAACATAAAGATAAGATTAGGATATATGTGCTCCACATGAATGTATTAATGAAAACTGAAGGGCTTCCTTGAGTAGTCACAGGGAAACAATTGTGTAATCATGATGCAAACATTTCCAGGGTGAGAACTAAAATCAAAAGCTTTACAATGATGCTAAATTTAAAAAAAAAAATTGGCCATAGCTTCCACGTCTCCGGGCTACCTGCCCAGTGAGGGAACATTTGTTCAGTGCGCTGACCCCCCAACCCATTGGCACAAGGACAACAGTCACTTGGTGCAATGCCACTCCCCTTTCCCCTTAGTAAGTTATAGTAAATGTTAATCTACATCATTTAGATATATTTTTAACATTTAAAATTATGAAACATATTCATTTATTTTTAAAATTTCAAAATAAGTTAGACATTTTAGATTTTTTAGGAATGACTCACTATACTCATTTAAAAATATGGCTTCATGTCCAAAGTGTGAACTAGTGTGTCCTTCAAGATAAATTTAATTTTTAACAAAGACATTTTTCCATTAATATTACTGAGCTTTACCAAAAGCATGTGTAGGCCACATGTAGACATGTTAAAACTTCACTACCATGAGCAGTGATGAGAGACTTTCTTTCAAATCAATTTCATGAAATACTAAACAAGGTAGTTTGCTGTTTCTACTATGACTATCATGGTATGGTAGATATTTTTAACATTTTAAACATCACAACTATCACGAGTAGATCTAGCCTACAATTTGGAAAATTGCTAAAAAAAAATAACAAATTCTTATTCCCGCCATTGCTTTGACACTGACAGTACACCTACTCAATTTACTGAAAATGAATTAATGTTACTTACCGCTTATCTCTTCCTGGGAGTCGGACTCGGAGTCGGAATCGAGAGAATCGACGGATATGTCCGACTCGAAGTCCGACTCCCCCAAATCATCGTCGTCGCCAATTCCCACCGCAGACATTATTCCTTCTTGGTGGACAGCTTCGATCGCAATGTTGTCGTCTGTCACATGGGGCTATTTTTATCTCTATGAATATTCATGCTCTCGGCGGGAGGCGAACGGTTTTTTTATATTTGATTTGTGTTCATCGCGCTGATTCGATATACAAAGCACGAAGATAAAGATTAAAGCATATAATGTATAAATATTTACATTGGATGTCATATTTAACACTGTTGGTGATTTCAACATCAAATTTTATTTTGTTTTACTCGGGCACCTGTAACCTCTGTGACGTTGCATGTCAAAGGTCGCGGGTCACGGTATTTCGTTCCAGACGAACAATCGGAAATTTGCCGCTCTTGCCAACCCCGTTATGGTGGATGATTGAAACCAACTGTCGATAACCGTAACAGCTTCATTTGTATTCGTGAAATAAAAAAACTTAGTCTTGCAATAGTAATAAGGTATTTAACAATAACAAACCGCATGAATACAAAATTTACATACTGAAATTAAACGAAAGATTATTAATAATTTAGTAATGAATTCTACTGCCAAAGAGCTAGCTATTTATATTTAGACATACGAACTAATAATAAATATATAGATTCATCGGGGACCGGTATTCAAGTAATTTTAACTGACATTTACACGTTCATAATTCAACATCATATAGTTCTTGTTTATATACTTATATAACCAATAAATTATAAATATATTCGACACTGCATAAGATCCTATATGCCGTTGCTACCAACCTACTTTTCAACGTCTTGTAATAAATTGGGTCGCCTCATTAAACATACGAAAACGTGACTTACATATAATCAGTCACAAAACATGAACAACACAGACCCAAGAGGGTGTGTCAAAGTTTACCATGTGCGTTTTCGTTTCTTCTGGGAGACATGCTTTCGACTTGTTTTCTCTCATGAAAAGTACCGCTAAGCGACCTTCAACTTCGGTCGCCATTTTGTTTTAAGTTTCGGCTAAAAAGTTGCGGTACCTTTTCTGTGTTTTTGCAGAATTTGAGGTTTAGGAAGCATGAATGGAATTTCTAAGTATACGTATGCATATGAGAAGTGGCACATTTTCACACAGACTGTTTTTAAAAGATGTCAGTAGGTATGTATAACTGTATGAATGTTTTTGAATACGCTTTGATATGAATGTGATGAACGAGGCCTTGAACAAATACTGTAAAAAAAATATATACACTCCATTCACCATCGATAAACTGGGCATTTAGTTGGTTTCATTAGCTAATTAATACATCGATGCGTAGATATTTGACCATTTTCAATCTTTTAACCAAAATATTTATGAAGGTTTCAAACATTCCTTCGCATATGGATTTTCAATCAGTCGGTGCAATTTGTTCGAAATGAAAAAATATTTCAATGGCGGCACATTTGAACGAAAGTGTAAACAAGGGGAATTTGACTAACTCCATATGCGTTATTTATTGACAGTAGAGTTGTGAAAATGACACAGATGTGATGGAAATTTACTGCTTTTTGCGATGTTGCAATTGCTATGGGCTTGGGGTAATCCAAAAATATTTTATTTCAATTCTTTTAACATGATGTTTCAGAAGGACATATATGTCCCTCTGGCACAGCAACTGCGTTTTGTGTAGGGACATATATGTCCAAATGGCATCCAGGGGGTTAAATAAAGCAACAGGATATTGATATGGGCATGTAGATATGGGCAAACGACCACTGTTCAAAACAACCAAGGCTATCCGAAAAAAGCGTTTAGCAAAAGTCCATTTCATTGAGAAAATACCACAGGAATAAAATCAGAATATCTAAATAGACAATGCCTCTCCAAATCATTGCATGGACCAAGAGAATATGGAACTGCAACGAGTTGAAGGGGTGGGTGTGACAATCTTACCTGTTTGATGTTGGCTGGAAGTTTTTGCCATGTGTGATTTTGGCGAATATGGGTTTCAACGTCAGCGTTCATGTTTACGTTAACATAAACCCATCATATTGTGCACAAAATAGGTGTTAGCAGCTATCAAACTTCCATCATTATTGCGGAAACACCTACAATTATCACAGCAGACGGCAATGCAATTTTCTCTCACAACATTGAACTTTCCGCTTCCGGTTAACATTTTATACTACTTCCAGCGCAACTTGCTATACATTCTTTCCAAAAAGATAACACTTTGTTGAATGTTCGTTGTGCTTCTTGGGTCAGGCAGCATAGACATTACACATGATAGCTATTGATAAAGTGTCTGGGAACCTAGGGTTCTTGTGGCGTATCAGTATTCGACAATGTTCATCCACATGAGTTCATACTGACATGTAAGTCACCATCAAAATGACCTGCCTCACAAAAATATTGTTTACTGGTGTCTTGAATGTCGAAACAAACACGACAATACAATGACAACATTCTCTCTGTTAGTTTCAATTCACTACATTGATTTTTGTTATCATATATTGAACAGATAAATGCTCAGTCGTCAATGTGATTGTAGAACTTGGCCGCACTCAGCAATATTCCAGCTATATGACGGCGCTCTGTAAATAATCGAATCTGGACGAGACAACCCAGTGATTGATATCATGAGCATCGACCCACGCAATTGGGATCGATGACGTGCCTCAACCATGTCAGGGAGCCTGACCGACCGACCCCGTTAGTCGCCTCTTACGACAAGACAAGCATAGTCGCCTTTAACGGTAGAAGGTGAAATATGAGCATAAAATGTCAGTGAGTGAGTTGAGCTATGAACAGTAATTCGGTTATATCGTGACGTAATCCGTTTAATGTTGGACGAGAGTCCGAAGCGATGCAGTTGAAACAACGTAAGTGAAACCCAGGGCAATTAAGGCAAATCTTGGATTCGAATCCATGGTTTTGGTGTGTTTTTTATAGTCCTGATATCTGTTAGGGGACGCAACTCTGCTCAGCAAATATAGATGGGTACTGGCGTATATCAGTTGTTGGAAATAAAGCAACTTGTTAACATGACAACTCAAATCAAAGCAGGCACATTATTTCAACAATAGGACAAGATAACTAATGGTCAATTAAATGTATACGTATATATTACTGTTTTCTCCAAATACTCTAGACCCGTGAAGATCCGGGGTAGAATAGGTCTTCAGCAACCCATGCTTGCCGTGAAAGGCGACTATGCTTGTCGTAAAAGGCGACTAACGGGATCGGGTGGTCAGGCTCGCTGACTTGGTTGATGCAGGTCATCGATCCCAATTGCTTGGATCGATGTTCATGATATCAATCACTGGATTGTCTGGTCCAGACTCGATTATTTACAGACCGCCGTCATATATATAGCTGGAATATTGCTGAGTGCGGCGTATAACAACAAACCAACCAACTAAATACACTTGTGCAGTTATTTGCCACTACAGTCCGTTTGACTCCCAATGAGAACAATGAATTGCAAAATAACTCGAAATCAAGAAAAGTGTATGAAACATCAACAAAATCTGAAATTTGTTTATTTTAAGACCCATGACGGATGAAGTTCTTTAAGAAACTATCATGTAATTTTGTACATGACACGTAGGGGGGACAAACCGTGGAAGGCACAGCGCAAGCACGCATGCACTGCACGTTCTGTGGTAGGGGAAATGACAGAGCGTTAGAGGGGCCGTCTCATAATTTCAGTCGCAATCTGACTCGCTCATACCATAGATCTCGTCGTCGGAACTGCTGGTGCCTGAAACGACTGCCACTATTATAGGTTGGACTGTTGCTGGCCGTTGTCCATCTCGTGACCAATAACGTGGCTCTATCTCGTCAACGACTGTGGCCACACAACGCCTCTATGTTTCTACTGTTACCCGACCAAGGGATTCCTTTACGAGTTGTTCAACGTCTCGTAATTTGAACGTTGTGTTCGATCGTCCAACGTCATCCTTGACGATGCCCCTTACCAACTCGATTGGATTCAGGTCGCAGTGATAAGGTGGCAGTCGTAAGACAGCGTGACCCTGACCCTTGATGTAACTGTCAACTTTATACACGGGGTCAGGTTTCATAGATTTGATGATTTCATAGAGCTGTGGTTTCGTCGCTCGAGAAGGAAAGGTAATGTTCCTCCGTTGCAGCCAAGTAACCATGTCTCCTTTACGGTTATTAGAGGTTGGAGTCTTGCTTTCTGGATCCTGCACACTATGATACGGTGCATTGTCAATGACAATGAGAGACTTGGTAGGCAAAGCAGGGACTAATTTATCTTTCACCCACTCCAGAAATACATTGCCGTTTATTTCTGTGTGGTAGTCCCTGTTGTCTTTGGCCTTGGCTCTAAAGACGAGGTCACAGTCTGGGAGTAAAACTCTGACTAGCAGAACCAGCATGGAGAACTATGAGTCTTTCACCCTTTCCCATTGGTAACTTTCTACCAGACTCCTTACAGTCACCACTGGGTACCCACTGACTCCTGGCTGTATGTGACGCATTTACCCATGTCTCATCTAAGAAGACGGGTTCATATCCTTCTTCACGTTTCTGCTTGATGGTACGAAGGTAATGATTTCGGAGACGGACAATGTCAGACCGTTCACACAACACAGCCCTATTTTCTCCAGTTATCTTTTTGTATTTGTAACCAAATGTATGCAACAGCTGCCATAGTTTGTACTTTCTAACACGTAAATCATGGTCAGTTTCAAGGTGTTTCTTCAAAATTCTTAGGGACAGGTACTTATTTTCTGAGTGCAGTTTAACAATTGCACGTCTGACTTGATGCCTCTGAAAACTGTCTAATGTATCAACCTTGCGTGGATTTGACATGTTCCCTACCTCCTTGGCCTGACTATTTGTATCTCGTCGACTAACAACATTTTTAAGTTTCTGAGGGGACATACCAAGAGCTTTTGAAGCTCGTTTCAAGAATTTATTAATTGCATAAAAAGGCTTTGCTCTTCCTGCTTCACATCTAAAGAAATCATACTCATTCAACATCAACTGTTTAACATCTGCTGAGTAGCGCATCTTGTCATTGAATGGAACACGGTCACTGTGTAGCACGTGCAGACCGTGCTTGCGCTGTTCCTTCCACGGTTTGTCCCCCTACGTGTCATGTACACATTTCTATACAAAATTACATGATAGTTTCTTAAAGAACTTCATCCGCAATGGGTCTTAAAATGAACAAAATTCAGATTTTGTTGGGTACAGGGTATTCATGGTCAAGTACCGTATTGATGTTTCATACACTTTTCTGGATTTCGAGTTATTTTGCAATTCATCGTTCTCATTTGGAGTCAAACGGACTGTACGTGATAATGAACCGTAACGGCGTAATGCATGTATAGGGTATACGGTATAAATGTGTGTGTATCCCTAGCTACAGAATAGCAAGGCAAGTACACCTAGATAGCATTATATATTTTTTGCATTTATTTGTAATTAAAGATTTTATAGATTAATTGTCTACCTGCAGAATAACTCATAAATAGATTGATGATATTTATCCTGATATAATTGTAGACACGGTTTGTTTTCAAGTTTTATATCCGAGGGCTGATAAAACGGTAAAACATATTTCCTGTAATCGTGTGTATATCAGTCCAGCAATTAATGATTTCCCTCAATACACAAGCAATGTCTCAACCTTTGACAAAGTAATTACCAAGTCTAGTATTGAAATAACGGACCTTTCCATTTCTATTTGGCATTATCTACGTCTACATTATAATGACATAAATGTTATTCGTGATCGTATTAAAGTTTGATCTTTTTGACTGCACCTCTTTGGCACTGGTCCCTTGACCCAAAGTGGAATAAATAACCAATAGGTTAGAAATTATCTTTTGAAAAGAAAAAGTCTGTTCCATCAGTCACACAACAGTTTAGTTGTTGATTAATTGTTAGGAAGATACTATCTTCTTTACTTTGTATGCGTTGAGAAATTTCATTGGCTCGTTTCGACCAATGAAAGTTATTTTTACAATGAGGGCTTTGGTAACTGTTTTGTTGAAACATGGCCGACAATGACAGGTGCCAATTTCGGAAGTAGATACGGATAAGGAATAAACATATTTCGGATAAAAGTATGTGGTTGACTTTCACTTTAATTATATCAGTGGCATTGACCATGTGATTCCTTAGACTTTTTTGACATTTCAGTTGTAATCTGTCGACGATTTCTTTCGAAACGCCGAGAACGGTTGATCTCAAAAGTAGTCCTAATCAAAATGTATGAGAGGCCTACTCAAAATGTATGAGACCAAATATTATAACAAACAAGGCATTGAGCATGGACATACTTCTTTCGATTTCTATTAAGATTTTATTATGATTGTTTGCTTTTGTCATTTTAATGTCTGCAAGAGTGCCGCCGGCCATCCTGCTAACAGGAGTCGTTTCTAGCCTTTGCCATGTTGTCTGATGAGTAGATCTATCCATTTTCGTAACATAAAAAATGTTATTAAAGTTGTCGTAAGTTTTGAGTGATACTTTTTTAACATTGCTTTAAGTTCATAACTATGTGTGTAAAAAAGGATGATTCTTCATATTTACTAGATATTAGTGGGAGATACACTGATGCATTGATAACTGTAAAACCAACAACTAATTAGTAGTGAAATTTGTGGTGAAAATGTAAATATTTTCATCTGTGTATTTGACACTGCCAACTGTAAATCATCAGTGTGCCAGGAAATTGACCATCTTGTCTATGAAAAAGACGATAACAAAAGTTGTATTAAAAATGTCATTTGATACCTTAGCCATTATGAATTTTGGTTGGGACTAATGACAGTTTTTTATGCTGGGTAGTCATGGTACTAATAGCAATGTATCCATGAACTATGAATTCAGCTCACCATCACTATAATAGATAACAGGTCTGTATCTGTTCTTACTGTTGGATAATGTCACTATTTGTGTTGGCATGGTTTTACTTTAACCATTACTTCTTAGGATACTAAAATGGGTGAACTGAGTGTCATTGAAAAGCGCCACGTTTTTGACCATGTGTTCAACCAGTACGACACAATGAGGACAGGGGAGTTTACTCCTGTACAGCTTCAGATTCTACATGGAGATCTTCGAATTGGTGGAATCAGCATGCCACAGGTTGGTCCTTGGTTAAGAATTTTAATGGAAACACATGTTTGAGAAGTTTTATCTTGTATTTTCCAGGCCCTCTTCATCATCTTCATCATGTGTACACTGTAACATATTATTTCACTTTTCATATATTGATATAGACACTGTTACATCATTTGCATGTATAAGCTGATACGTGCAGTCAAATTTGAATAAAACATCATTACCTAACCTATTTTTAAATCACTTAATCACATTTAATCACTTTTTTTGACAACATAAAGTGACCCTAGTGCCTATCTCTTCTTTAGGCTTTATAGGACTCTTTTTGTTTTAGCTTATACTGGACTCACTACTATATGAACCAACAACTTTGTGATGTGTCCTATAGCGGCATCATCCCAAGGCAAGAGAGTTAACTGACTATAAAAGTCCAGTTTCCACCCTTGCCGAACTAGGCTGGTATTATGTAGTTAAATTTTGGCTGGGCTAACAAGTCTATGCATAGTCCAATCAAAATCGCACAACAAAATCGGTATCCGGTTTGTAAAATGTCGTGCTGATTTCGGTCGATTGCAGGATTTACAAAGCATGTGCACCGCCAACTCAACAGATATTTTCCAAATCTTTTCATGATTTTAATCAAAGTGCTCACATGATTTGATGCACCTCGCGAAGTAAGACCCGTTTTATCACAGTATAGATCTTGATTATCGATCAGATTGTCTTGACTGGGCGCCACCATTTTGTTTGAATCAAATGCAAGGGATACGAGAGGTGGAATCTGATTGGTTCATAAGAGAGGTTTAGAAGGGATATAACCACTGGTGGCGCTACGATTGAGCCCAGGAATTTCAGCCTAATTTGGCAAAGGTGGAAACTGGACTTTTAAAGTCAGTTAACTCACTTGCCTCGGGAAGATGTATAGCGGGAGATAGTGATAGAGCTGTTTTCTTGTTTGTTTCTGTTTTTTTATTAAACATGTGATAGAATCAACACTAAAACCTCCCATTAGCGTATTAGAAATATGTTTTTCATAGGAATCTATCATACTGTTAAAATTGATTGCATTGTTAAATGTTTCCTTGATGCATTAGTGATTGTAGTGTTTAATTCATCCTCTGACAGGTGCTGGCCTCACTGGCATACACCTGTGCAACAGACATGTGCAGTGAGACGGAACTGTACGATGCTCTGCAGGAGATGGATCGTCGTTATTTCCTTGTCCAGGACTTGCGCTGGGAGTTTTCCATGTTAGACCGAACACAGACTGACCTCATCACGGAGGAGCAAGCTAGGTGAGAGAGAAACTATATCACTACAGCAGAGAGCATTTAATCACAAAGTTCACGTGACATTCAGTTACCTAGATGTTCAGTTAAACATTTAATTTACTTGTGTACCTGTTAAGCCAATGTTTAGGAAAAGGATGTTTATGTTTTTCATACATACAGGCAAGAAAGCGTATTTGGCACGAAAATTCAAACATTTTCCCAAAATAAACATATTCATTTATGTCCATCCCAATTGGAACTTCATTTCTGTGTCTCCACAGATTTCCCAATCTCAACATATATGTTAACCACACACTTACATTTTCTGTATATTGATACTAATGTTATGCATGTTTAGAAATTAGCTTTAAACTTTTTGTAACAATAATGCTATAATTTGGGTAAGTACGCCATAGACACAAATATTTGATTGCATGTCAAGCAATGAGCACGGATACCCAGTAGTTTTGAATTATATGTTAGAAGGATTGCCATTTCAACACAAAGACAATCTCATTCAAATCAGTTCTGGTTACCACTAAACAAAGACCTGAGGACATCCCATTACGGAATCATGCAACCTCAGAAAGGTTGACACAGTGTTCCAGATGACAGTTACAGGCTGTGTGACTGATTCCATCAAAATCAATATCTACATCTACAATCAATATTCAATGGTATAAACATTGAAACGGAAGAGATTGTGGGTTCAAATCCGTGTTTTTGTCTATCATTACCATTCCTGTGCTTGTGGGTTTCACCAAAATAGTAAAAGTCTAAGACCTGCATCAATTTGCCCCCCCGCACACACACACAACCCACACACACACACACACACACCCACACACACACACACACACACACACACACACACACCCACCCCTCTGATCAAGCTGACATGTTGTGATATAACTGAAATACTGTACAAAGCTGCGTTGAACCCAACTCACTGCCTCGTTCATAAGTCACTGTCCCTATGGTTGAGCGTACACCTAAACATTTTGTGTTTGCAGGTGGCTGGTCCAGACAGTTCATGGCCGCTACTTCTCCAAGCGGGCATGGGAGGAGTTCCTGTTGAGGCGAGCTGTGCCTGGCAGTGGAGTGTCATTCGCTGAAATTGAGGTCCTTCTGTGTGATATTCCTAGTCGGCTCAAGCTTGAGAAGGAAAATAAAGATGATGATAGAGAGAAGGAAGGTAGGATGTGTTTATATGAAGATGATAGTTCTGAGTTGTGTAGTTGAAGGATACTTGGAACTTGTTCAGTTAGTCTAGATATCACTAGATATGATGATAAGTCCATCAGCGGATCATGTAGAGATCCTAAAACTGTATAGAGACTATAGAACATACCTGTTTTGCCCATAAGAGATCTACTTTATGTTCACATTTAAAAAGATAGTGAATATGAAGTAAATAGCAACCAGTGTTCCCAGTTACCGGGAGCCCAGGTCATTGTCCCATTATTATCCCCCGCCACGAAGTGGAAGGGGAATATAGGAATGGGTGCTGTCCGGCCGGCCGTCACATTTCGTTTCCAGAGCAGATCTTGAAAACCGTACCATATTTCTTCACCAAACTTGGCACATAGATCGATCTAGTGGTGAACTGGTGCCTTTTGATAGTTTGGGATTTTAAAAAAAGTTATTTTTCGAGTTTCCATAGCAACAACTTTGATTTATACTGAAAATGGCAGTAGTCCTCATTTCCGGAGCAGATCTTGAAAACCGTACCATATTTCTTCACCAAACTTGGCACATAGATCGATCTAGTGGTGAACTGGTGCCTTTTGATAGTTTGGGATTTAAAAAAAAGTTATTTTTCGAGTTTCCATGGCAACAACTTTGATTTAGACTGAAAATGGCAGTAGTCCTCGTTTCCGGAGCAGATCTTGAAAACCGTACCATATTTCTTCGTCATACTTGGCACATACCGGTAGATAGGTCTAGTGGTGAACTGGTGCCTTTTGATAGTTTGAGATTTTTAAAAACAATATTTTTTTAGTTTCCATGGCAACGACTTTGATTTAGACTGAAAATGGTGGTAGTCCTTGTTTCCGAAGCAGATCTTGAAAACCGTACCATTTTGCTTCACCATATTTTGCACATTGATAGGTCTAGTGGTGAACAGGTGCCTTTGGATAGTTTTGGATTTTTTTTAAAAGTTATTTTTCAAGTTTCCATGGCAATGACTTTGATTTAGACTGAAAATGGAGGAAGTCCTCGTTTCCGGAGCAGATCTTGAAAAACGTACTATATTTCTTTACAAAAAGGCCTAGTGAACATAGTTCTCAGGAGCTAATGCATTGCACACCCGACATGTCATATTGGCGGGGGATGTGAGTATTTCATGCTTGTTATTATTATTATGACAATTATTTTATCAGGTAATGGTCACAAACAGTAAATAATCACATTAATCTGAACTGTCACTATTCAAAGATCACTATTATAGACTTAAACATAATTGAGTGACTGTTTTATTGTTAAGACATGATCAATGGAGACAAAATACTTCTGTAAAATATGAACATCAAGCTCCAATCTTATTTTGTGTGTTCAGAGAGGCTTCGTCGGCAGCGTGAGTTGGAGGAGGAGGCGGAGAAACAGAGACAGCGGCTGAAAAAGGAGAAAGAAGAAAACAGAAAGAAGAAGGAGCAGGTAGGTGTTCATGCGTTCTAAAGTAGATTCTGTACATCTTGCTTTTTGTAAAATTAACGGATATCAATACAATGTTCAGGATTAATGCTTGTGGTTCCCCTTACAATGCAAGCAAGTTATTTATTATGAAAATTAAATATACCAGATTTTCTGTTACGGTGATTCCAACTTTTTGTATTGTTATTAGAATAAGAAGAAGGATGACGATGAAAGAAGAAAGCGGGAGCTAGAAGATGATGGTAAGCTAGAAGGAATTAATATGAGCAGAATTCCATGAAAATATATTGATATGAGCATCTTTCAAAAATAAGATCTTGACTCCTCAGTTGTGAGGTGATGTGTTAACAGAGCAAAAGTTCAAGACTTATGTATTATGAGCACCACTTCCTCACGAATACACACAGAAAAATGTGATACCATATTGAGAATATACCTCTTAAATTTCTAAACCTTTCCTATCTCACACTATGCATTTTTTCCTTCTTCATTCGTTTCTGGTAAGGTAACGTCTTAGAACAAATATTTTACCTGAACAAATCCCAGCATCACCATGGTCACCACCTAAACCATTGGTAATGCACCACTGCAATCCTGTGCAATCCGACCCGACCCTAAGTGACCCTAAGTGACCTGATGACCTGACATACCTACCTGCAACTTGTAACTGTCGGACAACCGCAACATGTCAGACAGTTTAAAACAGATAAACACCTGTTTTGCCAAAAATATAATCATACATTTCTTACAGTAGATCCTCACTCCAACAGCTGTGATTATCGTGGACAGTGCAAGGTGTCAAACAGATGCTTTCAATGCAAACATTTATCTGAGGAAGATTTTCAGACTTATTTTTGCAAATGCAAAGTGCAACACAGATCGACGATCGAAGTCGTTATCTGAGGATGCGGAGCATGGACCATCTGCTACCAAGAAACCTAAACATGTTGTGCAGGCATCTGTCAGCTCATCTGTTTCCATGGCCAAACCTACCAAGACATCTACCATCACATCGCTATCCGTACTGTGCCAAATAAGGAGAAGTCTCCGGTCCATACTTCTACGATAATGGCGAAGCAACACCTTATGTGCCCCAACTCTCAGCAGAGAGCCGATTATCATCCCCCTTTTCCCACCAGGATGATCAACATGATGATACAATCGATCCCACTCTTTCTTCAGCCTCTCCTCAGGAGTCGCAGGGACACTCACCAATGAGTAAGGAAGCTACCTCATGCTCTTCTTCACCCTCTCCTTCACCCTCTCCACAAGGCAGAGTCGTGATTGTACTCGCACTTCACCTTCAGATCAATATTGTAGCGAGGAGCGTTCAGATGTTCAGATGATTTGGATTGATATCGACAGAAGGATTGACATCGACAGGTGGTTAAACATCATTCTGCAAATTCAGATCAGTCGGATCGATATCGACTTTCAGATCGACATAAATCTGTAGAACCTAATTGACATTAGGATCGATATCGAAACCCTTCACCAGTAGATCGATACCATCCTACGAACTCTTACCTTTATGTCTCAAAGTCGATACACCTTACCAGACGATCTTTCTTCAGATCAACTTTGTCACCCCTCGGCTGCAAATCGACATTCAGATTGCCATTGACCTGAACAGCGTTATCAAGACACTTTGTTGGATCGACATCCGGATAAACATCGATCCCCTCTTCATCTGGATCAACACCAACTCATGGACGCTATAGATACACCCCTCAGAGGGATTGACATTCGGATCGACATCGCTATGCTTCTGTTATGGATCCATACTCAGATAGACCTTGACCTGAGGATCGAGATGTTTCAATCAGCAGATAAATATTGTCTAGGTGATTGACACCGATACCTCTCTCTCCTAGGGATCGACCTTTACCGGATTGACATCATCCTGCTTTGTCACAAGATCGACTTTCCTGCAGTAGATTGCCCAGCATCTACTCTCTCACTTCTTGACCTGCATCTTCTCACAGGATAAATCATGCTAGTGATTGACAACAAGGACAGTGTTTACCCACATCTTGGGATCACCGGGATCAACCAGTACTTTCTACCACAGACTTTGAATCTTTACTACAGGCCAAGACTTCAGCCTTAGAACATTGGGATATACATACAGCTGTGCCTCCTATGACTACCACTGATGAATCTACACCACCCTCCCATTGTACATATGCGAATGCGACAAGTCATGCTAACCCCGGATACTACACCGAAGCAACCAGGAGGTACTAGTCATTACCAAGAGTCCCTACTTTCCTCGATTGGGAGTTTTGGTATTGTGGATCCCGTGGACTTGCTGCCTTGGATAGTGGAGAAGTTGGGCTCAGAACGAAGTTGCTCGGAGGAGACTCAATTGACTGGAATCGTCTGTCTAACTTGACTGTACCTACGCTTACCTAAGCTTCTAAACAAGTTATGCTGGACCTAGCCAAGAACCTGGATCAGGCTTTCTCGCAATTCAGGAAGCATAGGGACAATTTGCACCCACCAAGGTTTAGTTTGTCGGAAAGTGGTACACAGGCATGTCTTAGATGGGGACATTCACACATTAAACCCTAAGAGGTTGTCCCATACTTCCATCATTGAGGACTGTGAATTATTGGATCCAGATACCACATTACACCGCACTTTTACACTGTCTGCAATGACAGTCGCCCATGCCAAATCTTCTGAAGAAGCACATATCAGGCAAGCAATAGCTTTGATACATGACAAGTTCCAAGGTGTTATGGACCTCTTATTACCCACGTGGTGAAGATACAGGTGGTAAGATACTAAATCCGTACGTCACACGTGTGTCGTACAAGGTTGACCTTGTTTTATTCGTTCTGATTGGATAACCGTGACCTCTGTCACACTGGGACTACTTTTTTCATTCATAAAAAATCGCGAGACGTCATTCATTTTGCGATTGCAAGGCAGAACTGAAGAAATTCATGAGAACGAGAGATATTTACAAACACTTTATTAAACCAAACAAGATAGTAACACGCATCAAATTCGGTTTGCATTCTATATAAGTTATGCATAGAGGTCCTACAGACATTTAATCGAGCTAGATCTTTAAATCAATTTACAATGTACGACTGCCGATCGAGCGCGTCCCTTTAGCGTGACGCAACCGACCATTTTCGCAACTTTCAATTTGATTTAACGTAAAAGGATAGGCTTGGTGAAATGAAGTCTGTTTAAACTATCTGAACAGATATCTAGACTTACTTGGGATGATCTGGTTGTGCCTTGAAGCGTATTTTGTGGCGCTGTTTCGGGAGGTGTTGTTCATGAATGAACGAACACGACAGCACGACCAGATCACTTAAAGTTCACAGTTCCGATACAAATCATTCGAAAACTCCGTGGAAGTGTGCTTGACTTCTGATTTTGTGGCCCCAAACATCCCAAATGTGAACAGTAACATTCCCTATCTCTAGCGTAAAACGCTGTGAGTGGATCGCGGTTGTCTTTTCTTATTCTGGTGGCGACCTTGCCCTTCGATCGTTCGAAGCTGTCACTGACATGCAAGCAGATTTGAGTTTGTTGATTTTCACGTCTTCAGTATATAGGGTGGTACAGTTAACATGAATGTCTTTGGCGAACAGTCTGATTTCCCTCTTCCAAAATGGTACGGACATGATATAAATTCAGCTGATATATCAAGGAAACCGAACCATTTTGATTGCACAGACGGGACCCCGACAGTGTGATGCGTGTGACTGTTGGTCCAATATTCAAAGCGCGGCGCTAATGTGACATTTCAAATTTTCTTATCGGTGTCCTGCGTACTAACAACATGGTGCTTGAATTACCATAAGTTGAAGACTTTCTTCCAAAAGGATCTTGAGCGTCGGTGCTTGTTTGTTTGCAAACAGAACAGCAGGCGCATGTTGTTAATGCGTATGCATAAACATGTCAACAATGCCCATATTTGGTCATATATCAATATTCATGCGCAACCAGATTTTGGAACCGGTTTCAGTTTGGTCTGTAAACGAACGAAAGTTGTTATGTATTTACACTTAAATATATATTTAACGTGGGTAATAAATAAAATACCACACTCATTTTGTTAGATACCATTTTTACGAAACTCGTGAACTTTCTATGGTATCTGACATCGCTTTCGCTCGGTCAGATACCATAGAAAGTCCACTCGTTTCTCAAAAATGGTATCTAACGAGAATGAGTGTAGCATTCTCTATTTATCTCACTTCTTGGGCTCTGTCACGGCTATACAATGGCAAGATGTTCTTCAATCTTGCCCATGGGAGGACCTTTTCAAGGTTTGCCTCTATCTACTCCCTTGGTCCCCCACTTTCCTATTTGCCAACAGGATACACAAGATCACCCAAGGTTACAAACCTGCAAATATCTGTGGATCTCCTTAAGCTCCAGCGACAACATCTGTAATAGCAGACAATGCATTCAACATGACTTGAGAGAATTTTATGCGAAAAAGTCAAGGTCAAGGTCTTAACACAGCTTTAGTTCGACTGAGACCTTCCTCCCCCAGGCGTACCCATATTCAAGTCTCCAGTAGATGGAAGACTTATTTTTTTTTGCAGGAAATTGGACAATACTGGAAGATCCATTGGTCACACAACTCCTATGTCATGGCTACAGATTCCTGTTATCAACAATGCCCCAACCAAATCCAGGCCTATGCAGAGACAGTACGCTGCCAGCCAACTTCCATCCCTGCAAAACGCCATCGGTACATTAGTCACAAAGCAAGCAATAGATTGTCTAGGTCCCATCCCAAGTAACCCAGGGTAATATTCCCCAATTTTTCTGGTCCCGAGAAAAGACAGCAACACTTTACGGATGATTTTCAACATGAAGACTTTCAACTCGCAGTACATAGAATAGCCACCACTTGATTCTATCCCTCCTGGCCACTACGATCCAGTTGTTCCAACTAGCTTGAGCCAGGTATCAAAATTGGCATAGCAGATGCGTTATCCCATCTGGATCAACCATCTACAACAGTGTGGCAACTTCATCCGAAAATCTTTCGGTGGATTTGCCAACTTTATCCGAAGTAGACCTCTTTGCAACTCAGTTCAACACACAGTTGCCAAGATTCGTATTGACCATATCGACCATCTACATGTATGGTATCGCAACGCTTTAGCCATCTCGTGGGAGGACATCAACGCTTATGCTTATCCCTCTACAAGCCTTATACCTCAAGTTCTGCAGAAGGCAGCCATCACAAAACACCTACTGCATTTGGTCGTGCCCTTTGGGCCAGCGAGGAGTTGGTTCACTGTCCTGGTAAATGTTGCAGATCGCAGTTACCATTGCCTTTCTCTAAGACCAGATCTTCTACTTCAACCTCACTCAAGGGTTATTCTAAGAGGACAGACATTGTCAAGCCAGAGACATCACGAGCCCGACCACTGCATCACCTCAACAAGTTGCGGAGTATCTCCAGCACTTACGTTCTACAAGGTAACTCAAGGGATCGACTTTGGCTACTTATCTAGCAGCAGTTAACTCAGTTATTGCTACTACTAAGTGTGCGAAGATTTCCCCGGTAGCTGCAAGCTCTTATTCAGTCTTACAAACTTGCTGATCAATCATCCTAAGTTTGATCACCTGCTTGGGACCTTATCATCTTATGTCCTCTATCTTCGGAGAACTTTGAACCTTTGGAAGTTAACATTTTGAAAATTTTCACACTCAAAATGGTATTTCTACTTGCACTAGCAACAGCAATTCGCATTAATAGGGAGATTTATACTCTTGATGTCAACAGAGTCTATTTTGAGAGGCAGCATCATGGGAAAGTGAGGCGACACTGTCAACTCACATGTTGCTGTCACAACACGGCGGTCATGCCTTTTGATTCGGATCAAGTAACCATATCAAACCAATTAATCTGGCTTGAATGTGTATCTATATTTGTATGAATGTGTATGAATGCGCGTAGCGCTGGTCAAAACTCTCGTTTTCCGTATTTTAAGCAACATGACCAATCAATGCCACTGAAACACTGTACTTGTGTAATGAATTGTGATTGGCTCTTCACTCATAGCGTCTATTACTACCATTATCGATCGATATTTTCATGTAAGTAGCATTCACATTGAATGTGACAGTTAAGGCTTGTAAATAATAACAAACGGCGAAAACATAATGGATATATATTTTTACACTATGAACGGTAAACAACTTGTATCAATGCAATGTGCGAGACAAGGCCAAGATCGTAGGATTGGCAGAACGCGCTCCCCCACCTCGGCCTCGGTTAAACGGCTCATCGTCTATAACGCCCACCAATTATTTGGACCCCATAGGTAGCGTTGTAGCGAGGGACCACTGTATATAAATATACAACTTGTCCCGGTCATTGCGACTGATAAGCTCCATGGCTTTGAAGTGTCCAAATACTGGGCAATATACAAAATTACTCTTGATATTTTTTTGAGATAGAGGAAACAATAAACAAGAGTAATTTGACGAGATGCTTATTGACAATAGGTTACTGGTGGCCTTGGCTGCTGTCTTGGCTGGTTTGTATGAGCTGGTCTAACGGCTCACACAGCTGTTTGTAGCAAAGTAAATGAAATCAATTTCAATCAAATAAATATTTTTGCTAAATGTTTTCAGAGAGGAAGAAAAGGGAAGAAGAGGAAAGAAGAAAGAGAGAAGAAGAAGAGGTATATGTCAGCAAAAAATGCATCCTTTTTATCCCCTGCCAGGCCAGAATGGCCGAAGGGGGTTATGTTGTGGCGCAGTCCGTCCGTCTGTCTGTCTGTCCGTCTCACAGAGGGTACTAAGCTTGTGAAATCAACTCCTCCTACAGTTTCCAGAGAATATGTCGACATGTTGATGATACGCATATCGCAGTCCCATTTCATTTCGACTAATTTTGACAGAGTTACTGCCCCTGTTTTACATAGCTTCATTCGCCTAATTGTGAGAGAGGGTACTAAGCTTGTGAAATCAACTCCTCCTACAGTTTCCAGAGAATATCCCTGACACTCTACACACAAGATGTCGGCATCTTGATGATAGGCATATCGCTGTCCTGTTTCATTTTGACTAATTTTCACAGAGTAACTGCCCCTTTTTTTACGGAGCTTCATTTGCCTAATTGGGAGAGAGGTACTAAGCTTGTGAAATCAACTCCTCCTACAGTTTCCAGAGAATATCCCTGACAATCTACACACAAGATGTCGGCATCTTGATGATAGGCATATCGCAGTCCTGTTTCATTTTGACTAATTTTGACAGAGTAACTGCCCCTTTTTTTACGGAGCTTCATTTGCCTAATTGGGAGAGAGGTACTAAGCTTGTGAAATCAACTCCTCCTCCAGCTTTTAGAGAATATCCCTGACACTCTACACACAAGATGTCGACATGTTGATGATACGCATATCGCAGTCATTTTATTTCGACTAATTTTGACAGAGTTACTGCCCCGAGTTTCATTTGCCTAATTGTGAGAGAGGTATTGTGAAACAGAAATCAGACAGTCCTAAGTTTATGAATGTAGATGGCATAGAACTATCAGTCTTTTATCTTGCAAGCCCTGTCCCAAACCTCATGATCTGTATAGTCTACAAACCTCCATAGACACCAGTTTCTTCTCTTCTTGGTGCTCTGCAACAAGTTCACAACATATCAACAACACAATGCTTATGTTTTGGAGATTTAAACATTGACATTAGTGACAACACACAGAATTCTGATGCTAAACATTTAGACCAGCATATGTCACAGTACGGTTTTCAACAGCTCATAAAAGGCCCTACAACTGATTATGGAAGTTCAATAGACCATGTCTATACTAGAGGAACTCTTCAGGTTGAAGCAGGAACTCTGGAATGTTTCTTCTCAGATCACAAGCCCTTGGTTGTCAGAGTAGTGTAGAACAACTCTGCCTCAGGTAACAACCATTATAAAACAATGTCATTTAGTCTCTGTTGTGAAAATGTCACAATATCTAACTATAGTTAGTTTCCTTGTATAAGGCTTTTGTGGGTGAGCGACATTCTTATGGCATTAGCATTCAGACTGGATTACTCCCAACAAAATGTTCTGCACAATTTGTTTCAAATGCAGTGCCATCTACTGTTGTTATTTCATAAAATACAAAGAAAATATAAACTCGTTAAAAAAATTCATGCAGGGGATGTTGTGCTCTCAGAGCACTCTTGTTGACAATATGATACTGAAGGCATATTTATCAAAGAAAATAGTATAAACATTTCATGATGAAAGTGTAACATTAAATATACATTAAATCTTGCTGAAAACATGTTTGGCTATCAACACAACCCTGACAAATCCATATTACCTTTGTGTGAGCCCCTTCTTAATGTGCAGTCCATGTGCAGGGGTTTATTTGGGAGATAAAGGTTATGTGTTTTGATATACACCAACTGAACCAGCTTATATGGTTCTTCAAATATAAATCAATTTGAATATATATAAAATTAGTGTTGTAAACATATTGACACGCCTATTTCCTAGCTACATAAATTGGAAATGTGGCATTTTTTAAATTTTAATCCATGAGTTTGCATTTCAAATCCCATTATTCCACATTTCAAATTTCACTATTCCATCTTTCGAGTACCACTATTCCGTGTTTCAACCAATCAGATGTATTTGACATTGTATGTAGGAGGCCAAGCGCCTGAAGGAGTTGGAAGAGGAAGAGGAGAGGCGCCGCAAGGAAGAAGAGGAGAAGTACAAGGATGTGGAGAAGGTCAAAGAGGTAGGAGAGATAACTTTTTGACCTGAATCCCTGGGGTTAATTCATATGGGAAGCATTTCCTAAACACCAAATAAGAGGCATGAGTGGCATTTAAGGTGCTGCAATTCTCTGTGCAGAGTTGCACCCCTTAGATATGCCAGGAACCTAGGTCATGGGTTGAAGCTGATCGTATTTCTTGTTGTCTCAGCAGCAAACCCATGCTCATGGATTTCACCAATGTGGTTAATATCTGCATCATTTTTGGCTTTCTTCACACATTAAGCTGACACACCATGATATAACTAAAAAAACCTGTTCAAAGCAGCATTAAACCCAACTCACTCACTCACTCAACTGATGACTTGTTTACTATATTGTGAAATGAGTTAATGCAGTTTTGGGCAAATGGGGCCCTGTCATCTAACATGATATATAACACACCGCAATTCTCTGTGCAGCGTTGCATCCCTTAGGCACAGCAAGGAACCATAAGGTTCAAGTTCTAGATTCACCCTAATTATGTTTCTAGGTTTGTCTGTACCATACCTGTATCATGGGTTAAGTGTTAAGGCCAAAGACCTGCATCACTTCTGGCTTTCCTCTTACTGAATCTAATAATATGCCATATGTAACTGAAATACTGATACCATTCAAAGATAGTCTTATGCAGTTTCATTAAGATCATTCTGTTGTGTTTTATGACTGCCAAATAGGATCATATAAAGGTAAGGTTTCCTACATGTAACTTATAGTCAGCCTGTGCCATTATTTTTGTGTGAAATTCATTTTATACATATTTATGACTTGTTAACTATTTGAGTATGGCTAGAATTGACATGCAGTTTAAATTTAATTTCCTATTTATTTAATGCCTGTATGGTTTATTGTTTATTTTAAATAATGTTTCATGTTTATTATTTATTTGAAATAATGGTTTGTGCTTTAGTTTATTATCCCCCGCCACGAAGTGGAAGGGGGATATAGGAATGGGTGCCGTCCGGCCGTCCTTCCGTCCGTCCGTCCAGCCGTCACATTTTGTTTCCGGAGGAGATCTTGAAAACCGTACCATATTTCTTCACCAAACTTGGCACATAGATAGATCTAGTGTTGAACTGGTGGCTTTTGATAGTTTGGGATTTTAAAAAAAATTATTTTTCGAGTTTCCATGGCAACGACTTTGATTTAGACTAAAAATGGCGGTAGTCCTCGTTTCCGGAGCAGATCTTGAAAACCGTACCATATTTCTTCACCAAACTTGGCACATAGATAGATCTAGTGTTGAACTGGTGCCTTTTGATAGTTTGGGATTTTAAAACAAATTATTTTTCGAGTTTCCATGGCAACGACTTTGATTTAGACTAAAAATGGCGGTAGTCCTTGTTTCCAGAGCAGATCTTGAAAACCGTACCATATTTCTTCACCAAACTTGGCACATAGATAGATCTGGTGTTGAACTGGTGCCATTTGATAGTTTGGGATTTTTAAAAAGATATTTTTTGAGTTTCCATGGTAACGACTTTGATTTAGCCTAAAAATGGCGGTAGTCCTCGTTTCCGGAGCAGATCTTGAAAACCGTACCATATTTCTTGACCAAACTTGGCACATAAATAGATCTAGTGGTGAACTGGTGCCTTTTGATAGTTTGGGATTTAAAAAAAAATTATTTTTCGAGTTTCCATGGCAACGACTTTGTTTTAGACTAAAAATGGCGGTAGTCCTCGTTTCCGGAGCAGATCTTGAAAACCGTACCATATTTCTTGACCAAACTTGGCACATAGATCGATCTAGTGTTGAACTGCGGCCTTTTGATAGTTTGGGATTTTAAAACAAATTATTTTTCGAGTTTCCAAGGCAATGACTTTGACTTAGACTTAAAATGGTGGTAGTCCTCGTTTCCGGAGCAGATCTATATTTCTTTACCAAGCTTGGCACATGTCATCTCACAGTATTGAATACATTTCCTTTCTTGTTGGTAAGTTCTGCATTGCTTGAGTGTATGTTCCTCCAAAAGTGTCATGGACACAGTTGTTGCATTCACTGACTAACTGCATACAGAAACACAACTCATTACAAATACAACAGTGTAACTGATCTTAAACCTACTCAACTGTATAAACAAGATATATTCTTGTCAACCATACTCTGTACTTCACTTGCTTGATAACGGTGTTAGAACCTACACCGAAACCATCGCTCCTAATTGTAATAAAGAAGTTGTTCGTCCATATGTCTCATCCTTACTCATTACAAATTCAGTAACATATTCTATCATAAACTGCAGATGGAAAAACAACACCAGTAATAACTTTTTTTTAGTGCAGCAATTAGGCCATTTACAAAAAGGCCCAGTGAACATAGTTCACAGGAGCTAATGCATTGCACACACCCGACATGTCATATTGGCGGGGGATGTGAGTATTTCATGCTTGTTTTCATTTTATATTGCATACATTTTCTCAATTATATGATTTGAAAAATGCTCTTGAGAAGGTTAAACAATGCGTTTTATGCATGAGCGTTAAATGATCATTTTAACACTATGACTGACTTATGTTGTGTGTGTATCAGGAGGAAGAACGCAAGGAGAAGGAGACTGAGGATGAACTGAATCGTCTCAAGAAACGAAGAGAGCAGGAGAATGATGAGAAGAGGAGAAAGCAGTTGGAGGATGAAGAGGCCAAGATGTCCAAACTTTACATAGGTATAACTGCAGTTGGATTTAGCACTTGATACAGAGAAGAGAGTATGGACAGATTAACATCCTCTCTTGCATCCACTCACTCACATCTTCTTTTGCTTGGGTGACTGTTTAGGAAATAACTGTCAGGCTTTGAAGTATTAAAGTTTACAGGAATTAGTTCTGAGCTAGGCCCACCTTACCCATCAACCAAACCAACTCCTTTTATCTCATTAATACCCCAAATACCACTTCTAATCCACCTCACTTGGTTGGCGGTCTATTCCACTCTATCCATCTACACCTAGCACATCTACCTCTCTAGGTTACTTACTATGTTGTCTTCTACCCAGCTAACCCAACAATCCCACCTAATCTGACATCTCAAGCTGTCCAACCCATTCCTACCTCACTATCCAATCTTTCCCATATACTCTTTATTGTCTACCTACTATGTCTGCAGAACGGTTGATGCAACATTAAATCCTCCCTTACTCACTCACTTAGTACCCATGTATCCCACTCCCTCACTCACTCTCTCCCTCACTCCCCTCCCCTCCCTCACTCACTCACTCAGTACCCATGTATCCCACTCACTGACTCACACTCACTCCCCTTCCCTCCCTCCCCTTCCCTCCCTCCCTCACTCACTCACTCAGTACCCATGTATCCCACTCACTGACTCACACTCACTCCCCTTCCCTCCCTCCCCTTCCCTCCCTCCCTCACTCACTCACTCAGTACCCATGTATCCCAGTCACTCACTCACACTCCCTCACTTCCCTCCCCTCCACTCGGGTAGCCTAGTGGTTAAAGCGTTCGCTCGCCACGCCAAAGCCCATTTCTGGTGTGACCCGCCGTGATATTGCTGGAATATTGCTAAAGGCGGCATAAAACCATACTTACTCACTCGCTCCCCTCACTCACTCAGTACCCATGTATCCCACTCACTCAAGTTCACTCTCACTCACTGACTCACCCACACTCCCCCGTTACTCTCACTCTCCCTCCCTCCCTCCCTCCCTCACTGACTCAGTACCCATGTATTCCACTACGCTACTTCACACCACCTGCAGTCTGATATTTTCCATCCTGTTGTCATCCAAATGGCTCCTTTCCTCCACAGAGCACCGGAACAAGAGGGTTCGGTACCAGCTGAAGGTGGCCATCAAGTCACGCGACAAGTTCAAGCTGGAGTACTCTGTGACAGAATTCAAGAAGTACAATTTGGAGGACACAGACATGGATCTCCAGAAGGCCCAGAGACTGATCAAGGAATTTACTGCTAAAGACAGTATGTATGCAGTCTTGCCTCAGCATTAGAGAGCTGTCTATTATTATGGTCTTATATATATGTATATATATGTACCAGGAATGCACACATTTAAGCCCTCCCTTTTTTCAGCCCATGGACTTTAAAAACCCATGTAGTTACAGTGATGAAACTCCCTTACTTTAACATTGTGATAGACAACAGAATAGACAAGGTATAAACATAGAATAAGCTCTTCCAGGAATGAGAGTAATGCCCCTTACATCAATAGGCTTACGACAGACATAGCACTACGATTTCTGTAGCAAATGAAGTGCTGCAACTTTGAAACAGCCATACCTTATCATAACCTTACAACAGGGTATGAAACTCCCAAAATTTTCAGCCAGACCACAGGACTGGCTAGCTGAAATACCTGCCAGCCCTGACCAAAACCTGCCTGCCCACTATAATCATATGTTTCTCAGGATGATTTAATTAAAACTATAAATCGAAATTCATTGAACATGAAGTAATGCAAGAAAAGAAATAGCAAACAATTTTTAGGTCAGATTTGTATTTAATATCCTAGAATACATCATGCTTATCATCGGGAAATATTTAGAATATTTTTACATATGAAATATAACCCGACCGTCGGGCAGGGGGATTTGAAAATCTGGCAGCCCGAGTTGAAATCAACCCGTCTCGGACGGTCGGGCAGGCAGGTATTTCGAACACTGCTTACAACAGTCAAGTTTTCTTGTGTCTGACTTATAACGTCATTTCAGACTTGAAGCGAGCAATGACAAAACGTGAAATAGAGGAGCTGGAGCAGGCCATGAACTTCGTCAAGAAGAACGGCTTTGAGGCTCAGTTGGCGGGTGAGATGCAGGAGGCCAACCAGATGCTGAGCCGACTCAAGCGTCTGGAGCGAATCCGGCACGAGATCCTGGAACTGAAGCAGTCAACTGTGGCCGAGATCCGTAGCTACTCCAAGCCTCCGCTGGTCGTCCACACAGTAATGACTGTCACACTGCTCATTCTCGGCCATAAGGAGAAGGATACGAAGGTTCGTACATATATATTGGTAGATGTTGTAATCTTGATGCTTATTTCCCTTAAATGTATTTCTGATAGACAATTCAATGACATTCAACATGTTCAATTCGTAATTCAAGACTGAAGATTTCAAATGTAATTGAAGTTTGATGCAGACATGTATTGTTACGTGAGACTACCCAAACGTTGAAAAAAATCTAGTTAAAGAAGTCACGTCCATGACAGATTAACTATAGTCTTATGAAAAAATTGTGTGTTCTTTAACTTCTTTTGAGCAGTATATATTGAACCTGAAGATGTGTGAGGACACTAGCCTGCAGATGTTTTATATTTAAATGATCAAATTCAAAGAGATGTACAAGTATCTAGCAGTTTGTGACAATTGACAGAGTTATGTCCCTTTGTAACTCCCCCAATGGTGTGCAACTGGACTTGATTCTCCAACTTGAACCACATAACTATGTTTGAGGTGTCATTGATTGGCTATTTTAGTATTGATCTATTGACCCAAACATATCACAATATATAATCAATACATTGATTAATAATAAAATTATTCTGTGATTGTATAGACACAAATTACCTGTGCATTTAATCCATTTAATGCTAAATATGAACTACCCAGTAGGCTGATCCATGAAATGTTTAAGATTGATTTTTCTGCCTTCTCATTGTTCATCTTAACCATGGTAATATGTATAAATGTAAACGTTTCTGTGGCAGTGAATTTATAACTCAGTATCAATATTCATAAATTTGTATAAATACAACATCAGTATTAACCATTTACGATTACATCAATATCACGATATTCAGTGACATCATTAATAACACTCATGTATATCTGGCTAGCACACTGTTTTTACTCCAATTGTTAGACCATTCGTGCATACATTTTCAGCATAATTCTTTCAATTTTCTGTTCCATCTTCAATTTCTATTGTATGTCTATGTCTTCAATATAGCTGCTTTCATTCTCATCCTCTCTTATTTTGTATCAGTACATGGCTACTTTCACCCTCTTGTCTTCACAGGAGAACCTTGTAGTGAGTTTCCATTTTCAAAATGTTGCTTACTAGATTCTTACATATGAGCTAGGAAGTTGCAAGATTTAAGTGTTTGTTGTACAGAGATGACTTGGCCATGTTGGCAATGTGCTTGCAGCAGAAACATGTTAGTACAGAAATATATGTATATGTATATGTTCCCTGTCAAGAATATTTTGCCAGGTGTTGATGTCAGATTATACTAGTGTTTAAAATTGATTCTATTTTATAAACTAGTGAGGTGAAATTTGGTTTATCGTCGCGTCCAAGATTATTGCACTTATATACCGACGTGAATGCACATGTTTGCGTGGCTGCTTGTACTAGTCCGGACTGATGCCGATTTATAGTGCTAGCTCACTGAGATACCATGCCACAGTTTAACATGAATACCCCACTCAGATACAGTACACTGACTCCGAGCCGACCAGTCCTTGTTTTAGCCCCTTTATGCCGAGCGCCAGACAGGGTAACAACAAGTACCATCTTCAAACGTCTTTTGGTATGACGCGGCCTGGGATCGAACCCCAGGACCTTCCGCTCCCCGGGCGGATGCTCTACAAAAGGCCACGGGGCGGCCATTTTATAAACTAAAATGTGTTAAGGGTTCAATCCACAAGGGACATTGCCATTATGTTATTCTCTGTTGAGGTGGGGGTGAGGAGTTGTGGCAATGTGCCCCAGTAATCTAAGGTGTAACGTCTCCCTGTTCAGAGTTGTGTCCCTTAGCCACGTCAGGATCCACTGTTCATGGGATCAAGTTATGATCCTTGATCTGTCAGCACCAAACATATGCTAAGGCTGTTTTTCTTCAAAGTTGAAAATATTTCTTGTGGTCTTTCTTCCCACATTAAGTCGACATACTGTGATATTACTGAAATACTGATCAAAACGGCACTAACTCACTGTTATATGTGACCAGTGAAAAGTCTTCCTTGGATGTTACTAATTAAGATGCCACTAATAGGGGATTCCCCTTGAAACAACATATATACTGTTCTGAATCTTGATGTGCTCTACATGTTTTGTGAATCAGTGGAGTAATAAATGACACTATGTTTCTTGTGAACAATTTTAAGAAAACACAATTTTCAGTACTGACATGTATGCACCAGGGTCACACATCTTTTTGTTTTATCAGCAGTTAACTTCTTTGCAGCTGTATAACATAAAAATTGCTACTGGGTAATTTCTTTGCAGCTGTTTTGCATAAGATTTGGTGCCAGGTAATTTCTTTGCAGCTGTTTTGCATACGATTTGGTGCCAGGTAAATTCTTTGCAGCTGTATTGCATAAGATTTGCTTCCAGGATCTGATGTTTAGGGATTTGAATCCTTTGCTTTAAGCACTTTACCCACCCTTGTGGTGGTAAGCGTCCATGACCACCCTCGTGGTGGTAAGGGTCCATGACCACCCTCGTGGCGGTAAGCGTCCATGACCACCCTCGTGGCGGTAAGCGTCCATGATTTCTTGTGGTGGTAAGCGTCCATGACCATCCTTGTGGTGGTAAGCGTCCATGACCACCCTTGTGGTAGTTAGCATCCATGACCACCCTTGTGGTGGTAAGCGTCCATGACCATCCTTGTGGCGGTAAACGTCCATGACCACCCTTGTGGCGGTAAATGTCCATGACCACCCTTGTGGTGGTAAGCATCCATGACCACCCTTGTGGCGGTAAGCGTCCATGACCACCCTTGTGGCGGTAAGCGTCCATGACCACCATCTTTTAAGGCTTGACTCTTACATTGAATATGAACCACATTACTCAAATACTGTAAAAGCTATCTGAAACAATCTTGTATAAGATATTAAAATTCTTTCACATGTTTTATCTATGGATAACAACTCCTCCAATTACTGTGAAGCCGACGTTTCGGTATAGATCCTTATACCGTTGTCAAGCAAAGATCTATACCCAAACGTTGGCTTCAATTCGTGCTTGACAACAGTATAAGGATGTATACCGAAACGTCCGCTTCACAGTAATCAAAGAAGTTGTGTTTACTTTTTCATCCGTCAACTTCTATGAAATGCCCCTGATGCCTATCAAACAATTCATGTTTTATCTGTTTTTTATATGATATCATTAATAATATGTGCTAACCATGATAATATAGATGACATGCTCTTTGTTGTCAAGAAACGATGTGAGACCCAGTGTCTTGATAAAGTTGTGATATCATGTGACAAGTCGGAACTGTTCAACAGAATCAAAACCTTTCTTGAACTTAATGTTTATCCTCTATTAGGCGCCCAAAGCCTATTAACCCCTAAGCCTGTCATATGATAGACAAAATACAGTATTACATGTCTTTTCAGCAAGGCCACACTGTGTCAGTCCGACCTATGTTTTAACACCTGTGTACACAATGTAACAGGACTTATCTGGTTACCGGTACACCTGTGTATATTTACTAAGACAAAACTTCCCTGTGTTTAGACCTGTGGATAGACTGAGACAGGACTTCCCTGTGTTTAGACCTGTGGATAGACTGAGACAGGACTTCCCTGTGTTTAGACCTGTGGATAGACTGAGACAGGACTTCCCTGTGTTTAGACCTGTGGATAGACAGACAGGACTTCCCTGTGTTTAGACCTGTGGATAGACTGAGACAGGACTTCCCTGTGTTTAGACCTGTGGATAGACTGAGACAGGACTTACCTATGTTTAGACCTGTGCACATGCCTTGCTAGCTCTTACCTGCTTTCCTTTTGCATACATGCCTTGCTAGAACCTATCTTATCATTTACTCTTATGTACATACCTTGCTGGGACTTACCTTTACCCTTATCTACATACCTTGCTGGGACCTACCTTTACTCTTATGTACATACCTTGCTAGGACTTACCTGTACACTTATGTACACACCTTGCTGGGACTTACCTTTACCCTTATGTACATACCTTGCTGGGACTTACCTTTACCCTTATCTACATACCTTGCTGGGACTTACCTTTACCCTTATCTACATACCTTGCTGGGACCTACCTTTACTCTTATGTACATACCTTGCTAGGACTTACCTGTACACTTATGTACACACCTTGCAAGGACTTACCTTTACCCTTATGTACATACCTTGCTGGGACTTACCTTTACCCTTATGTACACACCTTGCAAGGACTTACCTTTACACTTAGGTACACACCTTGCAAGGACTTACCTGTACACTTATGTACACACCTTGCAAGGACTTACCTTTACCCTTATGTACATACCTTGCTAGGACTTACCTTTACCCTTATGTACACACCTTGCAAGGACTTACCTTTACACTTAGGTACACACCTTGCTAGGACTTACCTTTACACTTATGTACACACCTTGCAAGGACTTACCTGTACACTTATGTACACACCTTGCAAGGACTTACCTGTACACTTATGTACACACCTTGCTAGGACTTACCTTAACCCTTATGTACACACCTTGCTAGGACTTACCTTTACCCTTATGTACATACCTTGCTGGGACTTACCTTTACCCTTATGTACACACCTTGCAAGGACTTACCTTTACACTTAGGTACACACCTTGCTAGGACTTACCTTTACACTTATGTACACACCTTGCAAGGACTTACCTGTACACTTATGTACACACCTTGCAAGGACTTACCTGTACACTTATGTACACACCTTGCTAGGACTTACCTTTACCCTTATGTACATACCTTGCTGGGACTTACCTTTACCCTTATGTACACACCTTGCAAGGACCTACCTTTACCCTTATGTACACACCTTGCTGGGACTTACCTGTACACTTATGTACACACCTTGCTAGGACTTACCTTTACCCTTATGTACACACACCTTGCTGGGACTTACCTTTACCCTTATGTACACACCTTGCTGGAATTACCTTTACCCTTATGTACATACCTTGCTGGGACTTACCTGTACACTTATGTACACACCTTGCAAGGACTTACCTTTACCCTTATGTACATACCTTGCAAGGACTTACCTTTACACTTATCTACATACCTTGCTGGGATTTACCTTTACACTTATGTACACACCTTGCTGGGACTTACCTTTACCCTTATGTACACACCTTGCTGGGACTTACCTTTACACTTATGTACACACACCTTGCTGGGACTTACCTTTACCCTTATGTACACACCTTGCAAGGACTTACCTTTACACTTAGGTACACACCTTGCTAGGATTTACCTTTACACTTATGTACACACCTTGCTGGGACTTACCTTTACCCTTATGTACACACACCTTGCTGGGACTTACCTTTACCCTTATGTACACACCTTGCTGGGACTTACCTTTACACTTATGTACACACCTTGCTAGGACTTACCTTTACACTTATGTACATACCTTGCTGGGACTTACCTTTACCCTTATGTACACACCTTGCTGGGACTTACCTTTACCCTTATGTACACACCTTGCTGGGACTTACCTTTACCCTTATGTACACACCTTGCTAGGACTTACCTTTACCCTTATGTACACACCTTGCTAGGACTTACCTTTACCCTTATGTACACACCTTGCTAGGACTTACCTGTACACTTATGTACACACCTTGCTAGGACTTACCTTTACCCTTATGTACACACCTTGCTGGGACTTACCTTTACCCTTATGTACACACCTTGCTGGGACTTACCTTTACCCTTATGTACACACCTTGCTGGGACTTACCTGTACACTTATGTACACACCTTGCTGGGACTTACCTGTACACTTATGTACACACCTTGCTAGGACTTACCTTTACACTTATGTACACACCTTGCTAGGACTTACCTTTACCCTTATGTACACACCTTGCTAGGACTTACCTTTACCCTTATGTACACACCTTGCAAGGACTTACCTTTACACTTAGGTACACACCTTGCTGGGACTTACCTTTACCCTTATGTACACACCTTGCTGGGACTTACCTTTACCCTTATGTACACACCTTGCTGGGACTTACCTTTACCCTTATGTACACACCTTGCTGGGACTTACCTGTACACTTATGTACACACCTTGCTGGGACTTACCTGTACACTTATGTACACACCTTGCTAGGACTTACCTTTACACTTATGTACACACCTTGCTGGGACTTACCTTTACCCTTATGTACACACCTTGCTGGGACTTACCTTTACCCTTATGTACACACCTTGCTGGGACTTACCTGTACACTTATGTACACACCTTGCTGGGACTTACCTGTACACTTCTGTACACACCTTGCTAGGACTTACCTTTACACTTATGTACACACCTTGCTAGGACTTACCTTTACACTTATGTACACACCTTGCTAGGACTTACCTTTACCCTTATGTACACACCTTGCAAGGACTTACCTTTACACTTAGGTACACACCTTGCTGGGACTTACCTTTACCCTTATGTACACACCTTGCTGGGACTTACCTTTACCCTTATGTACACACCTTGCTGGGACTTACCTGTACACTTATGTACACACCTTGCAAGGACTTACCTGTACACTTATGTACACACCTTGCTAGGACTTACCTTTACACTTATGTACACACCTTGCTAGGACTTACCTTTACCCTTATGTACACACCTTGCTAGGACTTACCTTTACACTTAGGTACACACCTTGCAAGGACTTACCTTTACACTTAGGTACACACCTTGCAAGGACTTACCTTTACACTTAGGTACACACCTTGCAAGGACTTACCTGTACACTTATGTACACACCTTGCTAGGACTTACCTTTGCCCTTATGTACACACCTTGCTGGGACTTACCTTTGCCCTTATGTACATACCTTGCTGGGACTTACCTGTACACTTATGTACACACCTTGCTAGGACTTACCTTTACCCTTATGTACACACACCTTGCTGGGACTTACCTGTACACTTATGTACACACCTTGCTAGGACTTACCTTTACCCTTATGTACACACACCTTGCTGGGACTTACCTTTACCCTTATGTACACATGTATCTAGGACTGGAAGGCAGTCCAGGCTCTGGTTGGGAAGACGGGCAAGGAGAGTCTGAAACGTCAGTGTGTGCAGACCCAGGCTGCAAAGATCCCAATAGCCATCGCCAAGAGAGCCAAGACACTCCTGGATAAGTTTGAACTGGACGAGGTTCGAGATGTGTCAGCGGGGGCAGCGACCTTCTATGTCTGGGTAGGTCACTTCCATTGCCTTGGAAACAGACTGATCATAGATAGATGTCATGTATACAAATACAAAGACCAAGATATTGTGTATATTCTGGGAATAGGTCGCTGGTATCTCATGCTTGTCTTGAAATGGATTAAGGGACTGGTATTTTTTTTCATAGGGGAGGTGGTTGATGGGTGAGGGTGATCATGAAAAAAAGAAAACAATTAAAACACTCTTAAAAAATATGATTTTTTCAAAGTTGGCCTACCAAAGACACTTAGTTTGGACTCTTAAAAAGTCCTGTCAGAGCAGACAAAAGTTCTTTCATCACTGCATATATGTATATACAGTTGAACCTCATTGTCTCGAACTCAAATGTGTCAAATCCTCCATTCTGTCAAACTCTTACTATACTTATCACTATTTTTACCCAGATGTGTCCAACTGGAAGTGACAAATTCTCGGTGGTCCCAAACTCAGTTTATAATTCCAAGAGATCAAAAAAACCTATCCTGATAAGTGGAACTTCATTTTTTTGACAAGTTATAACAAGAACTTATTGCCTAACGGACTAGGACATGAAACACCAAATGCAGGAAATTGTTGATTGGTCATATGGTAATAAGGTCAATTCGGATTTGTCGAAACTCAGATAAGTCCACTATTTCTCTGGCCCACAGAAGTTCGAGACAATGGGGTTCAACTGTACAAGTTTTGGGGACCTCAAAACAGGGCTGTGAAAATGTGTCTGCTTTATGAGTGGTATCAAAGTTCTCATGTACGTTTATATGATCATTTGTTTACTGGTGTTATCTATTTCAGGCCATCACAATGGTAGAAGAAGCTCTGGATGTCCAGAAATAAGGATAAAAAACAACTTGATAAATGAACCATCCACTGTACCGGGAAATTATCTCTGCAGAAAGAAAATGTTGCATTATGAAAAAGAATGTCAATTTTGGTGGATGAGGATTTTACAGGTTTACAATACATGAACAATGTTGCAGGGTTAACCATTATTAAAGTTGAATCCATAAACCAGGAATGATATGTGGCCTTTATGAATGTTTGTATCCCTGTGTTATGGGTTGTCGGACGCTGAAGGAACATTCATTGTTTTCTCGCTTATCACATCAACAACTGTAAAACATCTCACTCACTTATAAAAGACAACTTGGTCTGAAAAATAGGCCATCATATGAGTATTTACAATGTCTGTGTGACGCCACACCCCTCATTATAGCGTAAGTAATCGCAATAAACTTGGCCGTCTGAAAACATGATGTCCGAAAACCTATTATCTGATGGTCATATCAAATGAATCCAGAGAGAACACATGTGTACAACAATTGTTATTGTTGATTGCTTGAATCTGAAACACCTTTGCTTTAGGTTCTTGTCACTCTTGGTTTTAGTCAAACCCCAATGATTTGACAAAAGAATCAATTGGACCAATAGGCCTACAGCTGTGACACCACAGTACTTTGCACACAGAAAAAAACAGAAAGTGTTTCGTATGATTCAGCATAAATCTTTGAAATATCAAAAATCACAACTAGCATTCAAGATTGTCCATGCGAAATTCATCTTCACTGCTATTGTGTTCAATATTGGGTACTTTTTCACTTTCTGGTGAGGTTTTAATGACACATTCCAACACATGTAGCCAGCTTTGATGATAATCACAGAGCCATGAAGCCACCATGAATCAGCATTTCTTAAGCATTTGGTAGTAGTCCTCTATACAGAGTAAGTCATATATCTCATATGTCCTGGAGAAATGTAGGAGTGTGTAAGAATGCTTTTGAAATTAGTCTCCGTAGTTTCAAAATCTTCAAATGGCAGTAGAAAGCTGTTCTTGTTTGACAGTTGGTGTTGTACATCATGTCATGACCTCTGATAGTGTTTGGGTTATTACTTTGCAATACATTTTTTTTACTTGCCTTATGGATCTGGTGACTCTAAATTTTATTGAAATGGACAGCATCAATAAAGTCCGAATTTGCTCCTTTTTTAATCCTACCGATAAGCTGATAGCTTATTGCACCAAAAAGTATTATTAAACGGGGACCCGCTGAAGTTGACATTATTAAACATGGGAGTCCAGATAAAGATTGTTGTTCCTGAATTTGAGAGGATGCACAGATGCACAACAGTGTTCCCGCTCCGTCCCTCAGGTTTGAATTGCTAAAGCAACAGCTGTGTTGCAGGCTTTCCTCCCACATTAAACCATTTATATATTTTTATACCAGCCGACCTGTAGTAGAGCAGAAATTTAAAAAAGGAAAAATTGAATTGCTTTCGCTTTTCTTCCCCACCTATACAGTTATTTTCCTGTAAAAAATCTGAAAAGCAAGTAATAACACAAGGTGTGGTCTAAGGAAGGACAGTTTTGAAGACATACGGGTGTCATGATACATCGATGTATTGCCAGTTTACACCTGATGACACGATACATGATATGCCTACCCATGCATCGATTTTCAAAAAGTATTATGTTTGAAATGTTGTAATAACCTGATCTGACAACCATTCAGACCAAAGTTACGTTACCACCAATCACAACAGAAAATGCTAAATCTGACATAAAAGTATTATTAGAACAAGTCTAAGTTAGCCTGTCATGAAATCATCAAATTTTTGTTCGCTGGGTTATGGGGAGAAATTCACGCAAAAAGGTGTAAATTTAATTTTGCGATTCTTATATAATGACTAAGGGATGTCCCATATTGCTATGTCGATATATATCAATAACTTTTTAATGTCAATACTGCATCAATACAAATTCATAAATATACTAAACTGATAATTAACTACTACAGAAAGATTTTCATTTAATAAGATATCTTGGTTAGGATGGACATTAATTATTTGAAGGCCAAAATTTCAATTTTAAACATTTAATGAGCCTCGTTTATATTTATCATTAAATTGATTAATTGCGGGTATACAAAGGTAATTTATATCTATACACATACAGAATAATAAATGTTTTTATTATCATAATAATTGATATTTTGTGATACTTTTGGGTCGATATATATTTTAACACTAAATTTTCAAGTCAATGACACCTAATCATGACTCAAGTATCGTTATATGTATTGATGTGTGAGGTAGGTGTATTATGTCAAACCCAGACATATTAACACAGTTTGATAGCAAGCCAATCAGACAATATCAAGTCGGTTATAACAATAGTAATATGAAAGAATCTGTGGTCCTTAACTTTTTGTGTGTAGTATATGTCAATGGCTAAAACTGGTCAGGCACCATAGCGTAATTGTTTCCTAGCACCCATAAGGTCCCTTTTCTCCTGGTGGCTCACAATTGGTGATGGCTATGAATGAAAAATATCTTGTAACACTAGACAGGTAATGTATAAGCTTTGATGAATGTCTTCTGAACAATAGTTTGCCTTCAGTGAAGTTTCTCTGCCCGGTTGACTTTTCATACATATTGTCTTCATTTTCTGTCTTATAATGTGAATGATTATTATGTAGAATAACCCACTTGAAACTCTATGCCCCATTCATTTACTCTGGACAGATAATCCATAATTCCTCATTGTTTGTTGGTTATTCTCTATGTCTATGTTTCATAATAAGTATATTCTGAACTTGGTATACCGTACTCGACGTAATAAGCGCCCCGCTCTAATAAGCGCCCACAGCAATATTTGCTAATATACAGGCTAGTGAACAATCCCAATAAGCACCCCTTCCGATTGATCAATGTACACAAGACTTATTTATTCATGTATAATATGCACTCGTGTGTTATAAGCACCCTTAATTATGGGCAATTAAATTCTGGAAAATATATCTATTGTGTATAATATGCACAGATTCTTCTTTTGTATCATTTCAGGCTATCAGCATAAACTACTATTACGATCTTTCAACTCGTTTTTTTTTCCTCACCAAAATGATATTCTAATAAGAGCTCCCTATTTCTAATTAAGAGAGCACCCCGGGCACTTATTACGTAGAATATGGTATATAAATTTAGAAATGATCTTACTTCATGCCGAGTGCTATGCAATGAGGAATAGTTCATAAAGTCAGGCAAAGGCAATTTTCAACAAACATTGGAAATATGAACAAGTGCCTTCAGCTTTCTTGTCATGTTGACATTTCTTTTCAGTATTTTATTGATATAGTCCTGATGGTGGTGGGGACTCGGCAGTGTTGCCGGGGTGTGTGTATTTTATGTAAATCTTTGACATACCGGTCTACATGTTTCATGATTCTATTGATAGTCCTAACATAGCTTTGTTAACTGCTATAGAAAATATGGTCAGTGTTAGCATGAAACCTTGTGGAACATATAGGTTTGGGCATAAAGGAAGAGTTTTAATCATGTACTGTTCTTTTTTTTATTTATGGGAAGTCGGTTGAATAATCAAGTTTTATATTACATGCAGAATTTTGGTCTTTATATTAACTTAATGTGTACGTTCCTCAAACAAGACTTTGTATACTTTGCAACATAACAAGGAACGATTCTTTTAAGTCATGTATGCATGTTAAAATAATAATGTGATTACCTTGCATCTTTTTGCAATGAAGCTGATCTGTAAGTGATATCAAGGAAATCCATGTTTTTATCTTTCCATAATATCTTCCACATTATTACCAGTCTATCATATTTTTTTACGATATAACATAATGATGCTTCTGTTTTCTGTAAATATTGTTATCAGTATGATGTTTTAGCAGCTACTCAGCCTATCATGGTGCAGCTGATGAAAATAAGCTTGATAAGTGTCTATTTAATGCCTCTTATCTGCTTGGGTAATCGGAAGTTTGATATGATCAGGAAACAATCTTCATAAAACTCTGCATCTTATATCAGCTGCACATGTTTATTCAGCTTATATCATCTTATATTTCACAATCTTGTTATTGGGACAAGGCCACATTTACAGGCCAAGGCTGTTGTTATGTACATGTACTTACGAGTCAAGGCTGTTTTCTTTGCAGATCAAAATGTTAATTAGAAGACCATAGACTGTCTTGGATGTGTGTAATTATATTTGTGCCATGTATCCTAGACATGTTTCATTAGATTCGGGAAATAAATATAAATTCTCAGGGGTTTAAAATTACCATTTCCAGGAGGATGATAAAAAGTACTATTTCGAGCGAGACAAGTTAATTAATCACTGGCACTTGGTCATGGTGCATTGATCTTTTCTTTCTGTAAAATAATTTCACAAATTCGAGCAGTATATATTAATCCCCTCACTAACTCACTGTCCATACAAGAAGGTATTTTTTAAATATCTTTGCACACTGTACATTATTTGTGCTTCTGTATAATATTTGCTTGGTAAATTATAAATATAATAAATTCACTGTCAAACCTTGAAACATATACAGTGAATGTCTATTAGTAATTAGTAATGTAACCAGATAGTCCTACTAACAGCCAAGGAGTCATTATTTTGTCTTGGAAATAATTCATTTGACCTTATGCTGGTTCAAGGGTTAAAACATATTTATGTGCATATATGGGTTAATCAGAAAAAACGACTGTGATTGACATGTGTCTAACACAAAATCCTATTCCCTCCATTCACGTGACAGGCCACAATTGTGATACCTGTTAAAAACATTTTTGTTCAACTGTTATCAAGTTTGTATGTTATTTCAATAAAACGTGTACTGATGAATACTATGTCTGTTAAGCAGGGGAGTAAAGCCGCCTCGAACAGGTAATTGTACAGTCACAGCAAGCATGGACAGCAGTCAGCTTGTCACACTGTACTGTCTTTGTCATGGAAAGGCTCGTCTACAATGGTGGTGGAGTCGACTTCACATCCTGAAGTCCTTTCAGAAATATTTGCTCAACACACACATCTCAACTACAATGAATGCCTTCAATATGTAGTAGCCAACATCACATATGAATTTGCCAGAAGAGTAAATCGAACTGTATATTTGTAATAGAGTCTTTTTCACACATCTTTGCTGTCTTCTGAAGTGTTATTTTATCACTTATGAGATATGTTTGTCTCATTTGTTACAGTAAAAACAGCAATTAATTACAAGTGGAGATCTTGGTTAGAATGGGTCTTCAGCAACCCATGCTTGCCGTAAAAGGTGTGTATGTTTGTCATGAGGCGACTAATGGATCGGGTGCTCAGGCTCGCAGACTTGTTTAATGATGCATGTCATTGTATCCAAATTCCGTGGATCGATGCTCATGATGTCAGTCACTGGATATAGCTGGCATTTGGCTGAGTGCTGCGTTAAACAACAAACAAATTACAACAGAGGAAAGATTACATCCTGTAGACAAATCTATATGCAGTACAGGCTTGCAGAAAAAAGGCCCCTGGAAACAACGTACGGCATTAATGGCTTGTACCTCACACACTTAAACCAACCTATCCCCATATTTGTCGACCCTTTCGTCTTCCATAACTGTTAAGGTCTGGCATTGTCTTGGTGCTGACTCATGACCTTGATATACAGGAGCAGACAATGGTGGAAGTGAGGGAATATTGCTTAACCACATCAGTTTGATACTAGTAGTTGTTTAACGCCGCACTAAGCAATATTCAAGCTATATGACCGCGGTCTGTAAATAATCGAGTCTGGAACAGACAATCCATTGATTGGCACCATGAGTATCGATCCACGCAATTGGGATACGATGAGATGCATCAACCAAGTCAGCGACCCTGCCTACCCGATCCCGTTATTCGCCTCTTACGACAAGCATATTCGCCTCTTACGGCAAGCATGTGTTGCTGAAGACATCTTCTACCCCGGATCTTCACGGGTCTAACCACTTCAGTAATCGTGCAGCTATGCCCAGCGAGCAGACAATGGTGGGAAAGAGTGGTTTGGGCAACACGTTAATCGCGATCAATGGGGGAAGAAATCTTGATTGGGCATGGCGTTAACAAACACTAACATGTTTAAACAATTGGTGTGATTGGGTTGTGCTACCGGTAGGACAGGACATGCTTACCCATTTCGCGAACACCTGGTGTCATCACTGATTTTCCTTGATCCATGCATATTAAATTTTCACCTCCATTTTGCCTTATGGTGAATGATCGAGACTGGTTTGTCTCTGGCGTTGACGATGTATATATACTACTCAAAAGAAGTTCAAGAACACCTAATTCTTTCAAATTACTATGTCAAGGAGATGCTTCACTTGAGGTTGCACAGTTAGCTGACGGACGCTGTTGTATCTAACTCATTAAAGCAAAGTAAAACCTAGCTCACACACTCACTCATTCACATAGGCACGTTTATCGTTTAACTAAACGTTTATAAACATACGTGTCCCAAGACGCTGACGAAATCTTATCGTATCAACATACATTAATTGTTAATTTATCATAATCTGATTAAATACAGACGTATATTTTACAGTGTGTCATACAGGACCTTCGTTATCTGTGTCCGCCAGGCTATGCTTTCATGTAAAATTTGCTTTGTAATGAAAAAGATCGAATACCCGGAGCTAGAATTCCGAATAAGTGGACACGGGGTGGGCTGTAAATGGAAGTGAGATCAAACGTTATTGCCCAGTATTTATGAATTAACTACAAGTCGGTTCCCACCCACATTTAAGACACCATGTGTGCTTGACCCGTGAAGATCCGGGGTAGAATAGGTCTTCAGCAACCCGTGCTTGCCGTAATAGGCGACTATGCTTGTCGTAAAAGGCGACGAACGGGATCGAGTGGTCAGGCTCGCTGACTTGGTGGATGCTTGCCATCGATCCCAATTGCGTGGATCGATGTTCATGATGTCAATCACTGGATTGTCTGGTCCAGACTCGATTATTTACAGACCGCCGTCATATAGCTGGAATATTGCTGACTGCGGCGTAAAACAACAAACCAACCAACCTTACGTGCTATCCTGTGTGTTTTTGTTCATTTCATAGCTGAGATAGTACCCATACCGAACCTTTCTTCATCGCCTCTGATTTTCTGGTCCCTGGCCTGGTCCCTGTGTCCCTGTGTACCTACGAGAACAAGGATTTCCCTACCTGAACGGGCATAACGACCTGCATGCAAACAACAGAAGGTGTAGCCACCAGCCCGGCCAACAACGAATGGAATCAGAAACTGTAGCTGCTCTGTAGAATGAGGTTCCAGTGGATGTCTGGAGGATATCAACAGCTTCTGGTCAAAACTCAAGACAATCTTCTTCAAGAGAGCATATGACTGAGCCCTCTCATGATGCTCATGATGTCAATCACTGTATTGTCTGGTTCAGACTCGATTATTTACAGGTCGCCGTCATATGGCTGGAATAATGCTGTGTACGGCGTTAAACAACAAACAAACAATAATTACCGAAACCTCAACCCACTGTGTGAACGTCACCCGTGTGGGTAATTACAAGCGCTATTGTGTTTTATCGGGGAAGGTGAGCTATAGAGCCATTGGTTGTGTTTCGGTATGTTGTTATGATCGACAGTCTATCGGATTTCACAAGTCAATCACTGGATTGTCTGGTCCAGACTCGATTATATACAGGTCGCCGTCATATGGCTGGAATAATGCTGTGTACGGCGTTAAACAACAAACAAACAATAATTACCGAAACCTCAACCCACTGTGTGAACGTCACCCGTGTTGGTAAATACAAGCGCTATTGTGTTTTATCGGGCAAGGTGAGCTATAGAGCCATTGGTTGTGTTTCGGTATGTTGTTATGATCGACAGTCTATCGGATTTCACAAGTTGTAGAGCTGCGCAGCAATGAGTTCAGACTTGCGATTCATCAGCACTACACACGGTGACCCAGCATGATGACATCTGGATCATTACATAGTTCTGCGTTCTCGTTTGTGTCTTGTCTTTTCATCGAGTTTCTTGCTTTTTTGGTCGATAGAAAATCATGAATGGCGTCACAAATAAAAAGTTTCAGATATTAAGATGTCACTTTTGCGAACAACCAAAGACAGCAATTCACGCTTGACTGTCAGCTTTCAGCACGATGGGTATGAACATCGGGGTGACAATGAAGGCAGCTCCGGTGAAAGATTAAGACACCACAACAAAGGTTTTCAATGAACAACCATATGTTTGCCAAATATCATTAGTTCAAGAGGATGAAAAGAATTTGTCCTTGGAAACTGAATGGACCCCTAAAATAGAGTTGCATCATAGAAATGGGTGTGACCCAAAATCTGAAACAAGATTGGACGGTTCAAAATCCCACGGTGAATACGAGCAATACCCCAGGTCTCTGTTCTATTTTCACATCATCGTGTGTGTATTGGTTCAATGGGTAATACGTGACATTGACGGACCTTTAGGTAACTTAAAAGCACATGCGACCTATCAGTTGGTTGTGAAATATTACAGGGCTACAAACACTGCTTTGGTCTTGTATAGATACTGGCAAGCTATATAATTGTTTAGGAGAAATGAAAACATGCTGTCCTATTACATACGATTTATTTTGATTGGTTGTTAATGCTCCTTCAGCTAAAACACTAGCACAGCGTTTTGAAATCTAGTATATTATAACAGTAATATTTTGTGGTAACTGCCGAGAATTATGATTGAAGAACTTTCATAATTGGGGTAGCTTACACTCTTTCCTGAAATTGTGTTGTATCTATATACATTAGTTAACACGTCAAACAAATATGCTGAAACAACACTTTCAATTTATTTTTATAACATCTTATTACTGTCAGATTCTGATAGCCAAGTCTAATCTAATCAGGCGTCATGTTTTAAACTGTTCTAATCATGCAAACACATGCTTAACGATAAGCGCCGTTCACCCTGCAAAGGCCTTTTTTGTACTTTTCCCTTAAAAACATTTCTAATGACTGACTCTTGTCAATAATAATGCTTCCTCTGACGCTTATAAATCTTGTTTTGAGGGCTAATAGCCTGGGTCACACCCTGAGTGTGTCTACTCCATTCAACACGCTGCGTTCAATAGGGACAACTGTGTGAGTCACAAGTGTTGCCGACGTATATTGTGCTCTGTACATTCCTATTGGTCAGGTGCGTAGCAAACTTGGAGTTTGAACCCAAAGGTCCTACTTTTTACGCTCCGTGAACCCGGACCTAATCCGCTCCAACTGCAGTGAAGCACGGAGTGGAAAAGATACAGGTTTACCGGTACCGCCGGCCAGACTGTTAAGTATAGTGTATTGGCAAGTCGTGAAAATGCTGTGTGTGTATTTCATCGTTGTAGCAACGATAGGCATCTCTGCAGAAACCGAAGATGACAGAACGCCACCCCTCAACGTCAACACATCAGCGTTTACACAGCAGATTCGGACCGTTTCTGAACAGAACATTTCAAGCACTTCAGAAGCTGCTATAGAAATGTCAACGTCAGCAACGCCAACAGCTGCCACGAACACGGCACCGACTGACGATTACCGCAAAACTAAAAAACCTTTAAGTAAAGGCATTGACTGGAAGGATGATCTCGGTTCAGATTTGTTTAATACAAACTCGAAATCAAAACGGAAAATGATTAAGAAGCTAACAAGAGAAAGGGAACGTGAGGATCGAAGGCAAAAACGGAAACAAAAGGCGGAAGATAAACGCCTGTATATGGCCAGAAAAAGGCTTAAACATGTTTCTAAAGAAGCGGAGAGCAAGTATGCCATAAGAGACAGAACAATGGATTCTAACAGGCCAATCAAGAAAACATGTGTTGAGTGTGAAAAGAGGTTGAAGAGAGAAAAACTTGAACAGATGAGACGAGAGTCTTTAAAGAAGCAGATTACAGAGAAACTTCGACTTGACCTCAGTCGACCTGTACAAGTACCAGTTCTGAGTCGGGAGATTCTTCGCCATGGAATCATGGATGACGAATCTGTTAAGGACGATGACATATACGCCACGACAACCGACATCATCATCTTCGGGGTTGACAGTAAGTTGAATGTTTCTTCGTTTGTAGATTTATACTCTGTTGGATCACACATATTGCAAGGGGTTCGGCGGAACACTAACTACCGTGCCGTCACCAATAGCATTTCTGAAAGCATTGAATGCGGAAATATCAAGCAGGACTCGTCCGGCCCGGTATAAGTAAGACAGTCGAAAAAAAATGTTTGTTGTCAGCCTCCCCATAAGTAGAAATGAAACTCATACACACAAGTATTTATCAGAGTGCAGCCTTAAGTTTAAGAAGCTATTTGTAAATATAGTTAAGTACTTATGAAGTTTCTGACTTTAATGTTCCTGGTTTGGATTTTGTTGAGCATTCTGGGGTGTTTTTCTTAAGAAAAGCAACTGATACCTCCAGTCCAAACCCAGGTTTAACGCAGGTGGTCACGGAATGCATTACTCAAGCTGATGTATAAGTTGCCTATAAATCTAAACATGTAGATTGTAACACTTGACTTGCCCGTGGACAAGTAAACGTTGTATATTTTTAATTCCCACACGCCTGGAAAGAGCTTTCTGTTTATTTTGTGATTATCGAAATGAGTGATGTTAAACTGCGTGTAGGGACGCGAAACACGCACGGGTTGTGTGCCTTTCGTACCCGCCTATCAAAGTAGTGTGACGCTTAAGGTGAATATCAACTGCATGTTACATGAACTTGCTTCATTTGTTGCAAAGTGAATGAGTATCGTCACTGTAAGCAATATCGCAATCACGACATAAAATAATGCGCTACTTACATTTCGAAAGATTTCCGCTATTAATCCCTGCTTCAAATTTTTCCATGGTTAGGGTAACCTAACCCTAACCCTTATATAACCCTATAATACTTCTAGCCAGGGGTTATTTTATGGTTTAAAAACAATTCGAGCCAGGGATTAATGCGGAAATTTTACCATACATTGGACCCATCTATAGAATAGAACCCGGATTTTCACCCAAACCACTGCGCTACAGTTTACTGAGATAGTTAAATAGGTAATTAAGTGAAACAATTACACTCAGACGTCCTCAACAGTCATAGTAAGTGAGAAACATCGCGGGATGGTAATAAAGAAGAATTTATTTAATCAGATCAAAATGAAAACCTTGTCATCCGTTTATTTCTTGAGTTTACATGGTTTTAACTTTTGAATAAAATTGTGAACAAATGATTATATCGACACCGGATATAACATATATACTTATACATCCATACACTCGCCTAATCGTAAATCAAATGAATTCAAACATGCGACAACATGCCGTTCTTTTGTCCTTGTATGAATGGTCAATCCACATGACTCTCCTCTCGAAAAAAGAATCAACAGACGGTATTCTTCCTTTGTGAAGACGCTGAGTGACAGAGGGCTGACCCCAAGCCCCACGAGCTGTGCACGTGTTCAGCATTTGGTCAAATGTTCGCCGTGACCTACATGCTGATGCAATATCATTTCAAATTGCATGAGCAGTTTGAATGTGATTTTAAAGCAGGTTATTAAAAAGAAATGTTCAATATTTTAAAATTTCAAGACTCGTCAGATTTGTTTTGTGCAGTATATAGCGCACTGCAATTTAGTAGAAAAGCTAACCACCCAAAGAATTTGGTTACACAAGCTAAAGCTGATCATTTAATTCGTACACGTTTTGATGATACAGGCAGAACACCAACATTCACACAAGACATGGGGTCGCCTAAACCAAGATTTGTCACCAGGGGCCATGCTTGCCGTAAAAGGTGACAATGCTTGTCGTAAGAGGCGACTAACGGGATACGGTGGTCAGGCTCGCTGACTTGGTTCATGCATGTCATCGTATCTCAATTGCGTGGATGCTGCTGATGTCAATCACTGGTCAAGATTCGATTATTAACAGACCGCCGTCTTATAGCTGGAATATTGCTGAGTGCGGTGTTAAACAACAAACAAACAAACACAAGGGGCGAGAATATTATATAGCGTGAAGATTTCCCACGTGGGCTTGTACTCTTACTAGCCCTTTTTAATATGATAAAGTCAAACAGTTGTTCAAGCAATTCATCTGTGAGTGAGAGAGTTAAAATTTCGTCGGCATTATTTCAACCATATGGCGACCAATTCGACTGTGACAAGTAATCACACAAATATCACCTAAGAGAGTGGTGAATCACAAATAATGTTAATAATTGAAGGTGAAAGCCACCTGAGAAAAAAACAGTACCCATTCAGTGAAACCTCGCCAATCAGGACTTTTATGGTTCACTGTAATATCTTCCGGATTAACGAAGCAAGGATACGGAATAATAATGTAAGTATATATATATATATATATATATATATATATATATATATATATATATATATATATTACTCAAAAAAAGTTAGGGAACATCTGATTCTTTCATTTTACGATTCATGTCATGACAGATTAACTATAGTATTATTAAAGAATCAGGTGGTCTTTAACTTCCTTTGTGTAGAAATGTAGATGCCCATTGATGTCAGTATCGTCGGAAAAGTAAGTGAGAGGGTTACATCATAATTAAAACGTCGCTTCGGCAATATTTCGACCATATGACGACGTGTTTTCAGCACTAAATAGGTTTAGTAGGATTACTTAGCATTCTGTTGGACTTCGCTAGCCTGTTAGTCCCATGTCACGCCAAATACCCGGGTTCGATTCTCCATATGGGTAGAATGTGTGACGCCGTCCCCAACAGTGATATTGCTGGAATATTGCTACAGTAGTGTGTATAAACCGTACCCATTGACTTTTTTAACAAGCCAGCATGTTGTCCATTAGCCCTTTGTAAGTTTGACGAAACATGGGTCAATTGGCTAATGTCAATTAGTAACGCTGAAAAACCGACGTCCTCTATCCACGCGTATACAGAGAATGGTGTATATACATGCAACTGTCATTCGAGGGTGAAATGGAATTTTACGCAAGCTTAACGCTGTACTACAACAAATAATCGCATCAGTAAAGTGAGTCAGCCTATTGTACTTTTCATCCTGGAGTGTATTTATGTATCCCACGATTAATTCATGGCTTATTTCAATCAAAGGGTTTTCCCAAGTGATCCCTACCATGGTTTAAGATTGACCCTGAAAACGTTCACGACATGAAGGTTTTCCAACATTTAGGCCAAGGTCTGACATACATCACAGTGCCATCACATCTATGATCTGACTTGTCAAACATTATTGAGCCCACTTATCTTACGGGCGTTAAATATTAAATATTAGTGCCATTTTATTTAACTGTTGTCAAACCCGGAGCTCGCACCTTTTACTATTGACATTAACTGTAGTGCCCACGTGCTTGGCTACTGTCAAACATTTATAGGGCCCACGCGTCTGACTGGTCATTGTCATTGAAGGGCGTAACTTCTGACTGATGTCAAACATTGTAAGGCCAGCACCTTTCCTTTAGAAATAGTACGCCTTTTACTTAAAAGATCCCTTTTTATTTTTGTTTCTATACGTATATCGAAACAGAATGGGGCAGATAGATGCAAGTCTCAACAAATGTACGTGTGTATTCTTACCGACCATGCATGCTGTGATACAGCAGTTGTTTCGGACGGGCAGGTGCCACGTATTGTATAAACATCGGTAGGACTTTGTGTCTCATTCCATGGTGCAAATATCGTAAACAGCAGACTTTTGCCCCGAAGCTAAAATATCATCGTCGCAAACAACAGCGTAAGCCTCTTAATCGTAAAATAATGCGAGGTTTGCAGTTTATGTTACGAGGTATCTGATACAAAACACGTAGTCTTGTTTTATCTGTCATGTCAAGGATTTTCCGCGTGTAGAGATTGGTAAGAAGATAGTTTTTTTGTGATAATCATCTCGATCCGACGTTGATAGTTGACTTTCCATCTGGTTTTAGTTATTTCCATGCGTTTTCAGACACATGGCTATTTATTTTGTCTGGCATCATGATACAAGGTCACCAGATGCACCTCGGTGCATTCGAACTGAGTTCCGAATCTTCTTGAATATTAGGACAATTATAGAAAAAATAGTTCTTGATCATGATCCGCCCGCACAATCACAACCCCCTTTGTATTTATGATAGAAGGGTTTACATTTGCCCGAAGTTGGACATTTTCAATTTAAAATGTTGTTACCAAATCCGACGTTTTACATCTGCTAATGACTTTTCAATCGGGGACGAAAGTTCAAACCTTTACTCTGTCTGGACGAGAGGTTAAGAGAAGAAAGTCAGTCGTGTATATATCTGTTGCTGTCAAACTAAAATCAGTCAATTAGTATATTACCTAAATATTTCTGTCATTTTATATGTTGAATGAAAAATCTGTCAATTTATTTGACAGATTTACTGAAAATTATGATAACGAGTTGCAATCGCCTAGATGTTGAATTTCATCACCCAAGAACTTATAACTTGACCTTTTACTCTTTGACTTTGACCCGGAGAGAGGAGGGTCGGTGGTTCGAAACCCTGGTCGGTTCGGAGTCAGTCTACCGTGTCTGAGTGGGGTATCCAGGGTAATACACCCCCTCCACCCCCTTAACTTTGATAAAAACGAAGCTGGAGATTTAAATCACGATGATCCGTTGACCGGCATTGAATGTCATTCGATTTGATGACGCCATGAGCTTATTAAGTATAAATCAGGTATTATTATATTATTGGCCTCGTAGTATCACATTGACTATCTAAAATGTCTTTTATGGATTAAATTATGGGCATACCTTTCAAGTCGGCACATAAGTGAAACCAGGTGTCGTGTTGAATAGGTTGAAGGCGTCTGCTACAATCAAACCTGTCGTCTGTATATCATGTGAAGAAGCACGTGCTGCACGCGTGTCACATCACCCTCAGATGACCTACATTGGCATGCACTGAAAACATACGAAAGCCTAATAGTGCCACTTTGGTAGCATATATGTAATTATTATCTCGTTATTTTAATTATTTGTTTATTTTATCGAAATTCCGAGTTTTTCTTGTCATTTTGATTATATTTTCGTAATTTCGATTATTTTCTCGTTACTTGGATTAGTTTCTTGTTATGTCAAGTTTATTTTTAAAAATCGAAATTTCGAGAACATAATATTGAAATAACGAGAAATTTCGAATTAAAACCAAACAAAATGCTACCAAAGTGGCACCATTAGGCTTTCGTAATAACACATCATGGTGATTGAAATGTGCACTTTATGTTAATTGCTAGCTGGAAGAATTCAACACGCTGTACTTCAGTCTTCAATTTTCGCTCGCCTTACACCATAGTAACGTGGGGGAATGATATGTTACAGTATTCAGCGAGGGGGCATCTTCCCGAGGCAAGGGAGTTATCTGATTGTAAAAGTCCAGTTGCCACTATAGTCAGTTAACTCACTTGGCGAAGATGGCGAGGCAGTCGTACTGCAAGTTTATGTCATTCGTCCGCAAGGGAATGATACTGTATAACTATCTGATGCTGTTTTGTTTTGGTTTTGTTTGGTTGTTGTTTGACACCTTACGCAGCAATATTCCATCTATATGACGGCGGTCTATAAATATTCGAGTCTAGACCAGACATTCCAGTGACTGACATTACGAGCATTGATCTACTCAACATTGAGATACGAATACATGCAACAATCAAGTCATCACCCGATCCTGTTAGTCGCCTCTTACGACAAGCATGGGTTGCTGAAGACCAATTCTAACCCGGATCTTCACGGGTCTATCAGACGCTGTGTAGTGTTAATACACTGTTAATCAGTTTTCTATGCTGTTAATTAGTTCGGAATGTTGCAATGTTTGACTGACAATATATATATATTTTTTACATATACTGGGTTTAATCTTTGTTAAACACCGGCATTGTATTCTTTCGGCGATCGTTATAATAAATCAGTTCACATGAATACAATTATTCTGAAAAGATTGAATTTGCCTTTTCAGTTACAAGAAAATGCAGATACCGGAAGTCAACTGGATGTTTCAAGTTCAATCTCCGAAATAAGATAGCGGGTCAGGTGACTTCTGCAGAACTTTTGATCTACAAACTCCATGATCCGAATGATGGCCAGCAATCATTCATTTTGTCAGAACTGGAACGACCAAAATTCCGAAAACACATGCCGAGGAACATCGTGACTCGAATGGACACGGACATTACCGAGGGATGGTTGACATTTCGACTGGACAAAACTGTTCAGAAATGGGCTGAAAATTTCCACACAAATGATGGTATCGCAATAAGGTGCAAAACGTGCGCGCGCAACTCCCACAAGCAGTTGTACAGCGCCAAAGAAGGCTATAAGCCGGTCCTCATCGTTCACATTAAGCCATCGCCGAAACGTCGCCCGCGGAGGAGTGTTGATTGTGACGGCACCCGGTGCTGCAAGCACAACTTTTGGGTTAAATTTAGTGACATTGATCTGATCCACATCCTTCAGCCAGAGGGCGTATGGGCTAATTACTGCACGGGCCCGTGTGATTGTGAGTACAGTCATCAGTGTGTCTCCCCCCTGCCAAATCACTCATTCAATGTCATATGTGTTGAGGGGCGGTCGGGTAGCCTAGTGGTTAAAGCGTTCGCTCGTCACGCCGAAGACCCGGGTTCGATTCCCGACATGGGTACATTGTGTGAAGCCCATTTCTGGTGTCCCCTGCCGTGATATTGCTGGAATATTGCTAAAAGCGGCGTAAAACCATACTCACTCACTCACTCATATGTGTTGCCTAGTGCAGTGCAAACCTCTTTATTGATGACTGCACAGTGTAGCTTCTTATTCTCGACTACATAGCATACCTGTCTCAATACTGATTATCATATATCCATTTGTTGCTGACTGTATCATGTAGCCCTCTTATTGCTGACTGTACCATATAGACCTCATTGCAGCCCACACCATATAGCCCTCACATTGCTGACTGTACCATATAGACCTCTTATTGCTGACCACACCATATAGACCTCTTATTGTTGCCAACACCATATAGACCTCATTGCTGCCCACACCATAAAGCCCTCATATTGCTGACTGTATCATATAGACCTCTTATTGCTGACCACACGATATAGCCCTTATATTGCTGACTGTACCATATAGCCCTCTTATTGCTGACCACACGATATAGCCCTCATATTGCTGACTGTACCATATAGACCTCTTATTGCTGACCACACCATATAACCCTCATATTGCTGACTGTACCATATAGCCCTCTTATTACTGACTGTACCATATAGCCCTCTTATTGCTGACCACACCATATAGCCCTCATATTGCTGACTGTACCATATAGCCCTCTTATTGCTGACTATACCATATAGCCCTCATTGCTGCCCACGCCATATAGCCCTCATATTGCTGACTGTACCATATAGCCCTCTTATTGCCGACCACACCATATAGCCCTCATTGCTGCCCACACCATATGACCCTCTTATTGCTGACTGTACCATATAGCCCTCTTATTGCTGACTGCACCATATAGCCCTCTTATTGCTGACCACACCATATAGCCCTCATTGTTGACTGTACTATATAGACCTCATTGCTGCCCACACCATATGGCCCTCATATTGCTGACTGTACCATATAGACCTCTTATTGCTGACCACACCATATAGACCTCTTATTGTTGCCCACACCATATAGACCTCATTGCTTCCCAAACCATAAAGCCCTCATATTGCTGACTGTATCATATAGACCTCTTATTCCTGACCACACCATATAGCCCTTATATTGCTGACTGTACCATATAGACCTCTTATTGCTGACCACACCATATAGCCCTCATATTGCTGACTGTACCATATAGACATCTTATTGCTGACCACATCATATAGCCCTCTTATTGCTGACCACACGATATAGCCCTCATATTGCTGACTGTACCATATAGCCCTCTTATTGCTGCCCACACCATATAGCCCTCATATTGCTGACTGTACCATATAGCCCTCTTATTGCCGACCACACCATATAGCCCTCATTGCTGCCCACACCATATGACCCTCTTATTGCTGACTGTACCATATAGCCCTCTTATTGCTGACTGTACCATATAGCCCTCTTATTGCTGACCACACCACATAGCCCTCATTGCTGACTGTACTATATAGCCCTCATTGCTGCCCACACCATATAGCCCTCATATTGCTGACTGCACCATATAGCCCTCTTATTGCTGACTGAACTATATAGCCCTCTTATTGCTGACCACACCATATAACCCTCTTATTGCTGACTGTACCATATAGCCCTCTTATTGCTGACTGTACCATATAACCCTCTTATTGCTGACTGTACCATATAGCCCTCTTATTGCTGACCACACCATATAACCCTCTTATTGCTGACTGTACCATATGATATAGCCCTCTTATTGCTGACCACACCATATAACCCTCTTATTGCTGACTGTACTATATAGCCCACTTATTGCTGACTGTATCATGCAGCCCTGTGCATAGGTAGTGTAAAGCACTGTATTGGTGCCAGTTATTGATATTGCGAGTTGTCATCAATGTATTGCGTATAGCGATTGGCAATGGATCCATACACCAACCACTCGTTGCACCATTAGCAAATATTCATTTGTCTCGTCTTCTGTTTCAGTGATGACCACGGGTCACTTCAACCACACAGGCTTGCTACAAAGTGTTCGGTGGAGTGACGCTGCCAACGACACCATACGGAACGCCATTACACCCTGCTGTGGCGCCGTCCGACTCAGCACAATGTCACTGCTCTATGTCGACGACAACCAGGACATTCAACAGTCAAACGTTCCCAATCTTGGCGTGGAAGAATGTGGGTGCTTGTAACGCGGAACATTGACCTTGACCTTGACCTTGACCTACTATACTGCCGTTGCAATGCCTACTTTTTGTTTTGTATGCCTGAGTAAGACGTACATGTTGTTCATTCCTAGATACCATTGCTTAGTAAAGTGCTTTAAATGTTCCAATTGCTTTAAAGCGTCTCCTTTTTGATATTGCGCTTATCATAACCAACCCTAATAACGCATATGGGTGTAAACAACGCATTTACGTTATGCTTCATCAACCAAAAATCCCTCATGTTGTTGAATTTATTAACTTTGTCCACATGCAAGACAGTAAGGGACATCGGTTTTATCTTTCAAAAATAAATTCAACAATACAGTCCAACCAAGATGTGGACAAATACATTTCGCATGAACATGATGAAGACCAATAACATGGAAGCTTGTGAGCTGCCGGAGTTAGAGGTAACGGGCGTGGAAGGAGTTATTTCTGGTATGGGGACGGGTGGCCAATTGGTTAAAGCGCTCAATCATCGCGCAGAAGATCCCGGTTCGTTTCCCAGCATGGGTATAATGTGTGTAGCCCATTGCTGGTGTCCCCTTACCCGGATGGCGTCAAACCTTAATCAGTCACTCGTGGTACGGTGGGGTATAGGAGGGTATGTCGTCAGTATACGGTGGATTTTGATTGGTGTTTCCAGTTTGATTCAATAATTTTGTCTAGGTACGATTTGAATTTATACCCTCCTCTGAATCTCCATGTCAAGTCATATCAGTTTTGGTATAACAATAAAAATTAGTTTGGCACATATGTGAACGGGACACATTAACTTGATAGTTGCCGTTATTTATATATTGTTATAAATAAAACTGCTGAGTAAACAGAATCTACGTTCTACGAACTGTTGTTTGTTTATAAGGTGGCATCCTACTCACACATACCTGAAAGCATATGACCTCGAAAACATATGCAGTGTTTCGATAGTACTTTTTATGTTTTTTGTTTTTCTTATATATCACTCGTTAACAATCACTCAAACCTGGTGTAGTGGTGAGTTTAACATCTTGGGTCGGAACATGCATGAAAACAATGTGTGATATATGTTATTGTTAAATAGAGTTTTCAGACTCGGCGGTGATAAAAGAACCTGTCACTGGAGAATATATTTTTTTCGTTCTACTTTCCTGATTTTTACGGTAGGTGGATCTGTAAACCAATTAATAAAAAAACACCCGCCTAAAACGGATTAAGTCGGTTCTAGTTACAATATAGTCGGTGGGTATTAAGAACAATCAATGTCATGACGGCCAAGATCCTGAACAATTACTTAAACATTCTGTCGTGACGAGTTATAGAGCCTTGTTCCACCACCTCATCTTGGAGTATTGTATGTCTGTTTTATAAGTACCGATGGTCATAGCGCTAATATTGGTTTGTCGAACAAGACCGTGGTATCGGATAACTACAAGTACGTTTACATACACGCGCGTAGTTAAGACAGCTAATCTCAGTAAACCCATGTTTTCTAGTTTTCTAATACAGTGAAACCGCATTAAAGGGCAGCTAATTTTCTGCGTAGTTCTAGATTTTGTAATTATTCCCTAATTATTAAACAAAGACAATGTCTATTCATGACCCTCCCTGAAGTGACAAGATGCAAAAGCACTTTTATTAAAACATTTAACAATTATTTTTGTATGACCCTCCACTGGAGACTTATATTTCTGGGTGACCCTCACGTGATTCCCTCTGACACAACAGCCCATTTTACAAATGACCGGTCCCTTATGCGTTATAACGAGGTTTTACTGTTAGTCGCAGATTGTTCGCATACTCTGTGTTTTGAAAAGACAGGCTTGTTGACTGATGTCTTCTTCAGCTTTACTCTCCATGTTCTGCCTGTATAATTGTGGTATTTATGTGACCCGCCATTACAATGCAAATAAAACAATGCAAGTCTCACACGAGCCCTTATACCGGACATATTTTTACTGAAAGTAATTTGAAACTTGAAATGTACACATGTAGCCTCAAAGGCACGTTGTTTGAAGACGGTAGTGTAATTTTTTAATTAAGTGCTAATTTTCTCAATAAAATTTGCAACTATATAATGTGTTCACTTGTGCGTGTGTGTGAATGGGAGAGAGAGAGAGTTGGGTTTAACGCCGTTTTGAACAGTATTCAAGTGATGAAGGTGAAACCACGAGGACGGGTATGGTGCTGGCAAACCTAGAAACATAATCGGGGCGAATTGGGATTCGAACCCACGATCAGCGTGACTAAGGGACACAACTCTGCACAAGCTCTACCGCTAGTTTGGCAGGATACAAATATTGGAATACTTGATTCACAATATGATACAAACTTTTTTGCGGAGATACACTGAAAATATCTTTCAGACAAATCATATTGACGAATTTGAACCAAAATTTAGCTCGTTGACAAACAGCTGATGTATGGTCATGTCTTGACTGTAGGACCCCATCGCGGCTCTCGGCAAGGACGCCCCGGGCTAACGGCACAGTGCTTAACAGGGTATGAACAAATCCCACAAATGACACATATAACTGTCAGTCTTGTGTCGATGTGATCTCTTCTCTAGCAGAAAACGCTCTCCAAACCATTACCAAATACGAGTAATGGTTCACGCTTAGTGACATATTTTCGTATGTATGCCCTAACATTCCAGTTATATTATCACGACAGCCTCTAAATAATCGTCTATTATGCAAAGGTATGGTTTGGGGGTTCATGTCATCGGGGCCATGTGTGATTTGATTTTCACAAGAGGGCGGGGCTCCCCAAGACACTTGTGTCATCTTTTTTTCCATTTTCAATTTATGTTAACTTAACACAAAGTAGATCAAATTAGTTTTAGGCAGTGGTTAGCAATAAAGCATGCCGGACGTAAATCTGAGCCTACCAGTCAGGATACACACAAATTGCGTTCGATTTCAAAACCCCGTGTTGACCACGGTGTAACCCAAGTTAACTTTATGACGTCATACATCGGTTGACCAAAGATGCCACACTGAACCCCTGGAAAGCTGTACGCTGGTTAGGTGTGACGTCATCGTTAAAGCTAATTAGTTTCATTTATTGATTCAGTCATGCTTGTTTGTTGTTTGCACTCAGCAATATTCAAGCTATATGGTGGTGGCCTGTAAATAATCGAGTCTGGATCAGACAATCCAGTGATCGATATTGTGAGCATCGGACACCCTATCAACCAAGATTGACCACCCGATCCACTCATTATGACAAGGACAGGTTCTACCACCTATATTAACAAGGATGATACGGTCATAAATAAAAGCATTTAATTGAATATTATTAACTAGACATTGATATAACACACCCTTGAAAATCACAACTGTGAAACGGACAGAGTAACTTAAAGAGATCACCTTTGGACTGTTCTTCAGACTGTCTTCCATATATACATGTATGTGTATATATATACTCTCAATAGAGCCAATAATTCATCTTCGATGATGATTTTGCATCTCTTTTTGATGCTATAGCGTTATTTTGAACTTTCTTGTTAATTTTCATGCACTAAACAAAAGGTACAATGGCAGTGTTGTCAAGCAATATAACCTCTCATAGATGTGTGTTATAGCAATACACATGGCTGTTGTGTTTCTCCCCCTGCAGCCATTTTGTAAGTTATAGTTGGTTGACACCAGTTACCTCAAATTGAATCCATTTAACCCTGGTTGCCAGAAATGTGGTAACCTCAGCTGACTCAAAGCCACGAACTGTAACAAACACATGTCGGTGGTTTCTCACAAGCAGAGGGTAGTGGGGACCCATTTTGCCCTGGTGTCTCCATGTCTTAAGTACACTAGATGCCACATTAACATGAGTGCACAGATCTCGGAGAAGGTTATCCAGAATAGTTTATTTCGTGGCTGTATTTCAAAACTTGGTTTTGATTTTCTTCTGTCTAGACATCAAACCATGAAGACAGCTCTAGGCAGGTCATGAATGTTCATGATATAGTCAGATTAGACCGATAACACTCAGCACATGATCTCAACAAACAAGATTAAGTCAGCAAACATTAGTCTGGACTAGCTTGAAATATCATGGTGTCACATACAGTGAGTGAGTGAATTGGGTTTAACTCTGCTGTATGGTGAGGTGAGGTGAAATGGGGTTTAAGGTTGCGTCCAAGATTATTGCACTTATATAGTGAGGTGCGTGCATGTGTGTGTGTGGCTGTTTGTACTTGTCTGGACTAACACTGATTTTATAGTGCTAGTCCACTGAGATATCATTTAACATGAATACCCAACTCAGACACAGTGTAATGAATCTGAGCTGACCTGTGTTTTAGCCCCTTAATGCCTAGTGCCAACAAGTACCATCTTTTAGCATCTTTTGGTATGACAAGGCCAGGCATCGAACCCCGGGCCTAACACTCTCCTGGTGGACGCTCTATTACTAGACCACGGAGGCAGTCAACACCGCTTTGAACAGTATTCCAATTACATCACAGCATGTCAGCTTGATGTGGGAGGAAAGCCTGAAGCGAGGCAGGTCTTAGATGTTTACCACTTTGGTGAAACCCACGACAAACCTAGAAACACAATCAGACAAACCGGGATTCAATCCAAATGATCTATAGTTTTTGGTGTACCTAAGGGATGCACCTCTGCACAGTGAATTGAGGAACCTCCGACAACTTAGCCCCTGTGCCCCCTATGACACGCAGGGCGTACTAAGGACTAGTGCAAGTGGACCAGCAGGGGCGGTCGGGTAGCCTGGTGGTTAAAGCATTCGCTCGTAACGCCAAAGACCCGGGTTCGATTCCTGACATGGGTACAATGTGTGAAGCCCATTTCTGGTGTCCCCCGCCGTGATATTGCTGGAATATTGCTAAAAGCGGTGTAAAACCATACTCACTCACTCACTCACTAGTGGACCAGCAGCTGCCATTAAAGTGTGACGGCCAGGTCACAAGCCGTTCCTACCTTTTGGTCATCTATGTAAGAAGGGCACCTCCATACAATTTGATTTGCATGACGTTCAACATGTTCCTTCAATAAAACAGAAATTCATACCTTATAAAAAAAAAGACTGCTTCTCCCACTTGTACATTTACCCATTTACCCATTATTAATAATGTATTTAATTCAATCAAACAGCATATTAGAAAATCATAGCTCATTTAACAGTTCCTAAAACACAAAACATTGAAAGATCAGTAGATTCGTAATAACCTGTGAACATGTTTTGTTTCCTATCATAAACACTCAAACAACTCACACCAACAAGTTACTTCACAAGCATTTTAATCATTTCATTGAATATCAACATTATCCACATAACCGCGATTTGCAATAAACCCAAAGGCTTCCTGAAAATAGATACTTGCATTGACTTGAGATTAACGCACAGGACAAACACCAACACAATGACACTGTGAACAATGCATAAACATGAAGAAGAAAGGATAGGAAGGTCAGGATGTATCAACAATGCTTCTGTAGATGAAACACACCCTTAGTTGTAACACTAGATTCTACCAGAGAATAATTGTAATTTTCCTGTCAAAATGAACAAGATATCATTATTAATAAACAAGAAAATGCATTTAAGAAATATGGAAACTAATAAATTAAAAAAACTTACATGGAAATAATCCACACAAAGAAAGACTGGAGTTTTCACAATATTATTGATGTCATGACATTTTAACTATAGTAATATGAAAGAATCTGGTGTTCCTTAACTTCATTTGAGTAGTATGTATGTAACCTCCAAGCTTTCAGCCTCCTGGCCTTCATCGAGTAAACTCTTTTGGCTTTATAATACATTACTAGAGATGCTTGTTCCAACATTGCTGTATTCCTACTAACTGAATTCCTAGTAATATCACAGATTGAAAAACACAGTTCAAGCACCGGAACTCAATCAATGCCTGCCTCACAGACAACCCTGTTTGTTTCAAGCCACTCGTCCATTTCAACTCTGATGAACAATCTGCAATGACTCATGTGCTGATTGTGAGCTATCATCCACTCAAAGGGAGGGAGTTGTCTTAAACACAGATTTGAACAGTATTCCAGTTATATCACGGCATGTCAGCTTAATGTGCGAAGAAAGCCTGAACTGATGCCACTTTGGTGAAACCCACGAGCACGGGTATGGTGCAACAAACCTAGAAACATAATTGGAGTGAACCGGGATTTGAACCCAAAATCATAGGTTTCTGGCATACCTGAAGGGACGCAACTCTGCACAACAAATTGTGGCGACTAAGATGACTGGGCCACCCGTGGCCCCATTACAATCAGACCAACATCACCACTGCCCATCCGTTCACCATGTCAATTGTGAGTCGATTTACAATTCCACCTATATCACCATGGCCCATCTCTTTGGTCTGACTCAGATGTTGATTGTGAGTCATCAAACAACCACAACACCCGCCTCACACCTGCTTATTGCCATGCTGGTCAGTTTGACCCATGTGTCTGTTGCAGGGTTGTAGCGCTCCATGAGGTCAAGGGTGGCAGGGGCAGAGTGGTCAAGTGTGTACGTCCGGCCACCTATTGCATAGATTTGACCATTGACAGCTGCAACGCCGGCGCCAGCCCTCCTCACAGACATCGGCGCCACTTCCTCCCACATGTCCTGTGACACAAAGAAACATGATAAATGTACATAATGCATGTACAATGTGTTTACTACTGTTTTAAAGGAACAAATAACCAGCTGCAATGTTTATAGTACATTATTTTCACATTAATTCAGGCAAAGAATTTGGAATTGGAGCTTATCCTCTGGAATAAGTATATTAACTACACAGTTTCTTTTCACCACCTTATTTGTTCATCATTACTAGGACTCATGTTCATGATGTTGAATATGAAATATTTTTTGGGTCACTGTTAGGAGCCGAACTATTTATAATTAGTTCTACAAGACATTTTTCAGGATGTCCACATTGTCCAGGAACAATGATGTTTTTGGATAAAAGAGAAGGCTTAATTATACTTTCCAACTATTTTCCATGTTTTCGGGAACAATTTCTAGTTGCCCCCAACATGCAGAATATCGAGTCCCTCATTCATATTGTACATTTCTATCAATAACCATCATTATGATAAATCTATTTGAAGTAAACAGTATACATACAGTAGTCAACATGTCTGACATCTTCAGAAACTGAGGCTTGACTGTACCACCTACTGTTGTCAGCATTGCTGGTCTAAATGAAGTTTGTTTGTTTGTTGTTTAATGCCGCACTCAGCAATATTCCGGCAGTCAGTAAATAATCGAGTCTGGACCAGACAATCCAGTGATTGTTCCCTGATTAGCAGACCACATAGAAGCCGTGTAAATAGTACCAAATACCCCATCTACTCAGACAGCTTATATATAAGCATAGTACGCATCATGCTCATGGTACTAAACTATGCACATGTTGTGTTTGTATAACCTATCAAAGGGACACAACTCTTGATGAACTCTAGCCAATACACAAGAAATGTATCTCTTTCAAACAGATCTAAGATTTTAGACATGACATAAGCATGATAAGATGGTTATTGATTAACATGAATATCACCCACTATTCATTTTGCATAACTACATCTCAATTTGTTTCACAGCTATTGGCTATTAGTCTATTAAATACCCAACTTTTTGCACAGTACCACATATTTATCATGATCATATATCCATATGCATGATAGGCGACTAGGATCCTCATCCTCGTCACAGTACATACAACAACAAACACATGACAAACAGTTGTTTTTTGTGTTTTCTTTAAAACTAAGAAAACTGTAAATACATATATTAACCAAAACCAGTCAAAACTCACATTTTCAATGGAATATTTTTCCACTGATGCAAGAGACCCATGGTTCTCATTCCACCCCCCTACTGCATAGATGTAGTTGTCGATGGCGGCGACGCCGACGTAGCCGCGTGACATGTGCATGTCACTGAGTCTCTGCCACTCCTTGGTTACAGGGTTGTAGCTCTCCATGTGCCGTAACTCTGTACTACCCATGTCACTCAGACCACCTATCACATAGATTAGACCTGGAACAGAAACATAGGCAATTTGTCAGGGCACTCAGACCTCCTATCACATAGATTAGACCTGGAACAGAAACACAGACCAGGTTGCCATGTCCCTCAGACCATCTATCACATAGATTAGACCTGGAACAGATACACAGACCAGGTTGCCATGTCCCTCAGACCATCTATCACATAGATTAGACCTAGAACAGAAACATAGGCAGTTTGTCAGGGCACTCAGACCTCTTATCACATAGATTAGACCTGGAAGAGAAACACAGACCAGGTTGCCATGTCCCTCAGACCATCTATCACAGAGATTAGACCTGGAACAGAAACACAGACCAGGTTGCCATGTCCCTCAGACCATCTATCACATAGATTAGACCTGGAACAGAAACACAGACCAGGTTGCCATGTCCCTCAGACCATCTATCACATAGATTAGACCTGGAACGGAAACTTAGGCAGTTTGTCAGGGCACTCAGACCTCCTATCACATAGATTAGACCTGGAACAGAAACACAGGCCAGTTTGCCATGTCCCTCAGACCATCTATCACATAGATTAGACCTGGAACAGAAACACAGACCAGGTTGCCATGTCCCTCAGACCTCCTATCACATAGATTAGACCTGGAACAGAAACACAGGCCAGTTTGTCATGTCACTCAGACCATCTATCACATAGATTAGACCTGGAACAGAAGCAAAGGCTCAGACCACCTATCACCTCACTCAAACTAATGGCACATAGAACACATAGATCATAATGGCATTGGAAGTTACACATTAATCATATTCATGACATAATCATGATGAAGTCATGAAGACGATAATCCTCAAATCACAAACACTTTTATAATAATGATATACTGGTATCATCTTGAATATTATACTGCCAAGTGCCTAATGATGTGCAATACAACATGTATAATAAATGTGTTTACTTTATTGCTAACAATCATAAGTATCTTATTATTCCTCAAAACAAATCACGGTTTTCATTAGCATTGTCAGCATAACAGAATATCCAATATTTTCTCCTACTAACCTTCATGTTCTACCACCCCCATTGCGAACCTTGGCACTTCTAGCTGGCCAATAATCACCCAGGCATCTGTCTGAAAGTCATATCTCTCTATCGTGTTCCCAATCTCCGATCCTATCCAACCACCAAATGCAAACAGGTATTTCTTGTACGAACACACTCCCAAGCCACACCGAGGGTAGTTCAAATTTGGCAGCGCTGACCACTTATTTATTGCTGGATCATAACACTCAACACTGTCGTTGATCAGAGCATCGTTCTCGCCCCCAATGACATAAATCCTTCTGTCCAGCACTGTCACACCATGACCACTGCGTGCATTCTTCATACACGGTATACCATGCCACAGATGGTGGAATGTGTCGTACCGCTCACCAGAGACCAGCGTCTCAATGTCACTCCAACGAGAATCCTTTCCTCGGGTGTAACCACCTATAACGAAAATATTTTTCCTTGCACTTTTCCTGGGCTGGAGCATGTGAGGGTGTGTTCTGGAGAGTTTAAGCTCTACGTAGAGTTTACGATCCATCTTGTAGTCCTGTAGAAGTTTCTGCAGCGCTATCTTCAGGCTGATATCCTGGCATCTATCAATGCAAGCATCTAGACTCTGTTGAGGTATTATGGGAAATCGGACGGGTGCCATGACATCAAACACTTGCCTCTTCCGAACTGCAAGGTCATGGTGAATCCACTTCATAGCTGCATTAAATACCTGGAATAGTTCAAGAAAAGATGATGTTCTAACAATCTCTCGTAGTAATCAGGGAATGTTTTTCACATTGAGAAAAGTCAAACCTCATTTTCAATGCATAATAGGCACCCCTTCTACACAGCATTATCCTGTAAAACAAATGTGCAAAATACAAAAGAGTGACAGAGCATCATGGAGTATGGTGAGTAAGTTTGATTCAATGCATCAGGTTTAGACACAGCCACCAGTCCATTTGTCCAAGACTAGTGAAAATTCAGAAGGACCTTTCTGTCTTTCTTGCTTTCTACCTGTGAAGATTATGGATTAGAATTGGTCTTAAGCAACCCATGCTTGTCGTCAGAGGCGGTTAGTGGCATCAGGTTGTCAGACTCGCCAACTTGGTTGATGCATGTCATCGTATCCCATTTGCGTAGATCGAAGCTCATGTTGTCAATCACTGGATTGTCTCATCCAGACTTGATTACTTACAGACCACCATCATATAGCTAGAATATTGCTAAGTATGGCGTTAAACAACAAACAAACAAACACACATTTAGATAATTTACATGAACCTCTACCAGGTAGTCCGAAATGAGTTCCAGATTTTTTTAGATTTGACCAACAGTATCTAACCGTGTGCATCTTTGAACTGTATTTCGGGGATGTTCAGTTATATCATGGCTTGTCAGCTAATTTTGGAGGAAAGCTTAAAGTGAAGTAGGTCTTGGACACTTCCCAAGTTGGTGAAACCAGCAAGCATGGGTATGGTGCTGACAAACCATGAAACTTGATCACAGCAAATATGTGATTCAAACCAACGATCGCGGGTTTCAGGTGCAGGCAAGGGAATTGTAGTGCCGTAGACAACTGGGCCACTCAAGAATACAGAAGCTGCAGAGAGTCACATTTAGATATGCTTGGTACGGCAACACAGTCCAATACTCCTGAGGCTGTAAAACCTGATATGTTTTCTGACACTTTGACAGCAGAGGATTGGAATAACTCAATAATGACATCATGATGATGATGATGATGATGATGATGATGATGATGATGATGATGCACATACTGACCTGAAGTTCCTGTTCAACCCTGAGTTTTTCACTGGAGAGGAAATGTATCAGCACATCTTTGGGCAGTGTCAGGAACTCTTCCTCTCGAGAAACTTGCATAAAGTGTCCCTGAATGTAATTTTCTGCCTCATTTCTCACATCCAGGCACTGGTGGGCATCGGCAAACAGGTAGATACCTGCAAAATACATGGCAAACTGGCATCTGAATATCCAGTAAGCTCAAGCCTGTAAAGAAGTTCTCTTCTTTAATGACCAACAGCAATTATATACTACTCAAAAGAAGTTAAAGAACACCCACATTTTCCTTAAGACTACAGTAAATCTGTCTTGGCTGGTGGGTATTGCAACACACAGTCTTTCAATTGCGGGTGTTCTTTAACTTGTTTTGAGTAGTATACTCTAAATACCCACCCAAATATGCCAAATGGTATATTGTTAATCATGGTAATGAAATTCATGATTTGTTAGGTTGACAAAATAATACAAAATGTTTATAACATTGATATTGACTTTTTCATAAGTGTCTTCGTGAGCATGACAGGAGCTTTTTTGTTTGTAAACAGAGAAAACATGGACTGAAGACCAGAGTGTCAGAATCCTCATACCTTTTGTCATGAATAGAAAAATCATTATGCAGGGTTGTTTCCACTGATGAAATTGCCTCAGAATAGATGTTTTCAACTTATCAAGTGAATGTCTGAAATAACTCTGGTACTAGGACTGACCGAGAGAGTTGTCTGGCTGGAGCTGAGTCTTGAGGAACTCACTGCATGCCATGACGACGTCCACCAGCCCCAGCATGTCACACACACCCAGCAGGTCCTGGCAGTTCTCAGACGTCACCTCCACCTGACCTGGAACACAAACATAGGCTCGGATCCTGCATACCTGACACTATCGACATGGAAACATGGTACCAAATCAAACTCTCTGCAACACATGCATGTACATTTTGTCAATTTATTTTAAAGTTGGTAATCATACAAGAGAATGTCCCATCAAAAGTTGACAAAATCATGAAAATGTCCTAATGCCATTTGTTTCTTGCAAAATCACATTCAATTACTGGCACACCAGTGGTTGAAAGAGTGAGCAAACATCCATTGTCTCATTTCTTCAGATACAAAACTTAAATACATTACAAAGTAAAGAGAATGATATTTCCTCACCTGAGTAGATGAAACTCAGGGCAGTTTCAAAGATTTCTGCTTCTGTGTCCTGCAATGTTATCTCACTCTTGCTCTGTTCTTGCATCCCGGATGAAAACATGGCTCGGAAGTAGGGGCTAGCAGCAGCTAGCATGTGTCGATGTGCCCTGAAGCTCTTACCCGCGACAGTGATGGTTACGTCACAGAACAAAGTCTCCCTCCACAGATCACACAGGCCATGGAGCAACATTTCAGCATAGCAGGGAGCTGTCGGGGAGATTTTGGATGGAGTGTTGTCACTGCTTGTGTCTCGAGATACTGTTAAAGCTCTTGTGATTCGGCTGAGAAAGTCAAAGCTTGATGCCATCTTGAATGTTCACATTGAACAAAGTTCTTGGAAGTTTTTCTACTTTCTTGGACTGAAACTAAGTATTGTTTGATTCATGATATCATAAGACAACAGTCTAATTCTTTACAAGCAAGTCCTAATCTGGGTCAAGAAAATGTCTTTCAGTCTCAATCTGTTTATGTTAGCCCAGATGTCCCAGGCACCATATATGAGTGTACTAAATGTCAATCCAAGTAGAATAAACAGCCCAAACGACATATTGTCTGTATCCTGATCAGCATATAATATCTTGAAAATTAGTACATATATTTATTCCAAGATGAGGAAAAGATCTAAACAATAATTGCTTATCATGCTTATGTTGCACACCCATTCATAGGTGATATTGTTTTTAATTTTGATGTAAATGGTATTTGAAATAGTTGTTGGAATACAGGGTAAAATGCAATAGTCGCTAAGACTCACATGTTCTGAACTGAAATATCCCAAACGAGTTGTTTACACACCATTTGAGGTATGACACTTAGATTTTAATATTATACAATTGTTTGCGGATATCCCCGACCTGACGATTTTGCAGCTAATAATGAAAGATTAGATAAAATTATACCGGCGAATGCCTCCCGTAGATTGATACAATCATCCACGAGTGTATGAAATAGTTAGCAGGTTACACTAGCCTGCACCATGACAAGCAGGTCTTCATAACTGCAAAAGCCATTAACATTGATGATCATTCAATGATTCACTGACATTGAGATTGGTCTGATATGATGTGCATTTAGTTACGGGTAAGCTTGGCTAGTCGTTTACAGCTACGTGACGTGAAGGTTGTCTTCAGTAGGTTTTCTCAATGCAAAGAAACATCGGGAATATGAATCTTCATCCGCGAAACCGTGCATAAGAGGAAACACCAAACTGATCAAGAAAGATCTTCTTACGTGTTTGGCAGTCGTTGATGGTCTGCATATACACAGGAGATTTTAATGTTGACAACTCGCAAGGTTTATTGATGCTTGTCACTATTTCTAAACTCTTCATAACAGCGAACGATATGTTCTTATGACCGGTGATCTACTCTTCCAGTTAAATCATTAGTCATAAAAGATGCGCAAGCGCTTTGCAGGCATAAGACTTCTATAAAATCGGTGCATGGAGCTAGGTAAACTATTTCCGGTTATGATATTCTTGAAAACCGCATAAGCAAAGAAACGAAACTAGCACATTTTCTGTCATATTTCCTTTAAAAAACTGTCGGTGTCGGATATTCATTGTGTGATTGTACTAGTAGACAAAAAGAAACTCAGTACATTTATGAAACGTTAAATCAACCAGGTAGTTTGGATGTTATTTACTTGATTATTATCAGTTGTCTATCATTTGATAGATTAACGGTAGGGGGGATCAACTAATAGGTTAATAAATGTGTCGTTATGAAAATGGAATAGCACTTTGTGAGGATCTTCAAACCATGAATTTTGGGTCATGACATTATCGCGATGTGAAAATATGTTTCCTCGCGTACATAATTCCCTATATTTTTTAAATTAATAATAGTATTTTGTTTGTTGTTTAACCCCGCGTGCGCCCGTACCTACGTTCCAGATCTGCTACGTACGCCGGAGGCGGCATGTACATATTTGAATCTGGACCAGACAAACCTGTGGTTGATATTATGAGCAACGTCCCATGACTTTGGGGTACGATGACACGCTGTCAACCATGTCACCCAACATGACCACCCTGATCCACATAGTAGAGTACAGGTAGCATCTTGCAGCAAGCATGACTATAGACTAAATTGCTAGGGACTACATTGCAATTCCCAGTGAGAATTGATATGTAGATACACACGCTCGTCATTCCCTATAGTTTTACGTAAATAAAAGAATGAAAGGACAGTTTATCATTTGTTTAATCATTGTACTATCATGAAGTTCGGGAAAACACTGCACAAATAAGCTCTAAACAGTGTAAGGAGTTTTCCAACGTCACGTGACGTAAAGAAACATGGCGGGCATTGATAAATTTATTTTTTGGATTGTTTTGATATTTGTTTCAATCAGTATAGGTAGAGGTATGATTTTCTTTCTCTTAATATGAATCACTGGTCATATTCAGACTCGATTATGTACTGGTTGGTGAGGTCCCCATGACAGATGAAAATAAACATATCCATTAACTTACAGCTTCACATGGCCATGGGACAGGATATGAAAACACTCGCTTTTACGCTTGTTCTTTCTTTTCTTATTTGCTCATTGACCATAAATCCAATTTATTCACCAATCCGAAAATAAATACAATTAATTTTTTATTCATTTAGGAAACGAGCCTACTCATGGGTCGTCATCCCAATGTGACGCAAGCAAAGATCCGCTAATCCCTACCGCCCCTGATGACACATGTGAATGGATGGGAGACATTGATACATGTGAAAAGACACAGCAATGCCCGAAAGGATTTCAAGGAGATGATTGTGATAAACGTAAAACATTAATTCTGAATCCATCATAATTTTATATATGTATAAGTAGTTACCAAAAAGAATTATAACAAATATAACATTGTTGAAGCATTGAGGACGTGTTTTTTAACAATATTGGGAAAGCACACTTGACAAGTTGATGTCTACCTGTATGGAAATAAGTTTCTCAGCGTTTATCAAACATAATAACAGCTTTGCCCGGGGTGTCAGACATTAGGTGTGTCATCAAACAAACACAAAAAAAACGCCTTTATATTTTTTATAGCAAAGTATGGTCTGCCTGCACTCAGAATTTCACGTCATGCCTGTTGCAGAAGTCACATGTTTGCAGCTAGAGTCTTGTACACTGGTTGACTCTCGAATGAGACGTTTATGTGATGTTTAATAAATGGGAAATCGGCCTCTATATTCTAACAAGCACATGGCTATTTTGCAGCCTGCGAGTTCGGCTCGTGGGGTTCTCGCTGTTCGTTTCCCTGTGGTCAGTGTAAAGAGGGCGACGTGTGTAACAACGTCAACGGCCTCTGCCCCTCGGGTTGCGCTGATGGCTGGATTGGAAAATATTGCAATAAAGGTGAGTTTAAGTTGTTGTTTTTATGTCAGTTATCAAGTTTGGACTGACAAACCCTTCTTCCATACCCTATACTTTTTGCAAAATCAAATAAAATAAAAAGAAGTATAGAAGCTCTGGCAGACATTTGTTAAAATAACCGCCTCTGTGGCCTAGTGGGTAGAGGTCTGCCCTGAGAGCCGAAGGTCAATGGTTCGATCCCTGGAGGCATCTTTGAAAACTTACGTTAAGCAGCATGGTGGTTCAGTGGGCTTACACTATAAAACTGAGTTTAGTTGGGACTAGTGCAAGCACAAAGGTCGCTCTGTAAGTGCAGTGATCTTGAATATGAAAGCGATGTTAAACCCCTTTCCACCACCCCATTTGTAAAAAATGAGTTTTTGCCTTCTGCCTGTCATATTAAGGGACAAATAAATGTGTAAAACAAGAAATTGAATGGGAGTTAACAATCAATCACAATCAAATCAAACCATATGCTAAATTATCCACTAATATTCCTGTTGGGTGCTTTCCAGGTGCAGAAGACATGAATAATTACTTGAGATACTTCCAGTTCTTGCTTCATGCTTAGACCTTCATGCTTGTTATTGGTAGCTATTTGTTATTTTGAATGGTGTCATAACTGTTATTATCTCACTATCCAGTGTGTGACAGCGGCATGTGGGGCAGTGGCTGTAAAACACCATGTGGTCACTGTGCGTCTAGTGACGTATGTGACCCCACATCAGGAAAGTGTCCAGGGAAGTGCTCAAATGGCTGGGTTGGAAAAAACTGCAACACAAGTAAGTCGATCCATTGAAACACAAGTACTGTACTGTCGCTCCTGTGGGCCCTTGTCTCTTCGTTTGATACTTGTTTGTTCGTTTGTAGTTTTACACAGCATTCGATATTCAAGCTATATAACGGATTCTGTAAACAATCCAATCTGGACCAATCAAGTGATTGACATCACGAGCATCGATCACATATGCTGATATGATCACATGCAGTCAACCAAGACACACAGCATGTCCATTGGATCCTTATAACCGCCTCTGACCATAAGCAAAGGTTGCTTGGGACCTATATTCTGGCAACCAGAGTTGACAATTAAGATTCAGCCTGAGTTAACCAGTGTCAATCAAGGTTAACCGAGGGCTGTACCCGAAGTAAAACACATAAAAAGCAACCTTAGATATGATTCAAAATGTCTGCCAGAAGGCGAAACACACCAGCCATGTGTGTTGCTATTGCACCAACTATGAGAGGCCAACACGTGTTTTATTCCATGACAGAGCTGCCACTGTACCTTTTCTATTTAGTGCATGTAAAACGTCAAAAAAGGTTCAAAATAATGCGTAGGACATAGAACAGGTGCACTCTACTTAAACCGAATCACCCACATAGGAACACTAGCTTCAGGGAGATGACGTGATCTGGACGCGAAAAGTCATGCGATAGTCACCAAGTTTCTCTCTTTATTTCCGTAGTTGATGTTGATGTGTTCCTAATTGTGATATATGCATTTCATATTTGATCATATGGTGAATATTCTTATGTTTTTCAGAATGTATTCATGGTCTGTGGGGTGAAGATTGCACAGTTATGTGCGGGATGTGCAAAAAAACCTGCAGCCATGTTAACGGGGTGTGCGAGGGAGGTTGTCACAGAGGGTTTTATGGCGACCGCTGTCAGTATGGTCAGTGAATTACCCGATTGAAAACAGTGCATGGAAAGATATATATGATGTTTCCGCTTGAAATGATAATCGGTACACTGTAACATTTTCAATCCTGTTTTGTTTTCGAACATGCAAAATAGGGTTATTCCGAAATTATATCATTCAATTACCAGTAGTGTATATTCACCTGGAGGTAAGCCGTTTTTATAAGATGAGTGTTGCCTGGTGCATGGCGTAAATAGAAGTTGTGAGTTGTTCTTTTTGTATATTTAAGTCGTGCCAGGATCCGTTGATCGTGAGTTCAAATCCCGGGACCTGTAGAATAGGTCTTCAGCAACCCGTGCTTGGCGTAAAAGGCGACTGTGCTTGTCGTACAAGGCGACTAACGGGATCGGGTGGTCAGGCTCGCTGACTCGGTTGATGCATGTCATCGATCCCGATCGCGTGGATCGATGCTCATGATGTCAATCACTGGATTGTCTGTTCCAGACTCGATTATTTACAGACCGACGTCATATAGCTGGAATATTGATGAGTGCGGCGTTAAACAACAAACAAACAAATCAAATCCCGGAGTCGTCCTGATAATAATTATGGGTCTATCAGCACCATTCTCGTACCTGTTGATTTCATTAAACTTAAAGTGGTAAACATCTCTGATGTCACGTGATAGTGCTGTCGAAGTCAGTGTTAAAGTATAGGGCTTACGTCGTATCAGCGCGCTTTGTAGAACCGGTCCCTCAGCTTTCTCCCACGTGAAGGGTGCAACGCCGTGATATTACTCAAGGACTGTTCAAAGCTGCGTTAGGCCGCCTCCGTGGTCTAGTAGTAAAGCGTCTACTCAGAGAGCGGAAGGCCGGTGGTTCTATCCCCGGCCGCGTCATACCAAAAGACTTTAAAATATGGTACTTGTTGTTACCCTTTTATGCATGTTATCTCAGTGTGCTAGCACAATAAAATCGGCATTAGTCCGAACTAGCAGAACACACACACACACACACACACACACATCGCTATATAAGTGCAATAATCTTATAATCTTGAACGCGACGCTAACCCCCACCTCATCTCAAAGTGGCGTTCAACAGGACTGGTTCGCCCACTCTCACTCACTCAGATATAGTCGTTGCTCTAATGAACATTTAAAGGGAATTGTACGAAACGGTAACTAAACTGCTGAGCAAAAGAAAGTATACCCTTAAAAAACTGGATTTGACCAAAAATATAACACCCGTACCAAATACGTCAGCATCGAATAACCAATTCTGGGCCCCGTTCCATAAAGCGATCTTAACGCTACAATGATCGTAAGCCTATGTTAAAGTATGGGACTTACGATCACCTTAGTGCTAAGATCGCTTTGAGGAACGGGGCCCTGGTTTGTTTCATGTTCAGGCACCATCAAACATGGGTGTAGAATGTATTTACCCGACCGTTTATGTGTTCATGTATTGCTTTTTAGCGTGTGAAACTGGAACCTACGGTGTAAACTGCGAAGGCCGCTGTGCGAATTGTCGTCACAGACAGTGTAACAACGTTCTTGGAAACTGTATCATTGGCTGCAACAAGGGTTGGACGGGAATCAAGTGTGACAAGCGGTCGTAGGTGGACGCCTGAGAAGTAACCTGCAGAAAGAAAGACGCCACCACATGCACTCACAACTGAGATCCAGAAATGATCTTACACAATTCGGGACATTAATTTGTTCACATGTAATTTTTATTCCAACATTATTAACATTTTGATGCAGCAGACCTTCAGAAAGAAAGACGCCAACACATGCACTCAGAACTGAGACCCAGAAATGATCTTACACAATTCACGGACATTTTATCATATTGGTCATACTCATCAAACGTTTTTAGACATTATTTTGTTCAATGTAATTTTTATTACAATTATGACAAGTTGCCTTTATTTGTTCTCAATTAGTCAATTGCTGTAATAACGTGTATAAAAATTACATATTTAGTCGTTCAACATAAAGGTATATTGCTTATGTTATAGATGTTTCTTCTATGTATTTTGTATAATTTGGTTAACATTTTGATGACTCATTAGCTACGTGAGTTGGCAGTCAGAAACATTTAGCTTTGATTGGCGTAAACTGATCGTTCCTATTTTTCATTTTTTGGGGCCATACTAAATTAATAATATGATTTTCCCCTCCCTAACAAACACCCTTTTTCACATCGTTTTATTGTTCACAGCTACCCACAAATCGCAGCGTGTTATACGAAATACACTCTCCACAAACATTCATGCTTCATGTGAATCAAATCCTTCCACAGACATGTACACAGATGCCTCGACAATTTTGTTTAAACAAACCCCCACCTTCATTTGTTTAAATTATATTTTTGATGAAAATCTAAGAAGTCATTTATTGTGGTCTTAGTGGAAGCTATCGAAGGTAGTTTCTAATATTGATTGTGATGAGTACTCACTAACTACAATGTGGCGAATCGTCCCAAGATTATCAACCCTATAACACTATCATTCTAAGGTTGTTGGGTTCGACAAGCCTACTGACAAGTTAGGCTGTTAGTACCAGTGAGAGGTATTTGAAAATATATCACAGAAAATACTTAAGGATACAGGTTAGATACATTCCGATATGCCAGTACTCAATTGGATAAATTATATAATTTAATAACGGTAGGGCCATTTATTGACGTTTTTCTCATGATGTTTTAATTGATGACTAAAGATTGTTTTTTTGTGTCATTGTTGACTGATTATGCTTATGAATATGAATTGAAAACGAAAAGGGATGTCTTTCAATGCACAAAAGGCTAACATATTTACTCTCTTTCTTAGCATACATATTTTACTAAGACCCTGGCAAGACAAATAAGTTTGAATGGAGTTGGCATCATTAACTTGGATGAAGTCACGTCGGATGTTGTGAAAGTTCATTCTAATTCGAAGTATTTGTAACAAAACCTTTGTGACACTGCTAAAAGTACAAGTACAACTATTTTACTGATATCAAAGCTTTATCTAGAAAGAAATACTAAATTTGCAAAGAATTTAATGTTCGGTTTTATATATAGGTCCATCGATCGCTGATTATAATCGTTTAACTGTTTTTATAGTAGCTTTAGTTACAATATCACTTAAAACATATAACAGAATTCTTCAATTGGTGTATGTAGCAGATTTTGTTAAGAAACGCTAATATGAAAATAATTTGATTACCCGTGTTTATAATCAATAACGCATGGATATTGTTAGACTAACATCTAGTCTCTGAAATGAACATATTTTACAGAAAAAAACAGTTGTTAAATTAGAATTTTAAAATATAATAAAAAAGAGCCCAGAGACTTCCTTCAGTAATCTATCTTGCCAAACATTATAGATTTGCATGGGCTGTTTTGGATATTTTTGCTTCAGGGTCTGTATGACAGACTAGGATATTGTTTGCGGTTTTCTTCTGTAAGCACTATGCACGACTATTTGGTTAAGGTTTCATTTAGGAGTTTTAGTCAAGAATTGCTGCAGGTGATGCAAGAACAAAGTAGACGGCATAGCTTTCTCAAAGAGTCCGCGTCCGCTTCCTGGGAACAGATGTCACTTTTATGATCTGTTATTTTGCACCTTTCCCTGAATAAACTACAGGCAGGGGCCCAGTCAAAGAAAAGTGCTTGTTGACCGATGATATGTCTTTTACCTTATTATTGTCAAGCACATGAACTTGTTCATATGGGTTTAAGGTCGGGCGGGTGATATTCTTAATGTCATTGGAAATTTACCGATCCTTCTACTTTTTTCACCCCCACGTGCTCGAAGAGACCAATAGCCTACTGTTGCGACGAGCAAACGAGTGAAGATACCAGTTTATCCCCAAACAGGAAGTGACACGGAGCGGAAATTGCGTTATGTCTAAATTTAGCACAGACTCATTTTGGCTTAGCTTATGGCTTATTAAAGGGGCTGGCGCCAAAACGCTTAGGCCTTAGTATGTTTGATACAATTCACAAACCTAACAATATAGTAAATATATTATATTTTATAAACACAATCAATTTTTTTATAAGTTAGATTTATATTTTGTACGTTTCTTTTAAATTTAAATTTCATAACTTTATTTTTAACAAACTATATTACATAGACCATGAAATATTTATCCTATTAACATTAGCTTTGCGCAGTGGCGGTACCATAGCCAATGAGGTTCATCCGAGGCGTGGTTATTGCTAGTTGAAAACTAATCCCAATACCCCGCGCTGACGCCCTTCACTGGGCGGCATGCGCAATTTTTGAAGGCCCCTACGGGGGCAGTTCTATCCTCAAATGAAAGTTAGACTCGACAACCCATTCTAAGAAGGATTATCGTAGAATGTTAACCAAACGCTAAAATGATCGTGTGTAATAACATCTCGATATTTGCATTTTAACAGTGCTGATTGGTCATTCGAAGTCAGTGCTTTTGTGTTGAGAAAAGTACGATTTGATGTCATCCATTATTTATGGTCACGATATGGCTGAAATATTGCCGATGTGACTTTAAGTATTAACTCACTCACCCATTGTTTATGACGTCACTAATTGACGTCTTTTGAACAACAGACTGCCTTCAGTCAAGTTTCTCCGAAGGCTTCACATTTCAAAATTTGTATACATTTTCTCTCTTAAAATGTCAGTGAGTAACATATAGAATAACCAACGCCAAAATCGGAATTATGGAGTACCTCTTCCTTGTGAACGAATGCTGCAAGTCCCTCGCCAAAGGCTCGACATTGACCACACATTAACTCAGAAACTCCTCGTGTCTCCTCGGTTATTGTCTCATTAATTAACCCACTCAATAATAAGTTGGTTATTGTCTAATGAATTAACCCACTCAATATTAAGTTGGTTATTGTCTAATGAATTAACCCACTCAATATTAAGTTGGTTATTGTCTAATGAATTAACCCACTCAATATTAAGTTGGTTATTGTCTAATGAATTAACCCACTCAATATTAAGTTGGTTATTGTCTAATGAATTAACCCACTCAATATTAAGTTGGTTATTGTCCAATGGATTAACCCACTCAATATTAAGTTGGTTATTGTCTAATGAATAAACATACTCAATAATAAGTTGGTTATTGTCTCATTAATTAACCCACTCAATAATAAGTTAGTTATTGTCTAATGAATTAACCCACTCAATATTAAGTTGGTTATTGTCTAATGGATTAACCCACTCAATATTAAGTTGGTTATTGTCTAATGAATAAACATACTCAATAATAAGTTGGTTATTGTCTCATTAATTAACCCACTCAATAATAAGTTGGTTATTGTCTAATGAATTAACCCACTCAATATTAAGTTGGTTATTGTCTAATAAATTAACCCACTCAATATTAAGTTGGTTATTGTCTAATGAATTAACCCACTCAATATTAAGTTGGTTATTGTCTAATGAATTAACCCACTCCATATTAAGTTGGTTATTGTCTAATGAATTAACCCACTCAATATTAAGTTGGTTATTGTCTAATGAATTAACCCACTCAATATTAAGTTGGTTATTGTCTAATGGATTAACCCACTCAATATTAAGTTGGTTATTGTCTCATTAATTAACCCACTCAATAATAAGTTAGTTATTGTCTAATGAATAAACATACTCAATAATAAGTTGGTTATTGTCTCATTAATTAACCCACTCAATAATAAGTTGGTTATTGTCTAATGAATTAACCCACTCAATATTAAGTTGGTTATTGTCTAATGGATTAACCCACTCCATATTAAGTTGGTTATTGTCTAATGGATTAACCCACTCCATATTAAGTTGGTTATTGTCTAATGGATTAACCCACTCAATATTAAGTTGGTTATTGTCTAATGGATTAACCCACTCAATATTAAGTTGGTTATTGTCTTATGAATAAACATACTCAATATTAAGTTGGTTATTGGCTAATGAATAAACATACTCAATATTAAGTGATTAGGGTTTTAAAGCCGGCGTGTCAGGTTAATGTGGCAGGAAATCTCGAAGTGAGGCAGACCTCAGACGTTTACCACTAGGGTGAGACCCACGAGCATGGGTATGGTGCTGACAAACCTACAAACATAATCGGGGCTAACCGCAACATTAAGAGTTGAAAGAAGACAATTATTTTAGGTTCGGCGATTTTGGGGGATGGAAACTCCGAGTGCACAAAACACGAGCACTGTAGTTGAAAGAAGACAATTATTTTAGGTTCGGCTATTTCTTTGGGTGGAAAACCTCCGAGTGCACAAAACACGAGCACTGTTTGAAATAAGTATTTCATGGCATGCACGTTTACACGTGCTTCGGAATAAGTATTATGTTTGCGTCATCGTGTGTAGAAGTAAGGAATGTTCCAGTCATAATTCCTGGAGTGATGTTAATTCTTTGTTGGCGTGAAAGAAAGATGCGCCCATAAAATCTGATACTTCCCCTTGATGGTTTCGTTCTTCGGTCACAACCTACCGGTGGCATTATTAATCCAAATAGATTTCCCCCAAGTCAAACCCTCTTTTAATTTCTGTCGTATCTGGCAACTAATATCTTAACGCGAGAATATTTACAGTACCTTTTCCGTAAATAAATCGCTATACCTCCTTACTGCACATGACGCCAATGTGAGAACTCTTTACAAAAAGGTATGTTTTTTGTTGTTTAAGCCGCACTCTGTACTCTTATGCCTCAAAGTGAGATTGGCCAGCCAGAGAGCAGGGCTACTAAACCCATATGGGTCCGTATACCGGCAACTAAAGACACCTAACTAATAATATTCCATGTATGTGACGGCACTGTAAATAATCGAATCTTGACCAGACAAACCAGTGATTGATATGAGCAGCGAGGAAACCATGACAAGCAAATCCCGGAGCCTGATCACCCGATTTATTAGGTCGCTTGTACGACCGCCATAGGTTACCTTTGACTTTATTCAAAACCCGGACCGGACGGGGTGTGGAAAGTGGTAGTATTCACATATGCTTCAGTATATTTCGTAGCGAGGATATACAGACCAGCTCACAGCCAGACCAATCAGAAAGTCCGTAGTGATACAGATTCTGCCATTTTGTCCGACAACTTCAAACCTGTCCGACTTTTAAACATACATGTATATTCGACAACGTCACACAGAGACGTCAGTATCTCCGGAAATCATTTTTAGAAGTATTCAAATTGTGGCTTTTTAAATACCTAGATATTTTGATGACTGATTCGTTCCAATTGTTGGAGGCGAGGTTAACTCCAATCCAGGGATAGGTTCATTCTTTTTACGAAATTGATATGGATCACGATGAACTACCTTTTAACCCCCTACTGTGTTAATAAAACTACATCTATCGTGAACAGTTGGAGTGTCTCTGGTACGACAGGCACTATATAACCCTACCACCACCTATTCCCGATAATACCACCTGGCATATAGAACATAAACTAATATTGTGTTCAAACGTACCACCCTCACGTTCCCATAAGATGTTTATCAGATACACCCTGGTCTTTCAACCCCCCTTACATACTCCCAACTTGATTAGATTTTTATGATAAACAGAATTACGCATCACTGTAGAAAGGACACTTCATATAAGCATAATCTATTCAGCATTATTTCTTTAATCTTAGAACAACACTGATTATTATAGCATTTTGCGAACCGTGTTGTGCGTGAGTGAATGAATACTGTACTAATATCTCATCTGTATCAGTGTAAACATTGGTGTCCGACAATTAGTGGTTGACCATCCGCCAAAGCACGAGATCACAAACTATAACAGTATTTTCCCTCTTATCTGAAGCAATGTCGTAAAAGTGATGTTTAAATTGTAAAGTGAAAATACATGTACTTCCATAAAGCACGAAGCCAAGAATACACTTGTCATTAATGACAGTTCCAAAGCAACCGAGCATTGCCGAGAAACGTGATGTTTTGTTGTTAACGTAATATGATCATGATAACAGTGATGTATGATACGATTATTGCTCATTACTTGAATAACTGCTTCAACGTCCCTGTGTTTTTTATTGAAGGTAGTCTACGTGTTACCCTGCACGTTGACGGGCTCTGTTTACAGTCAGGTAGCGTATACTCCGCCAGTCCTTAAGTAGACGCGCTGACGCCATCTGATGGACTGTCTAAGTGAAACCTTGTTTCTCTCTCCAGATATCATCCGATCATGTGGGGTGACGTTTCACACCGAATCGGTTACAGACAAACATGTCTCTAAATTGCGTAAAGCGAATTGTTTTGCAAGCTGCAGTCCATGTGTCAGTTAACATTATTAAACGCCCAGGTTTCTGTATAATCTATACACAGATATGGAGCCAGACGTTTTAGCGGAAATACACTGTCAGGCAAAAGAAAGTATAAGCCATATTTGATGGTGGCTAAAAAGTAAACAGACAGGAAACGGTGATTTGATGGTGATATACTAGTAAATGATACGGGTATAATAGTTCGGTTTCGGAGACTGTTACGGCCTAGTAAAGTTTTGATAATGTTTGTTATTTCTGGGTCAAAACCCTTTTTCTAGTGTATACTTTTGTGTTCGGCAAATTATATTCTTATATATTATTTGAATATTCATTTCACACATGACGTATTTTTTTCATTTGTCTTACAGTAAGGTGTTGCCTGTCGCCAATTTATTTTGGGATGAACATGGAGTATGAAAGTGCCCATTCCTTTAAAGAAAGTATCAACATTAAAATCAGATCTTAGTGCTTTTTTTAGCGGTAACGAGAACTAATATCTGATTTTAATGAGACTACAACACCACTGACTTAATAATACAAGAGTGTTTCAACTTGACGATATTGCAGAAAATATGAAAGGTCACGTCATCAAAATTGAAGGCCTTTTTGTTATTTCAACATATTTAATGTTTTTAATGTCCATTAAACGGATAAAATATTAATCTAAATGTAAACAGTAATGACGTCTGAAGGTTTGACGCAGCTGTTTACTTCAGAGTAAAAAAATATCAGACAGAAAATATGAAAAAATGCATACCGTTGCAATATGTTTGCGTGGACAGCTTAAAGTGCGCTTGTACCAACTTACATGAGTGAATGAGTATGCAAGTTTTTCATCAATGTAACGACGAGGAATGGGATTCACAATGAACCCAGTTCGGCGTGACGCCGGTCGCATTAACCACCACATTGCCTCACAACCATTACCAAATAAAACAAATCACTTAGGTATGTTATATTTTAATGCATGGTTTATTGATTTCGATATTCTTGAAATCTGACACAGGAAATATATAGCCCTGTGACAGATCTACAGGGAACAGACATATCGCATACATGTGGTAAACAATCACGTATTGCACATAAGTCTAATGGTATTATTATTAAGGCATCTGTACATTTTTAAATGAAACACCGTTCATCAGTTTAGGTGGCTGAATACCTGGAATAGCCAGTTATCTTTGTAAAGGGAGTACACAGTTAACAACACAATGACGTTGACTTCGTAATAACGCTTCATAAACACTTCTTGCATGCACGCTATATGACATTATATGACCCGTATAGCTCCACAAAGTTATCGGCATGTGTATTTACTGTCCTCCAACAACGGGGGTATCAAATATGGCACATCAGTTTCAATTGGACTAAAATTATCATAGTCTCGTCGCCATGAAGTATCTAGTTCTCGTCCAGTCATCGAACAACACGTTCTCGTCCAATCATCGACCATCTAGTTTATTGTTTAATCATGGAACAACTCGATATACTGTGATATAGTTCCCGTCCAATCTTCCAGCAACCACTTCAGCTCCAACATCTGGTTCACTTCTAATCATCGATGGGGCTGTGGGGTAGCCTAGTGGATAAAGCGTTTGCTCCATGGGTACAATGTGTGAAGCACATTTCTGCTGTCCCCCGCCGTGATATTGCTGGAATATTGCTAAAAGCGGCGTAAAACCTACTCACTCTAATCATCGAGCATGTATTAATTCTCGTCTCGTCATCGAGTGTCTGCCGTTCGTTAAATCACCAATAACTTTTAGCTAGGGATGTGAATGAATGGTAAACGAATATGACGTTAAACGACACCTCATTGGTAAATAACACATCCTACGCCACTAATAGGTGTTCTATCATCCATCAAACCTAAAATGCCTGAACATTCGCGTAAACAAACCGCCGATCATTAAACTGATGCTAGTCCTCACGATAATGCGACCATCTGCAGCCATCTTGTCTGTAGACAGTAGAATCAGGTACGACTATACCTAAATAATAATATTTGTTTCAGTGACCTGATTGAAACTTACAGGGACAGCAAATTTGCCGGGGCGGACCGCCTCTTTAACTTTGAAGGATACTGTTTCAGTTTGATGTCACACGGTACATTATTTCATACCCTAACTCACCGCCTATAGTACAAGAAACCAGTCCTCGGAGTCGTGCGAGCGCCGCCGTGGTCTAGTGGATAGAGGGGGATGTCGGTGGTTCGATCATACCCCGGCCGTAGACTAACATATAGTCTCTGAAATGAACATATCATAAAGAAACAACAGTTGTTCAGTTATCTTAATAAAAATCTAATAAAAAGGGAGCCCAGTGATTCTCTTCATTTTCAGATACTGCAGTAATCTAGACTTGCCAAACATTATAGACTTGCATGGGCTGTAGTTGATATAAATGTATCAGGGTCTGTAAGACAGACTAACCCCGGCCGCTTCATACCTTGATGGTACTTGTTGTGTTACCCTGCCTGGCGCTCAGCATTAAGGGGATAAAACATGGACTTGTTGGCTAGGGAGCTAGTACTGAGACTGTGTAGGGTATGGTATCTCAGTGGGCACAATAAAACCGTCATTAGTCCGGACAAAGACGTATAGAGATACAAGTGTATACGTCTTTGGTCGGACTAGTACATCGAACCCGGGCCCTCAGCGTTAAAAAATAGCCTACCGCCCTAGAAACACAGGAAAAGTCTTTTAGTTGTGCATCATCGTTATTTTGCGGGTACAGATTTATCCCAAAGTAAAACTATCATGCAGACCTTATATGACGAAACAGGTGGTTCCTATTGGCGGCATACATAACACGGTGAAATTCTGACAACAGATAACACACATAAAATTCGGGCGCTCAGCAATGCTCTGGATCGGATGATAGTTACAAACCTGTGTGTATCGCATATGGCACCATGGCTAATGTCCGTTATCTTTCTCCATTAGATAACAGAAGCAGTATATGTTTGAGGCTATTCTCATATGAACTTGTTACAGGGTATTATGTAATGCAACCAACAGACGCTGTACTAAACAACATTCCGTGCATTTGTAGAGAGTCAAACAAGGGCACCAGTACCCGAATGATTCAGCAGCTGTAGAATGAAATGGACACTTGTTTCCCGTAGCAGCCCAGACGAGCCTGCAGACCACGTGCTGATTCATTCAGTCGTACAGAGATCACTTACAGCGACATAACAACCCAAGGCAAACACATCAGGGCTAGCTGCCACGTTGAAGTTGCATGAATCGTATTGAGGAACCAGTGGGGGTAAAGTCTGCGTTTTGCCTTGTATAAAGTTATGTCATCCCGAATGTCCAGTCGTAGAAGCATATGTTGGCTTTAGTAACCCATGTCACATTAGTTCATGCTCCCCGAAAACAACTCATAATTATCACTGTTCGTCAAACCAATTCTTTGCTCCCGCGTCTTCTCGCCAACGCTGCGAGATCTCGCGATGTCCTCATAGAACATGTTCGAGGTCTAAATGTGTCATCATCTTCTTCGGTCTCGTCAACGTCGTTTAACAAGGTCACACTAGATGATGGACGAACGACAAAGTTATCCAACAGATAATCGTCCATGTCGTGAAAATGAACATGATGTTTAGATTGGTGTTGATTCGATGTTTGCTCTTCTGTCTTCGGTCTCTGAAGGGAATGGATGGTATCTTGTATATTAAAGAACTGTCTCTTCAGCAGGATGTCATGTTGGCGAAGAAGGATCTGCAACAGGACATTGTATAAATGAGAAGGACCTGGAATTATGGACAATTGAGGGAATACTGAAAATAATACAGTTGTTTGGTACGGCACAACTCGCTGTGCACCTTCGGGCGCTCGTATAACATATGTGTTAGCATTAAATGGCCCTAGTAAGTCAGACCCGTGAAGATCCGGGTTAGAATAGGCCTTCAGCAATACATGCTTGTCGTAAGTCATCGGGAGGTCAGGCTCGCTAACTTGGTTGATGCATGTCATCGTATCCCAATTGCGTAGATCTATCTTCATGATATCAATCACTGGATTGTCCGGTCAAGAATCGATTACTTATTGACAGTCATATAGCTGGAATATGGTTGAATGTGGCGTTAAACAACAAACAAACAATCAAACAAACCCTACAAAGTCAGTATCATTACCGAGGCCCTGGGTTTCACCTGGTACACGTGTACGAGCTGCGTTATTTTGAGCTTTCCTCCATAAAAAAACCTGACACATCGTGAAAAAGCTGAAATACTGTTCAAAGATGTGTTAAACCCAACTCACTCACTAACTGGCATGAAAGCATGACTTAATGCAGGATGTTTCAATACAATTTCAAACTATAATATATTACTCAATTGATATTTTCATATGACTTCAGTTAATCGTGACAAAATAGGTAAAATGATGTAAAACAACATAAAAACCAATTGCAATATACTAAAATAAACTTTTGCTTTGTCAAACCGCATATCGGGGTTGAGAATACAAAGATATTCGCCTTGACCCTTGTTCCCTTCGACTTATTTTAATTAATGCTTTATTCCCACGCCACGAAATAACTAATGTTGTTCAAGGTGGCGTTATATCCAACACATTCACAAACACAAACTCAGTTTACCAGCTCCTGCTTGACCCACAGCATAGCTTGCATGAGGTCATCCAGGCGATCTCCCAAACCTTCTTTCTGCACATGCGCCTGACTGATCTTCCGGGTCCTGCCGTTGAGAGTTGTCTCCCTGCACACCCTCTCGTATCTCTTAGGTAGCTTCACTTGCCCAGGGAGACTGGAATGTCGAATAGGGATGATTCCCGTGTTGATGTCGATATCGTCCATCAGAGTATCCGGGGCCTCGGCCTGCTCCGAGATCAACCTGTGGCAGACAGGGTAGTAGTGTTCAACACGGTCGCAACTGGTGTGATAAGAGGAGGTCATTTATACCCTTAACTCATTGGAACTTGATAACCCGGCAATAACTAGATAACTTGATTAGATAAGACTGCGTCACAAATTTCATACCGTGTTTCAATTAGACGGTTAAGAAAGTCAACCGACGTATACGTGCTCATCCCTCATACAGACCCTGAAACAAAAGTATACAATACTTTGGCAAGTCTAGATTTCTTCAGTGTAGCGCTGTAATTGTACGTCATTGTTTCGGCTTGATTGAGTACATTTATTTAGGAAGTTCACGTAGTCTCTAGACCCGTGAAGATCCGGGTACAGAAGATGTCTTCAGCAACCCAGAGACGACTAGAAGGATGGACATACCAACAATCTTACAGAAGGATGGACATCCCAACAATCTTACAGAAGGATAGACATCCCAACAATCTTACAGAAGGATGGACATACCAACAATCTTACAGAAGGATGGACATACCAACAATCTTACAGGATGGACATACCAACAATTTTACAGAAGGATGGACATACCAACAATCTTACAGGATGGACATACCAACAATTTTACAGAAGGATGGACATACCAACAATTTTACAGGATGGACATACCAACAATCTTACAGGATGGACATACCAACAATTTTACAGAAGGATGGACATACCAACAATCTTACAGGATGGACATACCAACAATTTTACAGAAGGATGGACATACCAACAATCTTACAGGATGGACATACCAACAATTTTACAGAAGGATGGACATACCAACAATCTTACAGGATGGACATACCAACAATTTTACAGGATGGACATACCAACAACTTTATAGAAGGATGGACATACCAACAATCTTACAGGATGGACATACCAACAATTTTACAGGATGGACATACCAACAATCTTACAGGATGGACATACCAACAATTTTACAGGATGGATATACCAACAATCTTACAGAAGGATGGATATACCAACAATCTTATAGAAGGATGGACATACCAACAATCTTACAGGATGGACATACCAACAATTGTACAGAAGGATGGATATACCAACAATCTTACAGGATGGACATACCAACAATTGTACAGAAGGATGGATATACCAACAATCTTACAGAAGGGTGGATATACCAACCATTTTAAAATACGGACATACAAGTGAACATATGAATAGAAATCCCGAAACATTTAGACATGCTTACCCGCTGGTTTCAACAAGATATACGTTGTAGACAAGAACTGAACTGTACATTAGTCTCCAAATGTAACGTATACACAGCCTTGCGGAGTCCCTCGCGTAGTCATCAGGTGCAACAAACTGCTAATGTATCCATTGTATGGCAACATGCCCCACCGTACCTTTTGCCCTGTAGCTTTAACTCATATCTTGATAAACCAGGTTCACTGATATCCTACGTTAACGGGTCCTATTTCTTTTTTCGAGGGTACTGACCCTGGTGTCTACAGACCACTGCGTGCATTCATGTCTCTTTACAAACAATCTATTCTGCACTTTCAGTGAAACATGTCGGTCCAAAAGAATGAGTGTTGCTTCTCGCGTACCAAGGGAACTACAAGGTGTAATAGGTGTCTTCGAACATAAAGTCAATTAGGTTTGTATAGTGGCGTTTCACCTGGTACACGTGTACAAGCTGCGTTATTTTGAGCTTTCCCCCATAACAAAAAAACCCTGACACATCGTGAAAATACTGTAATACTGTTTAAAGATGTGTTACACCCAATGTGTTTAGTCGCGGCCCGGTTCTGTATTAATACTGCACATGACCACCGTGACTGTCGTTTTGTTTGTTTGTTGTTTACCACAACGCTCAGCCATATGATGGCGGCCCGTAGATAATCTGGACCAGACAATTCAGTGATTGACATCATGAGCATCGATCTACGCAAATTGGATGCGATGTCGGGTGGCATGCATCAACCAAGTCACTTAGGTCTGACCTCACGGGTATCACATATAATAGCTACGGCCGTTTGTAAACAGTGGTTTGTCATATAGACCCAAGTTGCATGTCGCTGAAATGAGTGAATATAGTTTTGAGCCGCTTTACTAATATCCCGGTCGGGAACAGCAACAACGAGTTTTACATCTTGCATGCATCTATTTTGGGAATCGAACCCGAGACTACTCCAAAGGTAAACTTCAACGCTACGAAATTGCCCCCACACTTCGTTGAAAATTTGCTGAAGAGCAAAAACAAATGTGCATACCCACTTGTGATTTATCTTTAGCACAATGAAAAAAATCACCAGCGTAAAATGCCAACTGACAACCGCTATAAGAACGCGACCTTGTAACCCTCCCGGAATACTATGACCCCCACTCCATGCACTGTGTTATACAATGTTGTACATGCTCCGAGAAGATGACTCATGCTGCACGCTCTCATATACTTGCAGGCCGTCATATGTTGCAAGGGCTTCTCATCCAAAGAATGTCAAGTAATAGACCGCTATTCAGTGAAAGAATCCACACGTCTTCACTCGAAAAGATATCCCCTTGCACATTAATCCACGCCATTGCATAAGATGGTTCAAAGGCTTGGGAAACGCGCGTTGTAGGGCATGCTTGGCGGTTTGGGTCACGTGATAATAAATCACGTGACCAGACATGACTCCCTGTCTGTCGTTTTAAACCCTTTTTATCTGGACTATTTTAATTAAAGATATGTTAACACATTATATATCAAGCCGTAATAGATCGTTGCATTTCCCTGACAACTGAATGATGGATTATGAAACTTTACTTATATTCACAGCTGTAACGAAAGCATTTCAAAGAAGTGCTATAAACTGTTCACATGATCAGAATCTGAATAATCTATGCGTATAATGGTGATAAAGTATCATCGCTTATGAGCTTATTATTCACATTTTATCTCTGACTCACCTAAATAATACATCTGCACCATATCTGCACCGTGCCTTTTGACAGGCTTTCAACGAATGTGCATTTAACGAATGAAAGTGTGAATGTAACGGGATAGGGCTGAACCAGCATCGCTTTGAATAGGACTGCAACAGCCTTTCGTGCTACCGTAGCTGGATGATGATCGGCTAGGCAGCAGTGAGTGAGTGAGTGAGCGAGCGAGCGTGGGTGGGTGAGTGAGGATGCACGCTGTTTAAGCAACATGTCAGTTGCAACACCATGTGCCAGCTTCGAGGAAATCCACAAGTAAGGCATGCTGAGGACAAGACGTTTACCATTTTTGTTGTAGGGTTGATTGATAAATTCAAAGCCTCACACAGAATTAATTGCACGATAATGAAATATGTTGTTGTTGACATTACATGATGTCATAGAGGTATATCCGCACAAAAACTGAAGTCAATTGAGCACATTGTTTCGCTGTAAAAAGTGAACGTGCAGTGATTAAGTACTTGCAGAAAAAAGGGTTTTACACCAAAAGCAGTCAATGAAGGTCTGAGTGCAACACTAGCAGGGGAGGGGAACCATTGGTCCGAGTCGTGACATAGGAATATCAATGGACCGGCACGTGGTAGTACCAATCGACCTTGATAAAGAACTACCAATGGACTGTTACATCGAACTACCAGTGGAACGTGACGAAGAAGCACCACTGGACAGTGACCTAGAACTACCAGCTCGACTCAAAATTATTCAGTAAAAAAACACCCACGGTGGTACAAGAGAAAAGTTATCAGTTTCAGCAGAACAATTAAATATAAAGCAAGACGGCAGGATAAGCAATATGACATGAATATACACAAATAATGGACTTTTAATTTTTTAGGAATTTTAATTAGCATGGAAGGTATTATTTGAAGTATAAGCTCAGAGTGTACATGTCGTAAAAAACATGACTCTTCAACGGTGAGTGTTTGTGTGATACGGCCAGGTTGCCAGGCATAATATACGTGTGTATAGTTGGCGACGATGGTTGACCCCAAACTGCACACGCCATGTTTTTAAGACGTATTGCGGCTTTTAATCTTCCATACTTGATATCTGTAACCGTGCCATGAACATTGCTGACCTCGTCATTCTGGGTCACAGTCTTGACAGCCATGCACGTTCATCTCGCCTCAACAGAAAGGCTCCACACACGGCAACGCTGTGTGGCGACATCAGTACAGGATTCCGCTGTGTGAATGGTTTTTGTAAGTAAGTGACAGCAGATTTGTAAACAATCCCTGGTACATATTACAGAAGTTTGTGTTGCAAATAAATGTTTTATTAAGGGCTCCATAGCTCAGACCTTCCCCGGGAGTGGGAGAAATGGTTTAGCCTGACCGTATTGTATTGCACGTCAACGCAGCTTATACATGTGGGTTGGATTTTACAAACTTGAATATTTTTACTTGAATAAATACCATCGTCGCGACATTTCGGTTAAGATATGTAGACTACACGCTTGGGGAATGTGTTGTACAGAAAAGCAATACTGAGATCTTCCGAAATTATCACCGACAAATATTAGATATGTATATTATTTTTTGGTATTGTTTAACGCCGCACTCAGCAGTAGTTCAGCTACATGTAAATCGAGTCTGGACCAGACAGTCCCGTGACTGACATCATGAGCATCGATCTACGCAATTAGGATATGGAAACATGCATCAAACCAAGTCAGCGAGCCTGGCGGTAGTCTACGACGAGCATGGGTTGCTGAAGACCAATTCTAACCTGGTCCTCAAGGGGTTAGGATATATACTATATAAATATTACCTAGCTATTAGGATTTGAAATTAATTTTGCAAATTATTTGCAGTTTCGTGTTGTTGTTTTAATTACATGATGAAAGGTATTATTTTGTAATGATACATGAATGGTTTTATTTTGTTATGATGCATGACAGGTATTATTTTGTAAGTGACATGTAACTAGATTGGTAAACCGTTAATCAGGTCGATAAACTGTTTTATCATATGCAAACATACATCACAGAATAAATAATTAGCCATTTTCCGGATCGCTCCGTGGTCTAGTTGATAGAGCGTCTGTCCGAAGATGTCAAGGTCAGTGGTTCGATCCCCGTTCGTGTCATTCCAAAAGTCGTTAGAAGATGGTACTTGCTGTTACCTTGCCTGGTACTCGGCATGAAGGGGATAAAACAAGGACTGGTCGGTTCGCAGTCAATATACTGTCTCTGAGTTGGATATCAATGTCACACACACACACATCCACACACGCGCGCGCAGGTCGCTATATAAGTGCAATAATCTTAAACGCGACGTTGAACCCCGTTTCACCTCACCTCATTAGTCAGAAGTATATTACTTTTTAACTTGTCACTGAATCGGAGGATTGGATAGATAAGCAGTCGTAAACATGTTTCCGCAGTAAAATATATATTTTATAATAAACAAACTAACAATCCTGTTTTATTTACCTATCAATCTGCCTGTACAGCATGAAAAACATCCATCACAGTACAACACAGAACAACACAGTACAACAGTAGTGGCAGGTGCGTGGCGGCACACATGGCTGAAATAGACATCTGACTGTCAACTAAGTCGTGCCTATTTCACTGAAATTGATGTGGTGGGCCCCTCGCTGACAGCTGGTGCCGCCTAATGACATATATGCCATGTAGATGGACGATAGGTAAAACTGTGTCTACCGTACACATGCGGCTTTAGAGGTGTTCTGTAAAATCACACTTCACCACAATTACATAACACACCCTTTCCCCATTACACATAAATCTCAAATCCACACTTTTACTTGTCAAGTTACTCATTTTGGAGACCCGTGAAGATCTGGGATATAATTATCTTCCCGAGGCAAGTGCGTTACCTGACTATAAAAATCCAGTTTTCACCCTTGCCGAACTAGGCTGGAATTACGATTTATGTCCCTCCTGTTCACCAATAAAATTCCATCTCTCTTATCACATGCATTTGCTTCAAACAAAATGGCGGCGCCCAGTCAAGACGATCTGATCGATAATCAAGATCTTTATTCACATTTGTAATAAAACAGGTCTTACCCCGCGAAGTGAATTAGATCACTTGAGCACCTTGATTACGAACATGAACAGATTTGCGAAATAGCTTTCGACGCCAAACTGGCGGTACACATGCTTTGCAAATACTGCAGTCGATCGAAATATGCACGTTGAAATCCATGTTGTTTACAAACCGGATGTTTAGTTCGTTACGCGATTTTGATTGGACTATACATTGACTCGTTACTCCAACCAAAATGTAATGCCGGAATTCAATCCAAGTTTGGCAAGGATGGAAAGTAGACATTTATGGTCAGTTAACTCCCGTGCCTCGGGAAGATGGGATAGAATGGGTCCTCAGCAACCCATGCTTGTCGTAAAAGGCTACTGTGCTTGACATAATCGGGTGATGACGCGATCGGGTGGGCAGGCTCGCTAACTTGGTTGATACATGTCATCGTATCCCAGTTGCTAGGATCAATGTTAACTGGATTTTCTGGTCCCGACTCGATTATATACAGACCATATTTTCAATATTGCTGAGTGTTGCTTTAAACAACAAACATACAAACAAACAAACTCATTATGTAATATAAGTGTATTATAAGCACTCTGCATATCAGTGATAAAGTTGACCTTGACCTAATGACCTTCTCTCCGAGGACGATAGACGTACATTCATCTTTATGACTACATACCATATAGATTTCGAGCATTCTGTCGCACTGATGAGCCAGGTGCGCACATCATCCATCATGGCTGCTGTATATAGTATGTACTTGCCGGAGCAATGCATTCAATTTGGAACTCGTAGGCAGTGACAGGAACCGCGAGCTGACATAATATTAATCAGTGTTAATTTGAGGCTATCTGTCGAATGTATGCTAAAAACTGCCTATTGGACAAAGAACCACATATGACTAGTTCTCCAGTGTTGGGCCTCCTTATTTCTGTATATGTTACACACGTAAGTGGTAATTAATTCTAACATACTGTCCGGGGGAGAAACATGTATGCGTCATCTGGAACTAACTATGAACCAATCTCCTATCATGATATACTTCTGGAAACTATTTCAGTAGTTTCTTAATTTCTAAAAGTGAAACATATCAATCATCAGGTAAGGAACGAGTCCTCATATAATACAAGTTAAATGAAAGGAATGGCATTATCTTAAGAGTATGCGTAAAGACTTACATGTCGATATTCGAGTATCGATATAAATGGTCTAAGAGTGATTTGTAGAACAAATACATCGCATGCTCTCGAACCCTAACGCCAATCGTTGAGGTAACAAATCAAACGAAAGACCACACCAAAGAGAAGGAGATTTGATTTACTACGTTGATAAATAATATGGGAATGGCAGTACTAACATAACGGTGTTGTGAATGTCAACGGAAACTATGGGTATCTGTGCTTATATATATACTGACGAATTTCTATCTAGGTGGCCGTATTATGCGTCAACAACAGTATAAAACACAGGGACTAACACATGTTGTTATCAAAATGACTTCAACAGTGCATGGTATATGGCTTGTTACATGTAACCGTGATATACGCTCTATGATACACACATGTGATACACGCTCTGTAACACACAGCTGTTACATACGACTTGTTAAATGCAACCGTGATACACAATCTGTTATATACGCATGTGATATACGCTCTGTAACACACAGCTGTGATTTACACTCTGTAAAAAAACAGAATACTGTCTGTAACACACGACTGCACAGGATATATTTATGATCTGTAATATGCAGTTGTATTATAGGTTTTCTTAATACGCAACTGTCATGTATAATGTAACAAATGTTATATTTGGGATAACACTTTCTTAGTAAATTACAGATTCTCGTACTTTTGGGGAGTTAAGTCCCGTCCGGCATTGTGTATTCATGTCATGTACGATGTCTGTA